AGGAAAAGAAAGAGTGCCGAGGTCCAGCCCGAGCTTTCGGGAGAGGAATCCGATGACGTGGCCGCGAAAGTCGAGCGGAGGAAACGTGCGGCAATGAAGAAGAAGGCGGCTGCGCAAGATCTTACAGCTATTCCTGTGCAGCGCGCAAGCTCTAATGCGTCTGTAGAAGTGCCCTCAACGACTCGAAAGCCGAGGAAACCCCCGCCGAAGAGGATGCGATACCGTGCTCGACGTGCTGACGAGAACTCGACTGCATCCGAAGATGAGGGCGACGGGTTCACAGTAGCCGATTCACAAGGCCACGCAACCGATCAGCCAACTCGTACCAGAAAGTCGCCTGACACTGTGGAAGTAGGCAATGGCACGAAAAATGGCCTTGTCTCGAGCAACGATGCGGTGCCCGACAGCGCCGGGCCAACCCAGAAGTCTACCTCAAATGGCGTGGCACCTGGCACAGAAAGTTCGGGCAACGGATCTCGGCCCAAAGACCTCCTCATACCGGAAACCAGTCCCAACAACACTCAATCTCGGCCGGAAGGGAAAGATGATGTACCGCTAGACGCGTCAGTTGACGTTAAGAAGTCACAACAGGCCGAGGAACCAGATGCACCGGTGATCCAGCCAAAGGACATTGAAGCCGAGGTCGAGCTTTTACCCGAGACCCCAGAGCCCTCTCTCCCTCAGCCTTCTCGCCGCTCGAGCCGCAAGTCCAAGCCAACCCTCAAGGCACAGGTTCTCAAAGGTACTAATAGTGCCGCCGTGTCCTCAGATGCCGCCGCAACCAACCTTGCTACATCGCCTACTAAAGAGGAGCCAGATGCACGTCGACTCTCGCAGGGAAATGGTGCTACCGTGGTCGACGAGGCGACAGCTCAACCAAAAGATGGAATCCATGCAGTAATGAATTCAACGGTGAGCGGCGAGCCACCTATGCCGTCTTCACCGCCCCTACCAAAGGCTGTCAATGGTGTTGGGCCTCCAGGTACGGTTCTTAGTGAGAGTCTTGCCGAGCAATGTCCGGCAACGCCCGACACTCGTGCCAATCCCGCCGCTCCAACTGCTCCTGGCTCAACAACATCAACGCTCAGCGTACTCACAACTACGCCGGTTCCATCCTCCAAGAGTCCGACTGCATCACAAGAATCGGTGGAACTACCACCTCTCTCACCAGATAAGTCCAAACGCGGACGTCAGCCAGCCAGGGCCTTGCCTACACTCGCCACCGGATCAAGGGCTGCCAAGCAAGGAACCCGGAAGCAGGTTCGGAGGGCAACTCGCCTCGATTCCGCGTCGACAGATGAGCTCCATCGATCACCATCCGTCAACGGATTCGAGAACAGCATCATTCAACCTCCGAAGACTAGCGTCAGAGGCAGCCGTCTATCGATGCTCTCTCACACATCGACGTCTAAAGACAACGCTAGCAAGCCTCCTATCTTTGCTGGCATGGCATTCGCGATATCTTTCCAATCGAAAAAGGACGGTGAAAAAGTGGATCACTTCGAGCAACGAATGGGTCAAAGTCGCGAAATAGAGAAAATGATTCTACAGTGCGGAGGCTTGTTGTTGAGCAATGGCTTTGACGAGCTCTTCGAGCCCAACGCTCTCGGAAGCACGGCAACCAGCCCAGCCTCAGAAACGAGGGATGAAAATCCACTAACGCTGACCCCGTTTGCGCAGACCATTGGTTTCACCGCCTTGATCGCTGATGGTCATTCTCGCAAGGTCAAGTACATGCAGGCTCTCGCTCTAGGGCTACCGTGCATTTCGGACCGTTGGATTGCTACTTGCGTTTCGAAAGGGGCTGTGGTCGATTGGCTCCCGTATCTGCTCTGCGCTGGTCAATCCACTTTCCTCCGCGATGCCATCCGATCGCGCTATCTCGCGCCCTATCCGGCCACTGACGCACGACTTGTGGACGTCATTGAGAGGAGGCCGAAGATGCTGGAAGGCAGCCAAATCCTCCTCGTGATGAAAAAATCTAGGGCGGAAGAAAAGAAGATGCCATACGTGTTCTTGGCACATGTCCTCGGCGCCACACTGTCAAGGGCATACAGCGTCGATGAAGCAAAAGAAACCCTAAGGCAGCGAGAACTACTGGAAGACCCGTTCGACTGGGTCTATGTTGATGAACACACTGGATCGGAGGAAGGATTATTCAGCACTGTTGCCCCCTCGTCGAAGCCTACGAAAGCATCGAAGAAGCGGAAGAGGGCTGCGCCAGCAACAGACGACGCTCCCCGACCGCCAAAGAGAATCAGGACGTTGAGCAACGAGCTTGTCATACAGAGCCTCATTCTAGGACGGATGATTGAAGAGGGCGAAATGGAGGTCTAAGACACATGAGCGACCTGAAGTGTATTACTATGTTAGATCTGGGATGGAAAAAAGGACGAGGGGAGTTCGTTACAAGGTACTTTTACGGCGTTTTAGCATGGCACGGACATGTTATGAGGATGATACCTTTAAGCGAGAGGCAAGCCTTGATGTGCTTTTGGTCAACGACCAATACCACCATAGTTATTCGAGATGAATCAACACGATTGAAGTCATGTTTCCTGCGAGACGATGAGTCAATTCCAGCATTGTTTCACGAGAAGCACAAAGTAAATCAAGTTATTGAGCGCGAAAACAGTAATCAATTCAGTGAAGCGATGGAGCCAGCCATGCCTTGATAACAAAACGCCAAAGAACTCCTCATAGTACCTAGTTGCCCATCATTCCTGACCAATTCGACATCTTTTGGCATTTTATGCCCGGGCCGGGGTCCCAAATCCCACGATTACTGCTTCCTGCTCACGCTCGAGCCACGGCTGGGCGTGGGGGAGGGCGTGGTAAGGCCAACCGAAGCAATCGTGACCTTCTTCTTCTTCTTCTCCTTCGGCTCCGCGCTGCCCTTGGCGCTCGCCTCAACCTCTTCCTTCTTAGAAGGAAGAGGAACAGGGAGCGCCGTGGGCAGGAGGCGGACGTTGGACTTGCCCGCGCCCAGCTGGGCTCGGTGGGTTGCCGCCGCGGAGCCGAAGGAGCCGATTGCGACTAGGCCCTTGGGAAGTTCCTTGGTCTTCTTGGTGCGCTTGGTGACCCTGTTGCTTGTCTTTGTACTGCTGGGAATAGGGGCAGGGTCACCAGAGGCCTTGTTGATCGGCTTGCCTTTGGTCTTGGGCTTCGGCGTCTTGGGATCGGTCCTGGCGTTGGGCGACTTGAGCTCAGTCGACTTGGCCTTGGTGCTCTCGGTCGAGGTCTTCTTGATGACCTTGTCGACCTTGGAAGGAGGCTTGGGCGACGACTTGCCCTTGGCGGAGGAAGGAGACGACTTGGTGACGTGACCGGGCTTTTTCACTCCGGATGAGACGGGCTTCAGGACGTTGACCTTGACCTTGGCCACTCTCTCGATCCGAATGTTCGCAGAGCGCGGGGCGGGCTTCAAGAAAGGCATCTTGAGTTGAGGTGAATGAGTATGTAGAGATAGAAGAGAATAGGTACGGTTGGATGATGGGCCGCGATGCGATCTCTGAGCTCTGTAAAGTAGAAAAGATTTAGTTGAGATGAGTGATGGATTTCCGAGCAGGAGTAACTAACCTTTGGGGAGAAGGAGCGTCTTCTTATAGCAACTTATGAGGCCAGAAAGGTCGTGTAGACGGCTTTGCGGAGATGAATCCCGGCACAGGAAGTCGTGAAGGCTGAGAGAGTTTGACGGTCCAGCCGATAGGGTCCAAAAGTTACCAGACTTTTGGAGGAGGTTAAAGGAGATACTGGGAGTGAATGTCAGCTTTGCTCGTCCCTAACTCCGATGGAATTAACTCACAAGGTGTCGTGGAAGGATGTCGACGACTGGGAAGTTCGTGGCGCGTACGGCTGAGGACAGCGAGAAACAAAAGGTACCGGACCGAATTGTCGAAGAGAAAATTGAGGTTGAGGCCGGCTCAGGGTATCTGGTAAGTAGTGGTTCGGCGTAAAATAGCTCGATGAGGGAAGAAGAAGGGGAGGTTGAAGGTGAAGGTGAAGGCGAAGAAATCGGCGATTGAGATGATGATGAAGCTGGAGGAAGAGGAACAGGGAGGAAGAAGAAGAGGATGAGCTCTTGGCACTTAGATTGGGGGAAGAGAAGAATCTGCGAGGCAATTTTGAGAGCGGTCAGTGAATGTGAAGTTGTGCCCTCGCTTCTTGAGGCCTGACTCTTGAGGAAGCAATCGAAAAGGGAAGGAGCGGACTGGGTTGCGATAGATTCATGATCGGAGGGTGGTAGGATGAATACGCATTTGGATATCCTCCTGTTCCAACCGCACTGTCGTGAGGCTGAGGAGGTAGTCACCCCTATTCAGGGTGAAGTCCACATCTCGGAATGGAGATGGGTGTAAAGAGCAGAGATTTGGACGACCAGCATATCGCGACCTTCGACTATGAGCGAAAAGGCACAGGCAAGCGGGAGGAAGAACTCTTTGATTTCCTAATAGATTGATCCAAATCAGCCTTTGCTCGCAGTATCAGTGAGGTTGTAGCCCATTGCGTTTATGAGTTTCAAACATATATCAGTCGCAAATGCAACAGACTCCCCTTAAGATTCCTGTTACTTGACACTAGAAGCACTATTTAGCTACCCTCCCGAACATCTGAGTATAGTACACATGGCCATAATTACACGATGGCTCACTTGACAATGGGCTATCAAATTCACAATCGCCGAGTCGGCTACAATCAGCACCTTTTAGACCCTTTGGAGCACCCATTCTCTGGTCACCCGACAACCTCATGTATTTTTTGGTGGCCTCGCTCTCTATAAAATGGAACCACGCAACCTCACCTGGTTTTGGCGAGTCGCTCAATCCGAATGTTGGTTGAACAGGGATCTGGCTTAAGGAAAGGCATCTTTACATGTCAAGGCATTACAGTGGAATCCTTCATCACACAGTTCTTGCTACATCTCTTGCGTCTACCAAAGATCAGACTTCTTCAATTATCATCATTCCCGCCGTAGTAGTCTATCGTGGATACTGTTTGTACTACGAGAGAGCCACGTCATTGAAGACAGTGAACATCTCATCGTCCTCTGCAACACCTCCCTGGCGTTCCTCCTGGTACTTGTCGAGGTATCTCATCCAGTAATCGACGGCTTCGATCAGCTCCTTCATCTTCTGGGTGTAGACACCCTCCTTCATCTCATCGCTCTCAACCAGATCACGAAGGTAAGCCTTGCGGCCGTTGACGAAGAGCTCGTGCATGGCCTGGCAGGTCTTGGGGGAGACATCGATCTTGTGCGAGGATGGGGTGAGACCGCCACCGACGATTCCCTTGGCCTTGATCTCATCCGCAACGGTCTGATAGAATCCTTGGTTCTTCATCTCATGCACGTCATCGTTGAGGATGTAGCCGAACCGATGGCTCCTGATCGATCTGAAGAGTCGGGTGACAAACGCCTGGATTCGGATGCTGTCGATGCTGTGGGTGCCCTGGAGACAAAGAGCTTCGACAAGACTCTCTGCCTTGTCGTTGGGAAGAAAGTCCTCATCGGTGAATTTGAAGCCGACGGAGAATGCCTGCTTGATCGTGTCGGTGAGTAGAACCATGGCTTTGGTGGTCTTGAGGAACGGGCGAACTTCCGGCTGAACGCTGGATGGAAGTTGAGCTTGAACTGCGGGATAATATTTGTCAGAACTTTCGATCTGGCCAAGGGCGGCTTACAATAGGTTACTCACGACCCGAGAGCTGGCGCTTCCTCTCGCGATTTTTGTTGGCTCGGCGAGCCAGACGCTCAGCATCCCATTGTTGTTTGCGACGAAAGTTGCGAAACTGTCTGCCACTCATGTCCTCGACGGCAATCTGATCCTCTGCTGCTTCGGAAGGATGGTCCAACGGAACGGACGGCTCATCCATCTCCATGGATGCGATGGTCTTGGGATCCGAAGAGTTCGACATGGTGAAAGTAAGATGGAGATGCGATTGAGATGGACTGAATGAAATGAAAGATTGATTAGCATGCATCTGAATGAGGGAGTGAGACGGCGAAAAGCATCGGAATGACCAACCTGGTTGTTCGTGTGGTAGATGGGGATGAAGCACAAAGCTACGATTCGTGATGTGGGAGTAACAAAAAAAGAGAAACCAGGGATGGAAAATCACGACGAGGAAGGCATGGAAGGACTCATTGGAATGGGAAGGAGCAAGTTGAAGTTTAGTTAAGTACCGAGCATGAGTGGGCTACAGGTGATCCGTGAATGATGAAGTTGAGCGATGAACAGTCTATAGGGGAAAGAGTAGGCATTGCTTTCAACAAGCACCGTCTGAATGTGTCTATGGTCTAGTGGTGGAGTTGTAAGCCTGGTTCGGCTAATCGAAAATTGGTGACCCTACATAATGCCACAGGCAGCTTGTTTTTTTGTCATTTGTTCCCATAGTAATCTTGGTGAGCTTCTATGCCATAACAATTGCCGCGCATCATGAATAGGTACCGGTACTTGTCCACCAGTGTGACCCAGTTGGCTAGAGGTCGCCAGTTCGAGTCGGACTGTCCTCGGCTTTTTCCCACCTATCTCTATATTTCTAGGTCTCATGGCCTTGCTTCCGACGTAAGAGATCTCTCATATGGTACGGTTCCCAGACTGAAGTGCTGAAACTTCTTTTGCGATGGATCTGAGGGGCTCATTCATTCTCTACAGGCCGAGGATGACGGGAGAGAACTGCCCGGGCCGCGCTTGCTGCTGAGGTTCCCGTTGTCCAGTTAACTCTAACGGCGAATGAGAGACATTTTTTTGGACAGAAGACCGCGGATTTCTTTTCTAAGATAGTCTCCCTATTGGGCCCTGAGAAAAACCCTGAGAGGTGATACTCTCCTTCCGTGTTATGTGTTTGGAATCCTTTGCCGTACGGGTGCGGTGGACCCAGTAGCCCCACATTGGGTCGGCCGACGGGCTCCGATACCGACTCCGGCCCCACTCATGGCACCCAGCCTTCTGAATGAGACGCCAGCGCTTAGGGCCTCATGAAGAATGAAAAGCGAGCTTCCGGACTGTTTCAATACTTGAGGATTCCATTCTTTTACTTGTTTTGTTTGCCCCTTTGACACGCACCAGCTGTTCGCTGACGTGGGGCTTTCAACGACAAGAATACCACCACAATGAGATGCCTATCAGAAATCCGTTGAGTGGACACGAGAGCGCAAAGAAGCCGAACAGGATTGAAGTTTGGAGTTTATATAGGCCCTTCGACCCAAAAATACCGCTCAACTACGTTGCAGCGTAACCTTGGCTCTTTTCACCAGGGCGTCAACAAACTTATTACCTCCTGTCGAAACTTCGGCCAGGCGGCGGGCGATCAGATCGGCTGGCTTGATTACATACTCCGGTATGACAACGTCACCCTTCTTCCACTCATACAGAAACTCATGCTTCTTTCCTTTACTCGCCATCTTCTTGGACCTGATGAACCCTTCCAGGGATCTAGGATTGTACGTGGCATGATTAGCCACACGATAGTTGACAGACGGGTGGATCTCCTCATTCGTCTGGCCGAGGTCATTGCCGACATCGTCTTTCTTATACTGTCCAGGAGTTCTAAACTTTGACAAGAACGGCACGGCTCTCATGATGGGCGCGAATATGTCGACGATTGGCCCCGTGGCCCAGGCGTCTTCCGGGTCGTACAAAGGGGACTTGAAGAACATTTCGTAAATCTTGCTGTAGTCCAGCCCCTGGCGCACGCGCTGCACCACCCAGCTTACACCGAAGGGTTGCTGATGGCGCGAGCGATGGATGAGCCGGTTTCGAGATAAGATTTCGCGATCGGCCAGCGTCGACATTGTATACTTCCCATCCTTGTATCCGTGCTCGTCGTCGAGCTGGATGAAGGTCTTGATCTGGTCGCACATCCAGGTGAAGGAAATCAGAGCAATTTCTGCGACATTGTCAGCTTCCTTACTAGGTCCGGTAGATGATTATCTGATGACTCACGCTCAAAATCAAAGGGAAAGCCGTAGAGAAGGCCTGGATTACCGCCTCCGATATTGATATGGCCGCCAGGGAACCAAACCTGCCGCAGCTCAGGTTGATCACCGTTGAGCTGGTCCGCCATCTCACGCTCAATCAAGGCCTTCCATGCTTGTGAGAGTTCGTCTTCTGTGGCCCTCGACTTCGCTTTCAAAAGTGACCTGAACTCCTTGGCAAGTTGGTCCTTTGGCTGTCCGTGACAGTCAGGGCATTGCTCCTTCTTGAGCGGGAGACGCCACAAGGTGGGCGTGAATGGCTGCCGATGCTCGTCAAGGGCTAGTGCATGGTACGCATGCTTGATATCTGTAACTTGTCAGATGTGTCCGGGCTTTTAGTCTGGTAAGGTTACGCTAGACTTACATCTACTTAGGGAAGGGTTGTGAAATCCAAGGTCATCGACGCCAAGCCAAGGGGCAAGTCTAGCTATTTTGGTAGTCGCGCTCTGGGTCCAGGTCAAGCCTGGAATACCCAAGCTACCGACGGTATCAAATACCCCAACGACCTCAATGGCTCTAGTAAACTCTGGGGGAAGATTATGCGGCTTTTGGTCCCAGTGATGATCTTCTTCCTCGTGCCCCTGCCAGTCTTCGAACCCCTTTGCGCGAACACCGGTGATCCACTGTCGGTACTCCTTCGATGAACGAAAGTTAAAGCTGTCGTTATGGCCATGTCTGCGGTAGAGGTCATACAAAGCCGGGAAGTCATCCATCTCCTGGGGCTGGATGATTCCAATATCCGTGATGAGTCCCGCGACCGAGCGAGCTGTGTATGCCCCTCGAGAGAACCCAAAGAAAAAGAGTTGGTCGTGCGGGGCATAGTTCATAACGATGAAGTTGTATGCCTCGATGACGCTGGCCACCAGACCATCGCCGAAAGTAGCCTGCCTGCCCCTCTCAAGAATATTCACACCACCGCCCGTGCCGACGCCGGCGCTGTAGAAGACGACCTGCTGGCAGATGCTATCCTCTTTTCCATCTTCTTTGACCGACCCCGTCAGCGCGATGGAGCGGGCTAGGCGGGTTACGTTGGATGGGATGTTCTGTTGGCCGCTGACGGAAGATTGCCAGGTCCCGTCGCAACAGATGATGATGCGCTTGGGGGTTGACTTCTGTCCTTTGTCGGGTACAAGAGTCTCGCGGGAAACTTGCAGTTTGTCTACTTCCTCGAGGTAGTTGGCGGAGAGAAGGGTGTCTTTGGCTTCATTTGTCGCTACTGTGTGGTGAGTCTTGACGTCTGTCGTCCCTTGGACGAAAGAGCGCCAAAGATTTGACGAGTTTGTACTTGAAGGCGATTTGGGCGACATGTTGAAGTTTGAAGAGGGGGTGGATAGCGATGATCAATTGTCACCTGCTAGGGATTAGATGGCCATGGCGGAGAGGTGGTTATCAAGCAGATACATGTATGGGAGTGGAGGTAGAAGCTTTCCTACAGCTGTATGCGCGTTTCTCGCGGACCAAGAGAAGTCATTGTAGCTAAGGCTGAAGGGCTGAGCGAATTCCCCTGCAGATGCCGTTCCCAGTCAAGCCAGTCCAGCCGAACGCAGTGCTTACAGAAGAATCAACAGATGACTTTACACGTGAAGATCACCTTCATGTATGATCTTACATGACCTTTGTTAAGAAACAACCACTCTGCTGCAAGCTTTGTTTGTAGAGCCGATAAAATACCACATGCGAATCAAAGAAAGACAGGGCTGAAGCAATCTGAGACAACAATGCCGGTTGAACACGGCGAGAAGTCTTAGCAAGGCCAGGTAAATTTCTCCCTCCCTATTTCGGGACGGCTCGTGGCTAGCGGCAATGGCATGCCTGAGCGCGTCTCCATCCTCGCACCACGTCCCGCGTTCGGCACCCCGTTATCTCAACTGAACCCGCGCTTCCAGCTCACCAAGCATTCCTCGACGCGTACTGAATCACATGTAATTGAAGCCGACCACCTCAGAATCCTATTACCGTCTCCGGCGGCCCAAGATAACTCCCCGCGACAGTCCCGTTCACCGCCAACACGATCTTCTCAAGATAGACTTCCGGCGAATTGACCTGCCAACGAAGAGTATGCTTCCCCACGCCCATCCGCGGCAGCTGCACTACCTTTGTCCACACATGATCGGCCACATTGTCGTTCCACTCTGGAGGCGTATCACCCGGTGTAGCAGGGTCGCCAAGCACGCGTGTAAAGTTTGCGGTGCCGCTACTCTCAGCACCGTCATCTGCCAGCGAGAGGGAGAATTCCATCGGAAGGTCTGGGTCTGTGTCGAGTGCGCCGTTGATGTAGGCCGTCGCGTTTATTGTTTTCGAGATGTTGGAGAAGATGTAGACGTCGTATTCTATCCATGCGGCACGAGCTGCTTCTCTGGACCGTCTAGCAGCAGTAAACGGTCTCAGGCCGACGGATCCTGATTCTGAGCGGGAGCCTAGATGCTCGATATGTACGAATGCCACGCCGACATCACTCTCGGATTCAGCGGATGCTCGCTGGTAGTGAGGTCCCTCGATAGAAATGAGGCCGGCCGTCTCAGGAAAACCAATGAAGCCCTCAGGGGCTTGATGGTTTAGCACAGGGATGTGAATCAGGTCAAAGTAAGGAGCCGGACCCCACTCCACGCGAATCGAAACAGTCTCGTTGAAGTCCGCAGGTACTGAGTCCCAATCAATGGAGACTTCAATTCTCTCCGCGGGTTTGTCGTCAGACAAGACGCCGAAAGTAGTGGTCACAAGAACCCAAGGGTAAGGAACCTCCAGCGTCCAATTGATGGGCTTTCGGTGATCGCCACGGTGGAACAGCTCGATGAGTCGGGACTTTGGCCCGTGAGGTTCCATAGCCGGCAAGACTGGAGAAAAGCCCTCGTCGGTTGGTAATGCCGGATGGATAGAGCCGCAGATACGACCTTGACGGTATGCGCTGAGAGAGTTCTCGACGTAGATTCCGAGCTCGCCGACACCCCAGTCGAATGCTTGCCGCTGCTGGACATATGAAAGGTTGGCGACCACGTCGCTGGACGAGGGCCGCCAGTCCGTGAGGTCCATGTCGTATTTTGGTGTAGTGAGCAAGCCTTTCCATTTGCCGTCTAGCATGGCATCGTATTCTTCAGTGAGGTCGAAGTCATCGTCAAAATGTTGGAGAACCTGTTCGGCAATCAGATTTGCAGCGTTTCGCCTCTCGTAGCTGTATTGCCTATTTCTTCCCGAGTTGATCACGATGAAATGGTAGTGATATCCGATCAAGGCGGGATACGTGAGAATATGAAACAACGCGATGCGACGATCCTCCGGTACGACCTCGTGAAGAGCCTGAGCCTTGTCTGCCAGCTGCTTCCAAGCCTCGAGAACTCGTTCTGCCTCACGGTAGTTGAGGATGGAGTATGTCGTGGGCTGTAGTATCTCGAACTTGCGCATCCCGACCAGGTGGCTGTACGTCATGAGCGCAGAAGAGATCTCTTCGGCGTGCTCCAGACCAAAGTCACGAGCTGCGAGTGCCGTCAGGTAAGAGGGAATTTCGGCAAAACCGAACCTGCTCGTGTTCCATGCCATGTCCATGGCAAAAGAAAGTGGTAGCTCGTTGGGCTTGATGTCGCCCACGTTCATGACCCAGATTTGTCGGGCGCCGCGCTCGTAAGCCTGAGATAGCTCTTTGTAGACTTTGGGCTGGATGAGAGTCAGAAGCCTTAGTTATCCTACGATGTTTTCCTTGAGACTAGAGTGGACTTACAAAGTTGTTGGTGTTTTGAGACTTCCAGCTCTTTGGTTTGCCAACATACTGGAAGTGGAAGTAGACCTGTATAGGACCAATATCAGGATTTTATTCTCTTATGAAATCCAGGTGACGACTTACTCCGATGCCTCCGACTCTCTCACTCTCTGAATCGGTCGGTAGTCGTTGAATATTTCTCCAATTGTCGTCAGTGAACATCAAGGTCACGTCCTCAGGAGGATTCAGGCCAGCCGCATAGTATGTAGCAACTTCCTTGTATATCGTCCACACCTCTGGAGCAGTAGCTAAAGTCAGTCAACAGGCTTAGATGTACAGCAGCGGCAACTGCTGAGGAGGGGTGGGTTCGACTCACGATTTGTCGCCGTGTTGTTTCCGTGATACTTTGCCAAGATCTCCCGTTCTGTGGCAAACACATCCTCAAGAACAGCAATCGGATCGTCAGCATCGATGGGACCATCGTCAGTGCCTCGCATTCCCAATGTAAAGTAGGACTCATTGTTGCCCGCTCGGCGAATCCCCTCTTCCATGAAGGCGACCACGTTCTCTTTGTTGTTCACCCAGTCCCAGTCGCCCTTTGGATCTTTCTTCCACTCATTGCTTGCTCGTTGCATGGGCTCATGGTGGCTCGTAGACACGACAATGCCGTAATCATCCGCCATTTGTTGATTTCGCGGGTCATCCGTGAAGAAGATTCTCCCGGGCTTGGGGATGTAACTCGCCCACATGGCAGGCCAGATGAAGTTGGCCTTCAGTCGGAGGAGCAGGTCGAAGACGTGCTGATACAACTCGGAGTCAAGCGTAAAGTTTCCCACGTTATTCTTCTTCCTCCCCCACCAGCCGACGAGTGCGGGTGCTTCGTCATTGATGAAGAGACCTCGGTATTTCACGCTGGGCTCGCCGTGGGTTGTGATCTTGTTAAGAGCAAAGATTTGGGTGTGCTTGGTCGCCGGCACGTCTGCCCACCAATGTAGACTATATTAGTGATGTAATTAGCTCGACAAAGTCTACGGACAAATTTCTGATGCCTTCCTCATTCTTGCAACACTGCGGTAGGGATGCTTGTCATTCTGGACGCCGGATCCTTGCTTGGCTGCAGAAGAGGAAGGCTAGGAGACTCACGGCGACTGTCCACTCTGCTCAGAAAGAGTATATATGCCAAAGATTACGGCTCGCTTATCGCTTCCCGCGATGACAAGAGCGTGGGATATCCCCGGTAAAGGACTCTCAACGACCTGGGTTCGAAACGTCTCCCAGTTCCCGCGAATGTCCTCAACTTCTATCTTTTCGCTGTTGACAAGCTCCTGAATCATAGCAGATTCGACTGTTCCAGCAATGATTGCAACATCGGCGATGATTGTCGAAAATGCTGCCGATGCCGCGGTTTGGTTATTTTCTTCCTGGGCTGTCCACAAGTGTACGGATGGCTTTGTTCCTGTGATTTGCTCGAAGTCGTCGGCCAAGCTATTGACTGCAATGCCGATACCTACAGGGTCGTCGGCATCTTGAATTAGAGTCGCGTCCTGAAGCTCGATAGATCCCTCCGAGGCTTCGAACGCGATGAAAGACTCTTCTAGTAGAGCCGTGATGAGGCTAGCGCATGCCACCGACCACATCCATTGGATACCTTTGTGTACCTTCATAATGGAACGTCGACGAGCCTTATTGGACTAAAGTAAAACATACACGGATGAGATGGACTTGATAGAACGAAGGTGGTTGCTTTGCTCTAGCTCCGCAGGTTGGATATATGGACATGAACTGTGTAACACAGCATCGCGTGATGACCGGAATACTATGTCGTGACAAATGCTGTGGGACGGCCTTCATATCTTCCATGCCACGTCTGTGCAGTTGAACGTGATGATAGCATGGGAAGCTTGATGACGTCCATAGCGGCACACCTCATGAGGTGAACTGGGAAGGGTAAGCATTCCCGTGGGAACAAGGCGACTTCATTTGTTGACCGAGTGAGTGTTTGCAGCTTGACCATCTTGGCGCGGGGTTGCGGGGTTGAGGACGAGGTAAGAGAGCATCGCGTGGTCTTGGAATGATCCTGTGCAGTTGTGCAAGCGGACGAATCATTTTCTACTCGAACCCAAAGGTTGCAGATTGCCAAGCCAGATCAGAGCTTATTTACCCGGAAGGAGACCTGCATGGCCTTCATGTACCCCGGCAGAATTATCCCGATGTCCGAGCATCTCTTGGATAAAGACGATCATTCTTGAACAGTGTGGGTATGGCCATGAACAAAAGCAATGCTGTTCTCGTAACGCCTCCTCTATCTCACTTGGACGTCGACGTTTCTATTCTATCATCGGTTTGTGCGGTCGTAGCTGAGCGTCACTAATCTTTGGTCTCGTCATGTGCATCCCCTCTCTTCTGGAAGACAACTCTGGTTGCGGAGAGATGCAGTTGGCTTCCAGAAACACTCGAAATATCTCAATCATCATCCATGTTGCCATCCGAATAGTACTCAAAGGCGGTGGGCAGTGGTGCGTCTTTGCTGTTGGGGCCGTCCGGATCAACTTCATCCACCAAGTGCTTCTTGACTTCCTGCGCGACAGGCTGGGTAGAATCCACAGGGGCAGAGCCTTGGACTGGTCCCAGTGAGTGATGTGTATGGTCTGCTCGCAACATCATTGTCATCCACTTTGCCCATTCCCAGGGCTTCTCTCGGCCAGATGGCAAGCTGTTGAAGTACTCCCATCCCATGACTCCTCCGAACCGCGCATAACGATTTCGGAGCGTCAGAAGCACAGCGCCGAGCATCTCCCACGGAACCCATCCGCCGCCGTTCTCGGGATTTGTGACTAGACCCATGACGACCTTCTCCGGTGCCCAGCCCTTTGCTAGGATCATCTCGTACATGATCGGGTTGCTGACGTCGCCCCATCCGCAGTAGAACTGAGCATTGTACCAGGCAATCTCCTTCCCTCGCATGACCTCCAGAGCCTCGTAGTCGAAGCCACTCAGGTTGTTCTCGGAGTTCAGCAGCGCCGCGGCCACGGGCGCCATAGAAATGATGAAGTCCTTGCCAAAGTCTTGTCGCACACGGTCAATGAGCCGTATAACACCGCCTAGGCTCATCTCCTCTTCGACGTCGAGGTCGATGCCATCCAGCCCTCGTGAGCGAAGCATGTCGCGCAAGGGTATGTAGTATTTTTCAAACTTCTCCTCGTCCCCATCCAGCCTCTCGTAGGAGCCCTTGGCAGCGCCGCCGAGCATACCAAGTACCTTGACACCGCTGGCCTGCAGCACCCGTAGCTCAGCCCATAGTGTTAGGAATCGCGGGTTATCGGGGGTATGGTCGTTCAACGTGAGGCCATGGGGATCATCGTTAATGTGTATCGCCGCGAGAATCACGTGGGTGACGCTGATCCCTCCTTGGGTAAGGAGGGGGAGGATCGAGATGGGCTTGCCGTCGGGCGTGTGGTGTGTTTGGTAGTAGGTGATTACCCGCGGGAGAGGCTGAGGCGGTACGGGCGGCATTGGAGCGAAAGAGGCTGGCTACCTCGATCCCGCGAGGATCGAGGGCTTCCGTATGGGATTGGAACGACAGACGCGACGCGTGGGATGGTGGAAGATCGGGCGGTTGCATGCGCCAGTGCTTTGGGAGAGCTAACCATGCGGGGTGGAAATTGGGAGGTGTTCGGATTGACGGCCCCTCCGCGAGGCCCTGCTGAGAGGTGCGTCATCAGGGCCCTCGCAGCTGACATAAGCTCATTGCTGTTTCGTCTCACTAAAGGCCTGCTTCACTCACTCCCTCGCTCACTCACATCAACATCTCATCTCATCGATCATGGAAGTTGCGCTTCAGTCATTCATTTTGAACCATTTCTTTGATGAATCCTTGATTTCTTGAATTGATACTCGAATACTTGCATTCATCTTTCTACCGATTCGCCATCCACACCCACCGAGATTACAGTCTAAGGCCGCCACATAGATGAAAGCCTAATAACAACGTCCATCAACTACCCCTACCAGATTGGCTGCTTCCCACCCTTATCCATGACTCTAGTCTTGCTCGGATATTGAGATACCACATAGAAGCATCCAACGGAATACACTGTGAGAATGATCCCAATGACATAGTACAACTTTTGATCGAAGATTTCCGGAATTGTGAGCACGAAGAACCCGAAAGGTGCAAAAGTCCAGATGGTGCCGATGATGTTGACGACGCAGAAGCCAAGAGATAGTCCATGCCGGGAGCCCGCCCTCAGGTAGTGATGTGTAGGTCCAAGAACGATGAGGACGTTGGTGAAGCAGAACCATTGCATGACGGATCCCTCACCCATGAACTCAATGGCCAGAAGCACAATCGAGTACATGCCCATCTGCAGCGCCAGGGCGTATGTAATGGCTGCCGAAATTGATGGCTGCTTTCCGAGGACATTTCCGAAGCTGGCATCGCGCTCTTTGGTGATGGATCGATGGATAGTCCATACTTCCAGCATCGTCCAGAGGAAGAGCGCTACCGACGTGCCTCTCAGGTACCAATGCTCCCCGTACTGAGAGGCGGCCTTGCCAAGGGTGTAGGACCATGTCGAGTCGTGGGCGAGGTAGAATGAATGCATCCAGAAGGGCATGGGGCCCTTTCCTTCACGTAGGGTGAGCCGGACAACGTAGGTATACTGGAGGTAGCCGATGATGAAGCTGACGGCAGAAGCGATCAAAATTGGAGTATTGTCCAAACGATAGACCTCCGTCATACGCTCATAGTAGTTAATGTCCGTCATGTTGCCGCTTGATCCACTGAGGTGAGGTAGTAATCGCAAGTGGGATCTTGTACGGAGTTTGGAGGAGATTCGACGCCGGCAAACGGATGCAATCCAGCACTGAATACCGAGTAGGAAAAAATGATCACCACCAGCAGCATTTAGAAAGAGTCTTCTTATAAGACTCCGAAATCTAGTCTAAGGGAAGGCAATGCCCAGACCTTCATAGCATGATCTAAGTCAAGGTTTGAAGACATCGGTGCCGAGATTCCAAGTCGAGACAGTCTAAGCCCAGCGCCAACGCTATGGCCCCCCTAAAATACCGGCAGCCAGGTTCTTGACACGGATGTCCCTGGTTTCTGGGATTCTAAGAGTGCAAGTGGGATGTTGATGTCTCCGCTTCATCGGGGTCCAACGCACACCGCTTGAACTCTAACGTGGGCATCTCAACGTTGTCAGCCAAGCTTCGGCCGAACACATCGCCGCTCGAGCTGACTTTGCAGAATACACTAGGTAGCAGAAGATGAAATCAGAAACCACGTAAGATTCAAAGCTCATGAAGACCTAGATAACCTCTTCATACTGGTTAATCAGACGCTGAGGCACAAGACCCCGCAAAACCACAACGCCAGCGTGCACAATCCCCCATCTCACCGTCGTCAAGACGTCCGCCATGATCCAGACCAAGCCATTCGTCCTCTTCCGCTCTCTCCGCAGAGCAACTTCGCCCCGTACCGCGCGCTCCGACATGCTCGCAACCAGAGCCTCCATCTCGCCTTGCGGATCCCAAATCATCTCGTCGTCCTCAAAGTCATCCTCATCATCAAAAGCGTCAAACGCCCGCCGCGAAGATGCGCCGTACGATCGACTAGGGCGAGCGTGGTGGTAGGCCCAGCAGGTCAGCGTCGCCAGGTATAGACACCACGGCACGTGGAAGAGGTTCATGGCCTCCATGCTGTTCAATGTTCTCTTGGTTTCGACTAGCATTCTCGCCGCGTGCCATGCTGCTTCGGACGCGGATTGCTTGGATTGATCGCCGTTGGCGTCAGCAGCCCCGCCTCGATCTTGCCTTGGGACGAGTGGGTGGTTTTGCTGCTGCTGCTGTTGTATCTCGCAAGCTGACGCAGCCCATTTTTTCACAACCTGTGCGGATCTGTGGTAGTCTCGCTGCTGTACCGGCCTACCGAGGATGTGACGAGCACCAGCGTATATCTGAACATCCAAGAAGTCCATGTTGAGTAAAGCTTGTGCTGAATGATAGAGAGCCTTGTATGCTGCCGCGAACGACTCGAACTCCACTTTCCGAGTCATGTCTTCGTCGACCTCCTGCTGTTGAACTCCCTGGGCCTGGGAGGCAGATCCCCGTTGTAATTGGGACGCGAAGCTGCCACAGAATGCATCAAAGTCGTTTTTCCATGCGTCGTAGGCGGTGCTCAGCAATTTGCGCCAACCCATCCCGAAGCTATCTCCAGACACGACACCCAGGGCCGTCTGATCACGCCGACCCATGTCCCAAGAGATGGACATCAATCCATGAAGGACTAGTATTCTTGAGAATCCAGTGAGGCCAGCTGGCCGCGGGGCTGACGGTGTCAGATAGGATTTGAGAGTTGGCAAGTAAAATAGCCTCTGGTCGCTAAGACTTGACCGCCATGCCGACGCCCATGATGCGGCATCCCGAGCTTCCCATATGCTCTGGCTGCACGGGAGTTCTAGTCGGAGCTCAAAAGCTGACATGCAGAGACTCTGGCAGAAGAGAACTGCGTGCTGCGTATCCCACATGAAACAGAGCAAGGCCAACCTGAGATTCTGTTAGCCTTCTGCTGACTACAACGAATTGCAAAGGGAACATCAAGACATACCTTTTCTTCTGCTCCGCGTCGGCCCACTTCCTCCATGCCTGGTCTAAGATGCCAGCGTTATCTTCGCCTGAGACTGGTGGCGGACCCGGCGGTCGCACAGTCTGGCAATCGGAACGGCGAATGAGATTGATCAAAAGTCCGTGGAACAAATGGCTCATGTCGTGTTGTTTCTGACCGGCGCGCGACTTGCCAAAGCATTCGACTAGCAAAATTGTCTGCAACGTCCAGAGCTCTGGCCTAGGTGAGAACCCGGCATGGGCAAAGATACTCGGCCGGATGACATCGTGTATGCAAACGGCAAGTTGGTGACAGTCCTTGCTCGAGTATGTGGCACCCAGCAGCAGGATGGACAACAGGAGCAAAGGCTCGGTGTTCCTGCAGTCAAAGGTTTCTAGGTGGATGAGGGGGTATGCGGTGTTGAATCGAGTGAAGAATAGCTCCAGGTACGACTTGAGTGAGTCCGCTGATAGTAACGGGTGCTCCCATATTGTGACGCGTTGGTCAGGAAGGTTCGGCTTGGCGCCATCAATGACGTTTAACAGCCTCTCTCTCACATCTTCGCCAATAGGAGGGATTATAAGCGGCTTTCTCAAGGAAGACAATGGTCTTTCTGGCTCGGTCGGAGTTGGCCGACTGGGTGCAGGGTAACGCTGTCGAGCTGCTGATGGCGCATCGCTAGGCCTTCGGGACGACGCGACTTCTGAGCTCCTCTCCCTGGAGTTTCTCATCGCTTGTCGTCTGGCAGCTTCACTGGCGGTTGTTGAGGTGTTGTTTGGTGGACCGGACGACCTCTGTCTCTCCTGATCCTTGCTACTCATCTCCATGGGCTCCGTCCACAGCTGTGCGCTCTTCATCGACTCCGGTGTGATGGCGACGTTTGCTTGCGATTTAGTTTGGGATTGGTTGTTTGCCATGTGAGCTTCAAAGTCTTGACCTAGGGTCGAAGGTCTCGATGTTGCGGTGGGGGCCGAGTTTTCTTGCATGTTGAATAGCCAGTTGTAATCCAGCGCAGTCGTATATGGCATATTAAAGGAGCTAGCAGTGTCGGGTTGGAAGATCTGATCGTAGTCCAACTGTTCGCTCATGAATGATGTTTCGCCCCAGCTACTGGACTGGGTCGTATCGATATCAAAGTGATTCTCCGATCCTATGAAATCGGAAAACTGTAAAGAAGGGGGGAATCCCGAGAAGTTGGTGACAGGTTCAGTTGGATTGAAAACGTCGTGACGTCCAAAGGGATACTGTTGAGCTTCGCTCTGGCTTCCTGGCCGAAGATCCAAGGTCGAGCGCCTATGAAACTCTGGTGATATGCTGTCGATGGAGTAATCTTGGTCTGGCTCAATGTCCAAGCCGGACAGACGATGATCCCCGTCGTGGGGTTCCGGGTCAGGTGAGGGAACTTGTTGAGCTTGAGGGCGCTCTTTACCCCCCGATGCCCGGCCCCGTCCAGACGGATTCGGGCAGGGCCGCTTTTCTACAACAGACCCGTCCGGGGCCTTCCAAGATCGCTTTCGTGTGTCTAGAACGCCGCAGCCTGGTCCGCCTGCTTCGAGATCTTTTTGGCGGTGACGGTCCATATGCCGTTCTGATTGTAGATGAATATGAAGTCAGCGGGCTATTCATTTTTGAAAGACTTGAGATTGAATTACAAACGGTAATAGTAGTCGACATATTGCTGCTTTGTTTCGTCTTTGAATCTACTTACTCAACAGATCAGGTCGCTTGAAGTGAGCATTGCATAAATCGCAGCTCAACCCGCCAGGCATATGGTTGAGAGCATGACGTTGCATATGCTCAGCCCGAGTGAAGCGTCTGTTGCACCCAGGGTGCGTGCAAGAAAAGGTCTTGTCTTCGCCCATCAAGCCTTCTGAGCTCTCTGAGCGACGATGGTTCTCACCAGCACCAGCCATGGCGTAGGAGTCGTTCATAGTTTCACCGCCGAGTTGCAAATTACACCAATCCACTTCCGAGAAAGGGACCTATGTCAGTCGACCCCTGGCAAATGGAAGGAAAGAAAATTTCGATAACTCGAGCCTTGGGCAGAGACTTGGAAAGACTGGCAAAGTTGGCAGAGTGAAACCACGGTTCAGGTGTCTCGCTCGCTTCGATAGGAGCTCATAGATGGGGGAATGGGGATGGACATAGCATCCGAATGTGCCGTCCCACTTCTCCGCATTCCCTCCGGCTTTGAAGAGTAACGATACCCGGTTTCCTAGGCCGAGTAGAATATCCATACTAGGAAGTATGAGAAATCTCCGATTTGTTGATCGCACAACATCCCGGCACTAGGTCTCGGTGCCGCCCCTCCCCCACTCTTGAAGACTCCCGCCACTTCTGATAAGCATCGTCTCTGGCCTCGCAATTCGTATCCGACAACACCAACATCAGTCCGAAGAGATAAGAGTGGGGTACAGGCGACTTCGGCGTGCTGGTAATGTGCTCCAACTGCGGGCGTATCTTATCTAGCTACTCTAGATATGCGGCAAATCTAGATACGAATCGAACTTTACGTAGGACAATTGATGTTCGCGGAATTGCATACCCGGAGAGAGGAGATGTATCAATTATGGCGATCGCGTTGAGTGCACCAAGTAAAGCCGGCAATGGCCGTGAACTACGCCTCTAGCGACAGTGAATGGATGATACAGCCATTCCACTCTTTGACAACGCTGTAGCATGCATTTGTAAGAGCTAAGATAGTATCTAGCAGCCATATAGCTGGATTATTGTATACAAATTTGACAGCGCACCGACAACATCATCGCATAATACAGTCAACATCAGATGACAGGAAGTTGCATAAGATCTATGAGTATATGCACTAAAGAATTAGTGGTCTCCTTCAAGACAGCATAGACCAGCATAACATTCGCGGCCCCAAGAGTAGACTGGAGCCGTGTGCAACCAGACACCAGCATCATGTCGCCATCAACGTCGAGGAGTTATCTGATTCAAGAAAAGCAACAGCGCGATGCGAGTAGTAAGCTTCACGTGAGTCTTCATCTATTAAATGCTCAATGAAATTCGCCGAACTAATCTTTCCTATGCTAGGTGATAATCGTGGGAGCGGGTCTTGGTGGCCTAGGCGCCGCCATCTCGACGCTGCTGGCTGGACACGATGTCACGGTTCTAGAGGCCGCCTCAAATATTGGCGAGGTCGGTGCGGGCATCCAAGTCCTCCCGAACGCCGCCCGCGTCCTATTCTCCTGGGGCTTAGAGGAGAAGCTGGAAAAGTACGCCACAAAGCCTCAGAAATGCAACTTTATCGGCTGGAAAGGCAACTTCCTGTCCGAAATGGATTATCACAAGTACGCCGCGGCAGCGGGAGATTTCCCCTTCTGGGATTTCCATCGCTCCGACCTGCATCGGTGTCTCCTCGAGCGCGCAGTGGAGCTTGGCGCGAAGCTCGAGACGAATGCAAAGGTCGATACTTTTACAATCTCACCGGATGACACGACGGCTACAGTATACCTCGTTGGCGGACGCAGCCTGACGTGCGATCTTCTCGTTGGCGCGGACGGCATCAACTCCAAGCTGAGGGAGGAGTTCCTGCGCAAGCCTGATCCACCTCAGCTGACAGGGGACCTGGCTTATCGACTGCTTTTGAACACGGCCGACATGCTCAAGGACCCCGAATTGAGGCACTTTGTGGAGAACCCCCAAGTCAACTACTGGGTTGGGCCGGACAAGCACGCGGTGAACTACGTTCTCAAGGGCGGTCAGCTCTTCAACATGGTGTTGCTGGTACCGGACGACATGCCCGTCGACGGCGGCAACACCCTGCAGGGAAACATTGAGGAGATGCGGGGCCATTTCGCAGGCTGGGATCCCCGCATCGGCAAGATGCTCCAGATGTGCGATGAGGTTCTGAAATGGAGACTGTGCATTCGGCCAGGCCTGGAACCAACGTGGTCCCATCCGTCTGGCGCCTTCACGATGCTCGGAGACGCCGTGCACGCGACACTGCCTTACCTGGCCAGCGGGGCAGGCATGGCGCTCGAGGACGGAGGGGTTCTGGGTCTCTGCCTCGCTCGACTGACCGACACTTCAGCCGCATCAAAGCGACAGGCCCTAAAGGTCTACGAGGACTGCCGACGGGAGCGGACGGAGAGGGTCGTCCGCCGCGGAACATACAACCAGTGGATCTATCACCTCCACGACGGGCCAGAGCAGGTTGAGCGAGACGCGAAGTTCAAGGAGTTCGAGGAGATGGACGCGAAGTGGCTGGGCGAGGATTCAGCCGTGTTGCCCGCATCTCAGGAGACAGGAGATGACCCCTTTCCGTGGAGGTATCATGGCGTAGGGAGGTGGTTGTTGACATACGACATGTGGAAGGATATCGAATCGAAATGGCCCTCCGAATCGGCCGGCACATCGGCAAAAGGAGGAAACCCAACCCCTCGCGCAAGTTTGTAGAGCATAAGCTTATTAACCTGTAAAAAAGAAAGTACAAACTTTGAATAATACGAGAGCCTTGAGCCGTTGTGGCCTGTTAATTCCCGGCTGGATCGGGCCCTTGTAAGTTGTAGGTTAGCTGCGATCCTAATTATGCAAAACGAGGAATAGTAAACAATAGTCGCAAAGCCTGCCTTACCGTTTCCCCTGCTCCTTTGTTTTTGGTTCGATAGCCTGGCGGCTAGGCTTTAACCAAGATGAAAAACCTCCGGCGGGGGGGTCATGGAAGCTAGACAGTTTTGGGCAATGTTATTAACCACATTGATCACCAGCAAACTCGCGAGAACGTCAAAACGGTGTCGCCCTGCGTGAAGGCGTGCAGGTATTGGCAGTCCCGGGGATTTGGTTCGTTACCAAGGATACAAACAACTCAACCCAGCCAGCTGGGCCAGCTGAAGCAGCTGAGCGTTATATTGACTCTAGCACAGTGGAGAAGGATGCCGTATTTCGTCCAATAAAGGCTTAAGATGTCTTGAATTGAGAGAGATTAAGCAACACCGACCCCGTCTTACCGTTCCCAGGCCGCGTTTCCCATCCCATGTCCATGTCTGAGGGGTAATATCCTCGGAGCCCTCGAGGACTTCAACACCACCAGAATGGAAGAGCCGCGTACGAAAATAAGGTCGACTAAGGAGGAAGCTAAGAAGAAAAGGGGTACGAAATCCGGAGGGCTGGTAAGCGCGCCGCCTAGCGAGCCGGCGCCTGAAACCAACTAACATAGGTCGGCGCACGGTGCCTGGCAGTCCTGTCGAGAGGAAAACTTGGGAACACCAACATGCGCGTGGCACTCACGATAGTACGAGAAAGCTGAACGACAGCTCGCCTAATCAGCGCTTGGTCACGCTTTCTGGCATGGGGAGTAGGTTGATGAGGAGTCCAGAACCATGGGCTCGCCCACGTGGAGGCTTGCCCACGAGGCAGATTCACGGCGGCCGCTTGTTGACATTTGCTGGATCGTGAGCTGAAGCATCCCGAATACATAAGTCTGCGATCTTCCTCCCCATCTCCCGATTCAGATCTTCTTATCCATCCTCATCATCTCAGAAGCTCCCGAACATCCTCAGCTTCCTCAACCGGGTCATCAATACTCTCTTCAGTCTCGCCACGTGCTCTAGACACCTGCCAATACTTCAAGATGCGTTCCGCTATCCTCGTCGCCGCCATCTCTGGCCTTGCTGCCGCCGGCCCTGTCGCTCCCCGTGACACTACTGCCCAGAACGGCATTGATCTGAGTGCTTTCGATGTAAGTCCACACTGCTGGTAAAGCTTCTTTTCTCGCTTCAAACTGACCCCCAATACAGGCTGAGCCTGTTCCTACCAAGGTTGGCCCCGCCGTCGGTGCCACCGTCGAGACTCCCACCTACGACCCGGCGGCCGCCAAGGCGGAGGCCTCAAAGGATGCCGCGGCGAACCCCATTGCCGTTTCAAACTCCACCTTGACTGCCCGAACGGTTACCCCCGCCGGCTGCGGAGCCAAGCAGCCCGACGGCTACGGACCCGTGTCCAACCCGGACGACTATGACACCTTCATGAGCGACCCTCAGTTCACGAACATTGCCACCAGTGCTCAGGTGCCTGCCGGCTACAGCCTGTCATTCTCCAACAAGCAGGGCGCCACTGAGTGCGGCACTTACTTGGGTCTCTACACCATGAAGACCTTTGACACCATCAAGTGCCAGCAGGTAAAGACAACTTCACCCAGAACAAATATCAAGGAAGCAATATCTAACCGTCAATAGTACTGCGATGCCGCTCCTTCATGCTACGGCATCAACGTCTACATGGAGAGAGACCCCAAGTGGGACCCTACCGATGCGTGCCCCAACCCTGCCAGCATCACCAACTACAAGTGCACCCTCTGGGGTTCCGCCGTCACCGCGGAGACCGCCACCAATGTTGGACAGTGGAGAAACCAGTTCCACGTCGGTGTGACTGGATCAAACGGTACGCAATCCTGATCTTCCCCATGCCAGCTATCGAGAGGGCTAACTGACTCCGAACAGGATACTCCAAGCTTGCGCCTCCCCCTTCTTATGCCGACTTCGACGGGCCCTTTGCCTTCGGCGGCGCCACCCAGGCCCCCAAGTCATACATGGGATCCAAGTACTACCCCGGTGTCTACAACCCTGAGCAGTGCGCCGTCGCCTGCAAGGCCAACACCAAGTACGACCACGACCACCCCAGAGCTGACGGCACCTACGATGCCTGCAACTTCTTCAACGCCTACGTCCTCAGCAAGAACAACGTTCCCCAGGGAACTTACTGCTCCTTGTACACCCAGTCTTGGGACAAGTCCTACAGCACCAACGTCGGACAGTGGAGAGGCAGCGACTACTACTCCGTCTCCTCCAGCTACGGATACACTCTTACTGTCCAGGACGCTGGGAAGATCTAAAGGGTCGGGCTTTCTTGCGAGCGTCCTACGCTTCTCGAGGCTCTAGTCACTTTTGACACTTTCAATGCTTATGAGACCATTGAAAAGTTGGACAGGTCTTGTGTGGCGATGCATAGATTGATCACAGACCGATACGATTTCAAGAATAATGAGGCGGAATGAAGAGTGCATTACACACCTAGTCTATAATTAGTAACGGTAGTAAATATTGATGATAATTGCATATTATAAAATCTCCAAATGACATTGGTGGGCCTTCCGAGAAACTTTCTGTATCAGTCATCATGCTTTGGGTCTCTGTCCAGCAAAATTTAGAAGCAAAGAAAACTTGTAAAGTAGATCAGCAGAAACGCCAAATAAGAGTTGAGGGCAGGTGGCAAGACCTTGACTGTTCCCATGTTCCCATGTTCCGCAAATCAAACTTCGAAACTCCCCAGGTCTTCTATTTCATTAAATCAATGTATTTTTCCATTCATGATGATGCTTCAGATGAGACTGCACATGTCGCCTCTAGTAATGATCTTTACATGTAAGCTCTAGTAAGTCTAAGCAATCGCTGTAACCTCCGCATTGTCAACCTTGTAGAACTCATAGTCATTGTATCCCTTTTCAGGAGGCTCCGCCCCGTAGAAAGTCGTCCTGTCGTACGGGTTCAACTCCCACCCGTTCTTCAACCGCTCCACAAAGTCAGGGTTGGCAATGAAGTACCTGCCAAACACAATCGCATCCGCCTCGCCGCTCTTCAACTTCGCAACAGCATTGTCGCGGTTGAAGTTGCCAGCGGCGAAGAAGTGGACACCTGCCGGCTTGAGAATGTCCCTGAATTGTGTCAAATTGTTCGTCTGTGTCGCCTCGGACTTGGTTCCAGACAACGAGGCCAGCTTTTGTTCCTCATCGAGGACTTCGTCAAAGCGAGGCTCGATCCTAAATTGAATCATCAGTGACTGTCCTCTTTTGGAGTGGTTACTTAGAAGCAGATAGTCTTACATGTGCACATAAGCGGGCCTCTCAGTCTCTGACATCTCTGCAATCTTTTGGCTAATGAATGACCAGTGCTTGTTGGGGTTGCTGTCTCTTGTGCCTTGGAAGTAGTTGTACGGCGAAAGGCGGACGCCGACCTTCTCGGGGCCGATAGCGGCACTGACGGCCGACAACACTTCGAAAAGGAATCTTGAGCGGTTCTCTATTGATCCACCGTACTCGTCTGTGCGAGTGTTGATGTTATCGTGGAGGAATTGCTCAAGCAAGTATCCGTTAGCCCCTATCTTCATGTTAGCTTATTCGTAGCAAGCATTCAATGCGCGCGACATATCCTTACCATGAATCTCAACGCCATCAAAACCAGCAACCTCAACCGCCCGCTTCGAAGCCGCAGCCCACTCTGCAGTCAAGCCATGGATCTCCTCTACAGTCATGGGCCTGGGAGGGCCATCCTTGCACGCAGTTCCATCAAGGTAGTTGCCATCCATAGGTTGAGTACCGGAGGAAATGGGCGTCTCGCCTCCACGCATGCCACCTGAAGATGCTCTACCAGTGTGCCAAAGCTGAACGAAAATGAATCCGCCCTTGGCATGAACGGCATCAGTCACCTTGCGCCATCCTTGCAGCTGAGACTCGGTGAAGACGCCTGCGACACCGGGGTAGGCGCTGGCATTGAGGCAGATGTCGGTGGCCTCGGTGATTTGGAGACCGCCGGCGCTGGCTCGCTCGCCGTAGTACTTTGCTACACGAGCGCCTGGAACATGGACGCCGCGAGACTCGAATTCACTTCTCATACGAGTTGTGGGTGCCTATCAGGTATGTTAGCATCTAATGATTGTCATATTTCGTTAGGCTTTTTGAACTCACTTGCACGATGCGATGCTTGAGGCTGATGCCACCCAACTTCAGGGGGGTGAACAGCACCGTGTCCTTGAGAGCGGCAAAAGCCGGGGGAGGAGTAGTTGCTTTGGGCATGGTGTGAAGCTATTCAGGAAATATGGTCAAGACCTAGTATTGGATTGGGGTCTTGATAGGAAAGGGGTGTGCTGAGGTGTGTCGAGCACTAAGAAGCTCATTCACCGTCGTTGAATATGGCAGGTTTTGAACATGTCATCTGAAGCCCGGAACCACAATTGCAAAGCCACTATTCCGTGCCCCTAAGGGTACATTCTGGCGTGTTAGTCGTGATCGTCATGTCGATGCATCGCTGGGAGTGTCTCGAGATGCCCCCATTCCTGTGCAAGAGTGGAGAGTGGGGAGGACTACCTGGGTTGGGTTGGGATGAGTGGGATATCTCGGAAGTGGGGGTGCACTTACATTGAACGCGTCCAGTCGGCAACCTTGACTTGCCGTATCTATTCCTATCTGTATGGTGTATTCTAAAGAGCACAGCCATCAGTCAGTCCACTTCTAATTATCGGTGGTGTTATCCCCCCCGGTGTGTTACATTCGGCAAACCATGGTTTAGTGCAGTCTAGACACGGGGAACTCGGGAGTACGGGAGACCGCGCCTTTCCCCCCACATGTTCGCAGATAGACATGGGGAAAGCTCTCGTGGGGCTGTCATCTCATAGGAGCAAGGGAGACGATAACAAACATCTTCAAGTCATCGCTTTGGTAACAGATTGATGTGAGTCGGGTTCGGGAGAAGCGACTTTGATGGGAGAACACCAACGACTGGACTGATATTGGTAAGCAGTTCAAGCATGGCGAACTTGCAAGATGGCCGTGTTCCAGGTGGGCTGGTTCTTCTTGCCGGGGAATCGCACGGTGCTTTCGTCTGACACAATTCCCTCGACTCTATCAACTCTTGGAGGCCGTGATGATCTCGAGAACTCTGCGTGTGTTCGCGAATGAATTTTAATTTACATCGTACCAGTGGGGTTTAAAATACAATATCCTGCCTGAAATACTCCCTAAGACAATTGTGGCAAACCTAGCCCAAGCTGCATCGGCACCTGGGCCTTGAGCAATAATAGAAACACTTCTGCGCTTCGGCATCGCATCAGCAGAGTTATAGACAAATTCACAAATTGCATCGTCTTTTGAGTAAAGGTTCGGCGAGGAAATTGATGTTTTCATTATAGTGCAGCTCTGCATCAAGGCTTCTAGCCAGGAGCCGAGTTCAGAATTTGCAAGTTGGTCGCAATATCTAGAGAGAAGCGTGCCCGTGGGTCTCATAAGGCAGTCCAATGCAAAACAAGCCCACCACGATCCATAAAGCAGCACTAGCATAGATAGGCACGACAGTGTATCCCGCATACGTCGACACGAACGAAGCCGCAAGGCCGCCGACGCGAAGAAGAGTAGCGGCAATGCCAGTGCCTGTTCCGCGAACTGGGCCGGGGAAAGACTCGGGCGTGAAGGCATACATGACAGCGTACTCTGCGAACATTGGTTAGCGATTGCACATGTATAATTAGAAAACGACTTGAGGACCAACTTACCAAAGTTTCCAAGAATTCCGGTTGCGCATTGGAATCCGATATCAGCCGCTTCCGTGCCCACAGCCGTATAAGCGAACAAGAAAACTCCCGTCAAGACCGCAGATGCAGCCATCATCCAGCGGCGGCCAAAGCGTGTCTCAACGCAGAAGCCGGCCGCGATGGGTCCAAGAACACCGGCCGCAGAAACGATGCAGTAAATCATGTAGGTGTGGTTCAGCGAGGTATTTGCAGAGTAGGTAGACTTGGTTGCGAGGTATGACGGGATGAAGGCGAAGTAGAGCGGGTACGCCACACCGACGGTCAGCCAGATAAGGAACGTGACGGACGTGTGCTGCGCCATCTTACGACCGGCAAACAATTTCTTGTAGTTGTCGGCGTTGTAGTCCCTGAAGCTTTCTTTAAGGATCTCCATGTGGGATAGCTTGGAGCCTCGAGGCGCCATGTCGGGGTCGACCGCCGCAGCGGCGGGGGCAATGCTACCGGCGTCTGACTCTGAAATACCGGCACATTGTCTGTCGATGGCTTGCAGCATTTCGAGGGTGAGGGTTTCCGGTCGCTTGTTGTAGCGCGCAATGTAATTTACGGCTTCGACAGCCTCGGCATCGCGACCCTTGGAGATAAGGAATTTGGGCGATTCGGGGATTTTGAAAGCCACGATACGGATCAGACCAAAGGCAATGGCGATACCACCAAGCGTGATCATGAGGTAACGCCAGCCCATATTATCTTGCATGCGGCAAGGAGCTTCCGTAGAGTCGCAGGCAAAGTTGGCCAAGAAAACCCACGCCAAGAGCGACACGATAACCTGTCCCAAATTCCACCACCCAGACAAGCTGACGAGCAGCCACTGATGCGTCTGGGGAACAAACTCCAGAAACACGACGCTGTCAACGGGCACGTTACCGCCGGCCGCCGTACCGATAATGGCCCAAATGATGCAGAAACCTGTAAAGTTTTGAACGCCGGCCACGGCGCACGCAAAGACGCCGCCGTAGAGGATCGTGGCGTTGAAGGCGGGCTTGCGACCGATGAGATCGGCGGTGGTGCCCCAAAAAGAGGCGCCGACGATCAGTCCAACGTAGTACGCTACGGAGCTGAAGCTCAATTTCGCAATGTCGGTGAACTCGTTGCCGATCGGTGGCCGGATTGCTGTGATTCCCTGGGACCAAAAGTTGTCAACAATCCAGCCGAAACCGTTGACGACGAAGAGGATCCATTGGAATCTAAGAAGGAAGGGAACAACGGTCAGCTTTTCCTCCATCATGCGCCGGTAGTATGAAGCCAGAAAGCGAGGGAGAGTAATCTCAAACGTACTTTCCCATGCCAATCTCGCCCAAGTGCTTCGCGATGAGCTCCGACTTGAGACGGTAGTTCTCGTTCACGGCGCCCGTGTAGAAATCACGGAGGACTGAGTCGCCGACGGAACTTGCATCTCCCTGGATGACGGACCCGGAGGCCGTCTGCCTCAAACCCGACTCCGTCGCATCCTTTGTGACACTCTTCTCGCTCGGAGCAGACATGATGGAAACAGCCTGGTCGATTCGCAAGGGGGGACAGGAAGAATGTCTGAGGGAAAGAAAGAGAAGACGATGAACAGCTTCTGACTTGGGCCCTTTTCTCTCACGAAAGAAAAACGAAGAAACCTGGGACCTGACTTCTTTCGGATCCTCGAATGAGATGAGCCTTGTAGGCGCCTAGTCCCCCAGCTTTATTCAATCCAGGAACACCAAGGGACGAGCTCTCTACCTGACATGAGAGGGCCAATCTTGCAAGGTACCGGCAGCCAAGGTCGCAAGGTCGAATGGATATCAGCCAACACGTTGTACTTGCTTACACTCCACAGCTGGCATAATGAGCGTCCCCGTACATGTATCGCCAGGGGTATCTTTCTCTGGGGTGAAGGACAAATCAAGGGTCCTGATTTCCCACCGGGGAGAAACTGTCTCTCACCTCAGCCTCAGAATGGGGATATGGAGATGATTGCCGTGCTATCACTCGTCCACGGCCGGTACGGAGTATGGGTATCTATCTAAAGGTGCCGCAAGGGCGTGGGCTCTCTCTATCTCTGCCCTTTCACCCGTCACCGACGGTGTGTGTATCGCCCCAATCCGAAGAGCTCTATTCGTCTATTTCCTTAAGGGACGAAAGAGAGACACTTGTACCAGGGATTTATCCCAGAGATTACGGGTCCCCACCCCCACTTTGGTATGCACGGGCTGTTCCAAACCTGACATTGACTCCATTCCGGCTAGGATGTCTGACATGGCGCTCTGCCAATCAACACTACCACGCACCGCGTCAAGCCCGCGTTTAGAGTTCAGAAAACAAGGAAAAACGATTCGACAAACCCTCCCGCACTGCATAGCGTGCGAGTGATGATTTCATAGATGCGGGTTGGCTGTGGTCCGGAGATGGGCACGCAATTCTGAAGAAACCCATATTAAAATGTCTGCAGAGGAAATTTCTGCAAATTCGAGGGACTAATGACATAAGAGAAAACAACATGGGACTTTGTCAATTGCGTCTATTTCATTTTGAGGCCAGAACAAACAACGTGCTTCGTAGTAATAGCCGCAAAGACGACTCATGCTTGTTGAGCTAACATAACAGTCTACATGGGTCTTGCGCCATATCTCGCCCGAATTCTATGTAGCTCACTATCAGTCTGATCTTTTTAAAATACATACGTCACACATGTACGCCCAGTCCTTTCAACGGAGTAATTAACTCAGATCGACCGGTCTCACTGTAGGACCAGCTGATGCTACATGTACATACATACTGCTTCTCGTTTGCCCACACCGCTCTGCCCTTAAGTCGCACCGCATGAAGCGCGATTTAATACATGTCCGGCGCTTGTAAGAAACCGCCAAAGTAGTTATCCAGCCATTGCGCCGCCATCCCACCGGTGCCGCCTTCGCTTGCCTGCCAGCGGCCGATGGTGCCCACGTAGCCGTCCGGTCGGACGACGATGAGGGAAGCTTCGTCCGTTCCGAGACCCCCAAGCCACTTGTCTGTACAGGAGCGTCCTTGTGTATCCAGAGGTGCTACATCGTCGAGGTAGATGGTCCACCCACTCTGTGAGAACACGGGAGGAAGCGAAGAGATCTCAAAGTTCTCCTTATCCGTAGATGCTGGAATACAGAGTCAGCAGCGACACTTCATTGGCTAGGTTGAGAGCGCGGAGCCTCCTCCGACGTGGAGAACTGGAGATAGGACACGAAAAGGGCATGGATGGAGATCAACTTACTGATGAGCGCAAATGTGCACAATTGACTGACGGACGTATACCTCTCAGGGCGTACATGAATATCGTCCGTCCGACTGGCGCGTGGCTTGACTTTGTACGACTGCGCCGCCGCTGCGGAAAGTCTCGTCACCAATGAAGACGCAGATGCTACGCCGGTGCTGAAGTCATGCAGAAAAGAGACACCCGCAGCGTTAGAGACATCGTTCAAGACTGCGTAGATGCGGAACTGGCCCAAGACCGGAATGTCGAGCTGCACGTCGATAGGGCAAGTATCGATATAACGGGTAGCCTTTGCAGGCGGGAGGTTGCATCCCGGTTTCGCAGCGCCCTTGACGCCGTCATCCCGACCCCGGTTGAGCTCGTTCTCGCCATACTCAACTCCAACGCCCGAAATGAACCGCGTGTTCGTCTTGAAGTTATCTGCCAACCGCTTCGCGTCACCGCGAGCAATCTCGTTGGCATGCTCAAAGTCGAAGTTGATGAGATCGTGCGCAATCTTCTTGCGCTCCTGCTCATAGGTCGCAAGCAATACGTCGCCCTTTGCGAGCCCGCGCAGAGCGAGGTTGAGCTTCCATCCGAGGTTCCAAGTGTCATGGATACTTGTGTTCATGCCCTGCGCCGCCTTGGGACTGTGCGTATGGCTGGCGTCGCCGGCGATGAAGGCGCGCTGGGCCGGGTCGGAGAAGCGGGCGGCCACGCGCTGGGCGACTTGGTAGTTGCCGAACCATTCTACGGAACGCCATTTGACGCTGTAGGGTGAGAGGATCAGGCGGGCTTGTTCCATCACATATTCTTCTCCGAGGTCTTTTGAGGATGTTGAGGCCTTCATCTCGATGTAGAAGCGCGTCATGTTGCGTTCGCGGGGGATGATGAGAATGGAGCCGTACTTCTCAGAGAAGACTACCGTCTTGCTCCAGAGGTCGGGAAAGTCGGTCTCTAGTTCGCCATCGAGGACGCCCCATACCGAAGCATGCGGTGAACCTTGGGCGAATGTGTCGGGGATGCTCTTTCGAACGAGAGATCGCGCGCCGTCACATCCCACCAGAAACTCCGAGTTGATGGATGTATTTCCTTCCCCTTGCCGGTCACATTCGATGCTCAATGAGCCATCGTCCAAAGTGCTGTAAGTCTGGAAGCTGTGGCTACGTTTCACTTCGACACCGCTCTTGCGAAGGTCATCAATAAAGACACCTTCAATCATGCCCTGGTGACACAGCAGAATGTACGGTTGCAAGAGATCCACGACAGAAGGAGGGTAGTGGATCGAGCGACTCAACCGGTGCAGGTCAGAATCACTCGAGCTCTGCCACATACAAATGTCATGGACCTTAACACCGGTGCGGAATAGCTCGTCGCCGAGGCGCAGCATCTGTAGCGTCTCAATCGACTTTGGCTGAATTCCATCGGCGCGGCCTACTGTAGTCTGATCTGGCCTTTCGTCAATGACTTGGACCTTTTGACCGAATCTTGCCATAAGAGATCTGTGTTTGCATGTCAGCACGGAGGAGCTGGCCGGGTGTGCGGGGCGGACATCGGAGGGAGTGGGGCACAAACCCGAGCATTAAGCCGGCTGGTCCGGCTCCGACGACGCAGACGTCGGACTTGGATGCGTGTCCATTTTGGTGCGAGCCGTTTGTGTGGCCATTGGTTTGTGAGCTCACAGGAGTTGATGAGCTTGTTGTCATGTTTGCTGTGATTGCCGACCCGAAGTCGTTATGTGGCTGTAGTGTCTAAGTATGGATGTCTTTGAAGAATGGAACGCTTTCTTGTGTAGATATGTTTGGAGTGTGTATGATGCTCTCACCACCAATGCGATCGTTCGTTTGAGCAAAATGAGACTGTATAAAGGTACTCAATCTTGCCTTATCCTCGCCTCAATAACGAATCGTCTCATCATTCAGGGTGGTTCGATATTCGGCCGATGTCGATGCAAATTAACATCCCCCATCATTCAATGCAGAGGAAGCCAACTCTTTCCTAACTGCTGACTGATGAACAAGCATAGCGCCATTGACTGCAATCCCACCCACTCTCCTAGGTATGGCTTCATGTTCCCTATCGGAACCCCTCTCGATCCCCCACTTACGAACGTGTGTGTTCGCCGCACAAGCCAAGTCGCGGGGTCACGGGAGGAATCCGCGGGGAAACATACCAAAGCAATCGCGACCTATCCAACATGCGAAGCTCCACTGATAAGCCCAAGTGGCCGATGGAGACATCCCGAGCGAGGGCGGAGTCGGACGACGATTCCGCCAATCAAGTGGTCTATGCTCCGAAGATCGGCATCCCGAGCATCGTCGGCAAGCCGGGCCCGCTTTGGTTTAGCGTTTGGCACCATCGTGGCAATAGCTTTGCGGTGTTTGTGTGACTCGGCTAAAGATTGAAGATACTGAGAGGCATACTGCGAACTGACGAGAACATCATTCTAGAAAGACTGAAACGGGATTCAAACAATGACGCAAATCACGATCTCTGAGCCGGCACAAGCTTGGCAAGATGTCGTATCTAAGAAGAGACAGCTCCGGGCGGAAGCTATCTCAGCATCCATTGGAGACTCAACGAATGGCCCGAAAGAACTTGAGATCACGACTATAGCTGAAGCCTCCCAACTTGTCTCGAAAGTTTCACGTGGTGAGGTAACGAGCGAAAACATTGTGAAGGCCTACATTCGGAAGTATGTGGATAAGCAACCAACATGGGCCTGCAATTGTAGAGCCTCTTCCATCTCCCTGTGTCTAACGTGGAAACTGATACTGATGAGTCTGCAAATATTAACAGGGCTTCTGAGGTGCACAACAAGGTATGGCTCTCATCCGAAAGTGACAAATCCTTCACTAACTCAGGCATGTCTTAAAAGACGAACTGGTACGTTTCGAAATATTGAACTTGGGCGGGCGTTTTGTTTCGGCAGATATGATACGACTTTTTTCTGAAGATTCAGCTAATATCCGTTACACGTCAATGTAGTCTGACGGAAATTGTATTTGATGATGCCCTGAAGCGGGCTAAGGAGTTGGATGCCTACTTCACCGAACACGGGAAGACCGTTGGGCCCTTGCATGGCGTGCCAGTCACACTCAAGGACCAGTTCAATGTCAAAGGATATGATACAACTCTCGGCTACGTTGGCCGGTCCTTCAAACCTGCTGCAGACGATGCCGTTGTCGTCAAGATGCTTCAATCTCTGGGCGCCGTTGTCATTGCTAAAACGAATCTGCCACAGAGCATCATGGTAAGTAGTTGGACATGTCCTTAATGTCTATGAATACGAGTGCCCCTGCTTTGTTAAGATGCAAAGAAGCTTACATCGTAATAGTGGTGTGAGACGGACAACCCTCTTTGGGGCCTGACTACCAACCCCAGGAGCAAGGATTTTACCCCGGGTGGGTCAACCGGCGGTGAGGCGGCCCTGCTTGCTTCTGGTGCAAGTATGCTCGGTTGGGGGACTGATATTGGAGGAAGCATTCGTATTCCGTCTCACATGATGGGAACGTACGGCTTCAAGCCTAGCGTGAGTCTTATCACTGGCAACCTCAGAACTCACTTGGCCTCACGCGAGAATTGACCAAGTATGGAGCATCACTGACGTACTGATCAGAGCGGACGACTACCCTATCTCGGGGTTCCGGTATCAACCGAAGGGCAAGAACATGTGCCTTCGTCAATAGGCCCCATGGCCCGCAGTCTGTCCACAATCCGCCTCGCCATGGAACAGTTGATCAGCGCCAAGCCCTGGGAGCTAGACGCTCGCTGCGCACCGGTTCCGTGGCGAGAGGACTTATATAAGGAGACTAGCTCTAGGCCTTTGACTATTGGAGTCCTCTATGATGACAATGTTGTCCAACCCCATCCGCCATTGACGCGGGTTCTCCGTTCTGCTGTAGAGCGCCTGCAAGCAGCGGGCCACGAGGTCTTGGAATGGAATGCAAGCTTGCACGAAGACTGCATCAGAACGATGGTAAGTTAAATAAGTCTGTATTTGAGAGACGGTGACTGACTGTTCCTGCAAGGACCTTTTTTACACGGTTGACGGCGGCGAAGATATTCGGAAAGACGTCTTGGCTGGTGGAGAGCCCTTCATCCCCCACGTCGAGAAGCTTCTCAACCGCGGAAAGCCAATTTCAGTGTACGACTACTGGCAGCTTAACAGGCGGAAGTGGGAGTTGCAGCAAGCATACCTAGAAAAGTGGCAATCCATCCGGTCGCCCAAGACTGGTCGCATGGTTGATATCCTCCTGCTGCCACCTATGCCTCACTCAGCTGTGCCGCATGGGGGTTGTCGATGGGTGGGATACACCAAGGTGTGGAATTTCCTCGATTACCCTGCCCTCGTCATTCCCGGAGGCCAGGTGAGCCGAGAAGACATTGATCAGCCGTGGGCGGAGGAAGCTAGGGGAGTTGAAAACGAGTGGAACAGGAAGTTGTGGGAGGATAACAAGGAGACAATGGCTTCTCTTAGTTTGCCTGTGGGACTTCAGATTGTTGGTCGTAAACTGGAGGAGGAGATGGTGCTTGCAGCTGGGAAGATCATCGACGACATCCTCAGGGATAAGAGCTAGATTGTATGTCAATGTTAGAGTAGAAACTTCGATTTTGATCCTGACTCAGAAATCCTGCATGTTTGAATTAGTGATACACAGTAGGAGAATCTGAAAGCTCAACGCGCACACGTTCTAGACTCATGCAGACTTCGTTAACCGACGGACAAAGCCGTGAGCACGGACAATGAGCAATCGTGTTTCAGCGCGAGAATATGTGCTTTAATTTCAGCCGAGCCTTCCCCATGCTATGATAGGTGCCTGCTAGGTAATTAGTCAGTCTCAAGAGTCAATAGTTCAATCAGCGGTCAAACCAATGCGTTGTCGCTAGGAAATTGGACTCGATGCTTCTAATCACAAGTCATCAGGAATTTTGTTACATTGCGTATCATCCACGAAGAAGCAATTTGGCACTAACTTGATTCTTTCAAATGTGTCATTTATGAGGCTACGTGAATCTATGATTGTGTCTTCTTCCATTCCTCGTACTTCTTCATGACCTCTTCCTGGCTGGCAGGCATTAAGCCACCTTCAGGGGCAGGGTTCTTGGACTTGAAATAGTCACTCATCTGTTGACACATGAGCATCAGCATAAGCTCCTACACAATAAAGAGTGGGGGTGGAACCTACCTCGCCCATGGTCACCCACTCAACGCCTTCGTGCTTATTGATGTGCTCAATGATCCGCTCGTGCATGAGTAGCACGTGAGGCCGACCCGAAACATCGGGATGGATGGTCATTGGGAAGATGAACTCATCTTTGAACAAGGATCAGTTCACGAAGACTTATTCGTCCAGCAGGGAGTCCCTCAGCTTACCATATTCTCGGTAAAAGTAGTCGAAGTGGTCTCGCCAGATGTCTTCAACATCCCTGTTGGAAGGCAAGATCAGCCAGCGCCCTCATAATCCACATGAATGTAACTCAAAGACTTACCTTGGGTTCACCCAACCGTGTGAGTTTGCAGAGTTCTTCATAAACATCATTGGTGGAAGGTCATCAATGTACCAAGACCCGGGAATCTCGACCAACCCCGTCTCTTTGCCCTTTACCAAAGGCTTCATCCATTCCTCTGCCTTTTTGGTATAAGTCAAACCCCCCACTTCCTGGCACCCCCCTGTTTCTGGCACCCACAAAAACGATGGGATCACAACCCAACCTCCTCATTACTATTAACTATTGATCCTCAACCACACCCACTACAATACAACTGCCAGCCTCACTAGGGCATTCAGAGTCGCTGGATTCAGCCGTAATAACCTCCTTTTCACCCGCTTCGATTTGAGCCCGATGGATATCCCTGATGTTCGCAAACTTCGTGTTGGGATCGAACAGTCTTCCTCTTCCTAACTGCAGCGTTGGTAACTTGAGCCTCTCAGGTGAGCCAGCTGCTGCTGGGCAGCTGCCAGTTGCCAGGCCTGCTCTGTGAAGCCTTTTTTCACCTTCCTGAACAGCAGCCGTTGAGTGCTGGTATCATTGTCGAGTTGGGTGTATAAGTGCAGTTGACCGCTGAGCTCTGCCAGCTTCCTGGGTGTCGACCAGACCACTGCAGAGGAAGCAGAATCCCATGGCTCAACAGGGTAGTTTGTTGACCATTATGGCATCGCTTTTTGCCCCGACTGGTTGGTTTGTGTGGTGGGCTTAGCAGAAGGCTCAGGTAATACCATAGGGTTCATCAGGGGCTTAACCATCGCTACAGGGTGTAGACCAGTCCACTTCCAACCACTTCTGATGTTCGAGACTGATAGACCAGCAAGTCGAGCCTTCTGGTAACAGTCCAGGAAGTTCCTTTTACCTATAATGGTAGAGTCGTTCCATTGAGACAAGTAACCGAGCTCCTTCCGATAGGCTGACTTAACAGGGCTGAAGACAGATCAAGTGGCTGGAGGACATGAGAGGAGTGTGGTGGTAAGAACAGTAAATGGATATTGTTAATATAGCAATTCCACATGAAGTCTGTCGTCGTATGACTCCCATGCCCATCCACAATCAACAGTCGAGCCTCGCCCTCAGCCTCGGGCATAGTCTGTGGGATAAACACCTTCTCTAACCATTCAATGGCAGTTAAGTCTGTAGTCCAGCCATTATCTGTTGCTGTAAACTCCCACCCATCGTATGGAACCAGATGTAATGGAAACCACTGTTGTTGGACCGTCTTCCCTTGAAAATGATAAGAGGACGAAGTGCCCTACCCAAGGCTGAGATACACTCAATGATAGAGACCCATGCCCTCGACCCAGGTTGTTTCTTGCGAACAGACGTCGTCTCAGCCATGCCCAGCACTAACCCATTAGCTCCTGACCCTCGAGGATGCCAGTCTCATCCATATTATATCTGTTGGCTGGTTTGATGTCCTTGATCTCAGGGATAGCAAGGAACTTAAACCAGTTCCTAATGACCTCAGTAGATGCCCCATTAACGCGTCTAGAATCGATGGAACGACTTCTCTGAACCTTAATGATAGGGTTCCTTCTCACGAAGGCATAGATCCAGCCTTTCCTAATGGTTTGGTATCCCCAGCAGCAGCCAGAACTCGCTCTGCGAATTCCTTCACCTGTTGGTGCGTTGGTGCGAGGCCCAGCGAAGCCTGAATGCGAACCCATTGTGCCAGCTTACTCTCCTGGTCAGGAGACAGCCTCTGCCAGTCAGCAAAAGCCACTTTCCTAGTCTGACCACCTTGGAGACGTAGTTGGAGGGTTGATCGTGGTATCCCATACCCAATGAGGCTCTCTTTGACTCTTGCCGTTTGAGATGTCCTCGAGAGCCTGACGAAGCTGATCTTCGGTATATTGAGGCATTAGATATAGAAGAAGGTATGTGCAAAAATGAGCCCATTTGGACTCGAATTGAAAATGTTGTGTGATAAAAGGTTGGGCATTGCGTTGTGGTGGATTTTCGCGTTTTTGTGGGTGCCAGAAACAGGGGGGTGCCGGGAAGTGGGGGGTTTGACTTAATCGATCTTGGTCCAGCTGTCACCAGTCCTCAACCAATATGCTTGGCAGTCGTGGTGCGACATGGAGTGATCATACTCGATACCGTAGCTCAGCATCAGCTCAGTACCTTCTTCGCTCGTCTCCCACCACGGGGCAACGCTGCCCTTGGGCGGCTTGCCGCAAAACTCTGTGAGCATCTTCCACGTTTTGTCCAGAACGTCGCGCTGCTGCTCTAGCGTCATGTCGACAGGGTTCTCGTGGCTGTATCCGTGCAGGCCGATCTCGTGGCCTGCATCCCGCACCATGGCGCATTCTTCTGGGAACGTCTCCAAGGAGTGGCCAGGAATGAACCAAGACGCTTTGATGTTGTACTTTTCAAACAGCTTCAAGAGTCGACGTGTACCAATGGTTCCAGCCCATAGACCTGTTCAAGCGTCGCAAGGTCAGTGGTGTAAGCTCCAGCTGGTGGTGAGACTTGACGACGAAGACCCTCCATGATTGCAACTAACCTCGACTGATGTCACTAGTACTGTCTTCACCACCATATGACCCGAGCCAGCCGGCAACGGCGTCGATATCCACACCGTAGCTACGGTAACGGGCAGGTTAGTACGCATGCATATGTGACAGCACTACCGTGTCTTGCTCGAGGGACCACTCACCAGACGAGAACCTTCTTCTTTCCCATCGTAAGTACTGATAAAAGATTGTCTTGGGGTATGATTGAGTAAGTGGAAGTGGTGAATATGTCTCTGTGTATCACCTAAACACTCTGTACTTGAAGGTAGACTTTATGCTAAGAGCTTCTTTAGCCTGTATCACTCCAGATATCTCATGAAGCACCACCTGTCATTACTTTGATATCCAGACCAACTCGGAGGCACCAAAGCTCAAGCCTGTGGAAGCTTCCCTGCAGGCAGGAAACGTCTCCACAATAACTTGCCAGTTCCCCGTTAATTCAACTGCATCTACGCTTATCGACGCGGCACCGTCTCAAGTCTCCCCATTCTTGATCTCCAGTGTGTGTCCTGCGGCTTCTAGACGTACGGATGCCTCCACCAGTTGATGCTCTAATTGGATTCCATCCTGGTCACACTGCTTGAGCATCTCTGGCTGTTGGTTTTTCCACTTCTGCATTATCGTTGTTCAACTGATCGACCCCGCCCCCACTTCCACCCTTGACTTCCCCATTTTCCACTTTTGAATGTTCCCATTCTTCATACCCAAACAGCTTTCCGTATCTCGCAGCAAAGATAGGCGAAAGATGGCCGTCTGCTTTCGTTAGCCCCGCGTACTTCAGGAAGGCGACTACTGGAACTCGAGATTGCGAGCATAATTTGACGCATGGAGAGTGAAGGTTGGCGTTGTTACAGTGCAGCGACACTTGAAGCGTAGGATGGGGTTCGGCGGCAACCCCTTGCAAGCGTATACGTACCTGCGCCGATGCTAGGCGCTAGAATGGGGGTTGGATTTGCGATCGGGTTGAACACTCGGCAAGCTAACAGTGCAGTGATAGTTGTGGAACGGGAACAACCGCGATCTTAAGTAATTCGCTGATAGTGTCACCAGAACGGCACTGAATCCATGAACATTCCCAGCTCGTTGCAAGTTTAGTTGTCAATACCTATACGCGATCTCATCTCACGCACCCCGAGGCCCTATTCCGACTTTAGAAACGTCATTGGAATCCTTACAAAGTCCCAATCTTCTTTGCTTATTGAAACTTGTATGAGCCGTACAGCCATCCGTTAACATTGAGATGTCCAAGGTATGTCAGAAACTGTGTACCATTTCGAGCTAGTCAATATTGATAGGTGAAGTTTTCACTCAAAGGCCGGGTTGCCGTAGTCACTGGCGGTGGCCGAGGTTGTGGCTTGGCATTCGCACAAGGTCTTGCCGAGGCCGGGGCAGACGTTGCCATTTTTGACCTGATAGACCCGGAGCCATCTGCTTTTGAGCAACTGTCTTCTGCGAACGGAGTCAAAGCAAAAGCATATGTCGTCGACGTAACGTCTATCTCCAGCTTGGAGAAGGCGTTTGCTGCTGTGGCAGCCGACTTTGATGGCAAGCTCGACATCTTTGTCGCTTGCGCCGGCGTGAACAAGAACGTTGAGTTCCTGGATACTGAAGAAGCCGACTTTGACAGGCTGTATGGAGTAAACTGCAAGGGCCTCTACTTTTCAGCAAAGATGGCCGCGAAGGCAATGATCGCCAACGGCACTAAGTGCGGAAGCATAATCTTTGTTGCAAGTATCGCATCGTACATGGCCATTCGCTCCCAACGATCCACTGCGTATTGCGGTACAAAGGGAGCAGTACGAGCGATGGTCGCTCCAATTGCTGCCGAGCTGAACAAGTACGGGATTCGTGTTAACTCCATCTCGCCTGGCTATGTGCGGACAGAAATGACGGCTCCCTTTCCTGATCTCCTTGAGGGGTGGAAAGACGAAATCATGAACGGCAGGGTAGCGGAGCCTGACGATATCAAGGGTGCCTGTGTCTTCTTAGCGAGCGATGCCAGCAAGTAAGTTGGACCTTTGATGAACACTCATGTACAACTATAGTTGCTAACACTTGGACAGATACTGCCAGGGAAGCGATATCTTGGTTGATGGTGGCGTGACCAAGTGGTAAATAGACTTTTCTAAGCTTAATTTGAACGTAAAGCCAAATTCGTCTTTCTACGAGTTCAGGTGATTTATATTGACCAGTATATAACAATGTCGGGAAGTAGTTTCATAACAATTGAGTCATTCAGCTACAACCTTGTAAGTAAATAATATGCGAAACCATAACTCAGTCATGGACGATACCCAATCGGGCGCAGATGTAGTGTTTGAATATTTATTGCCTCTTTGAGACGTCTGTAATGCAGTTCCATCACTATTACTACAACTGCATGCTTATCTCTAGTAGCGTCACGTGCCGTTGGCCTGCATATGATCTCTTCAACTGTCATGACGTCTGTATCTGACTCATCAATGTAACGAATCATCGTACCTAGTTTACAAATAATTGTCATCCTCACCTCCCGACCTTTTTCAAGCCGCCATTTGTCACTGATATCCGGGTTCCTAGACTTGATCGCAACTTCCAGGCAATGGGCCTTTTCGCCGACCTGTTGGCCATTGCCGCCGAAGAATCGCTAAAAATCTTACTCGTTGCTCCATTGGCTACGCTTTCCATCTACTTCTTCTTCAACATCTTCCTCCACCCACTACGCAAAGTTCCGGGACCATGGAAAGCAACAATCTCTCCATTATGGCTGTGGTACCATTCATATGCGGGGGATGAGACGACCTCGGTCGAAGCCCTGCACCAAATTCATGGTCCAGTCGTCCGAATCGGCCCCAACGACGTTGACATTAGCGACGGCGCGGCTCTTGCACCGATCTACTCTGAGAAAGGCGGGTTCCTGAAAACATCATGCTATAGCAATTTCGACTTTGACGGTCACCCGACCATCTTTTCAGCGCTAGATCCTGCACACCGGGCCGTTAGATCAAAGGCTGTTGTCAGCATGTTCAGCCCGGCCTTTATCCGAAAGGAAGGCGACCAAATACTGAGATCCTGCGTCGAAAGATTGATGGCGCATATCGAAAATGAAGCGGCTTCCGGCAAGCCCGTCAACATGCTTAACATGGGCAGATGTCTAGCTCTTGATGCAGTGACGGAATATCTCCTAGGCAAGACATATGGAGGTATTGCGGAGCTGGAGGCAAGCAGGAACACCAGCGACTCAAGTAGCCTCTCTGCCAGCGAGTTCGTGGACACCTTTGTCGCAGTTGGACGATTCTTCTTGCTTCCGAATTGGATCTTTCACGCCCTCGAGTGGACTCTCCCGAAGGTGTTTCCGGATCAGAAGGTCGACGAGTCCATGAAACTCGTTACAAAGTTCTGCGATCAGGTCGTCACCGAGGCGGATCTGGAGAAAGATCAAACGTACCAGGCTCGTTTATTGCGAGCTGGCATCAGCAAAGAAGAAGCTGCTGTTCAGTGTATGGATTTGATGTTTGCCGGCACAGACAGCACCGGCATGAATTTTGGTGCTATTTGCTGGCATTTGGCACAGTCGCCTTCGATTTATCAGAAGCTCAAAGACGAGCTTGCATCGCCAGAGGCATCGCAAGCCGACCCGCAAACTCTTCCCTACTTACGTGGCGTGGTACGCGAGGGTCTCCGAATGTCCATGGCAAACCCGACTCGTCTTCCCCGCGTTGTGCCGCCCAACGGATTTTCATTCACGACTAAGATGCCTTCTGGAGAGACTGCGAGCTTTGAGTTCCCAGGCGGAACTTGGATCGGATGCGCACCATTTAGCCTGCATTTCAACGAGGCTGTCTTCCCAAATCCGCATCATTTCCAGCCAGAACGATGGCTTGAACCTAGCGAGGAAATGCTACGCGATGCCATCCCGTTTGGACTCGGGCCGCGGCAGTGTATTGCTCGGAACCTTGCTTCAAGTGAGCTCTTCTGGGCAGTCAGGGCACTCGGTATATCTGGGGTGCTGGATGGGGCTAGAACAACAGGGCTGATGAAGGATGGGATCATTGTTGATGAGTGGTTCAACTCAAAGGTTCCTGGGCATGCTATTGAGCTGATATGGGATTCGTCGTAGTGTAAACTGGTAACAGCAACGTCACCAGGGCGAATTCGGAATATCTTGGTGTTAGGCTCAGGGACAATCCAGCACCTCTCATTTTCAAGCTATGTTATAGAGGCGAGCGGGTCCAAAAGCCAATCGAGTTTGCATTAACATCCAAGCTGATCTGGAACCGAAAGGACTTGAACAAGGTCCGGGAGATGGACTGTACAGCCATACACTTGTTAATAACGAACGCAAGACGTCCTGCTAATCCGCCGCAAAACCCTTGACCGAACTTTCTGACGGAAATAAGACCGGGGCAACTGACCGCAAATTTTTGACATCAAGTCAGTGACGCCCTGCATCAAATATCCTATATAGACTAAGGATGCTAAGGATGCTTTGACCATACCGGCTAATATTTCAACGCGAGTCGTTTGTATTGGCCCGAGTCGCCCGAGCCCGGGGACCGGCTTCACGGCCCCAGTTTTACGCCTTGACACGGACATACGGACCAAAGCGGACGAAACCCGGACGAAAAAGCGGGCGAATATGGGACCATGATGCTGCAACTATGCGAAGCTGGATCTCCTATGAGTTGGCCCCCACAGCTAGCAAAACCGTTAAAACCACGCAGGGCCAAAACGACGGGCCGGCCAGGAATTCGCTCACTGTCACTATTACTTGTAGAGCAAAGATCTCGCATCCATACACATCTTCCGCCTAGGAAGTAAGGAACCACAGCCCAGAAGCCATATCTTCCCTATTCACCACTCTCAAATCCCCAGCCCTCCATGTCTCGCAGGTGGATCTTGACTGGCCAGAGCGGCTTTGAGACAGGCCTCAAGTACGAGGAAAACGTACCGCAGGCCGATAGACTGGCAGCTCACGAGGTCCTGGTGGAGCTACACAGTGCCAGCTTGAACTATCGCGAACTCGCAATCGCAGATACGAAGGTAAGTGGATTTCAGCACTGCGGACATCCATGTTCTTACAGTCATACAGGGTACGGCAGCCACCGCCGGCGTTATTCGACAACACGTCGTGCCTGGTTCTGATGGTGCAGGCATTGTCAAAGCGATTGGCAGTGCCGTAACGGCCTTCAAGACCGGCGACCATGTCGTCACTCACCTAGCTCCTAAACATGCCGAACGTTGCGGGGATGATGAGCTGCCGATTTACCAAGACATTGTAGAGGGTCTTGGGCAGACTATCGATGGAACTCTACAATCAGAAGGCATATTCACAGAAACCGGGCTTGTTCATGTGCCTAAGTCTCTCGGCTGGTCGGAAGCTGCAACTTTGACTTGCAGCGGCCTCACGGCATGGAATGCACTCTTCGGCCTCAAAGACAGAGAACCTCGCTCCGGTACATGGGTGCTCGTCCAAGGAACAGGTGGTGTGAGCATTGCCGCACTTCAACTGGCGGTCGCTGCTGGAGCTACCGTCGTCGCTACGACTTCGTCCGCAGAAAAGGAGGAGAGGCTGAAGGCACTCGGCGCGAGCCACACGATCAGCTATCGAGAAAACCCCGAGGACTGGGGTGTCAAGACAAGGAACCTCACTCCGAACCAGGCTGGCTTCGACATCGTTGTCGATGTCGCCGGCAACGACTCACTGTCTCAATCGCTCACCGCGGTGAAGACGAACGGTGTGGTTGTCTCTGCAGGCTTGGTCGGAGGCAAAGCCGAGGTTGTGCCCATGCTGGCTGCTCTCATGCGTCCATGCATTGTCAGGGGCGTGATCTTGGGAAGTCGGGCACAATTCCGAGATATGGTCCGTTTTATCGAAGAGAAGAACGTCAAACCGGTTATCGATGACAAGGTTTTTGAGCTCGCGGAGGCAAAGGCTGCTTATGCGCGATTGAAGGAGAAGAAGCACTTCTCCAAAGTTATTATCAAAATTGACCACTGATGTGTGCACTGGCCGAGTTCAAGTATAAATAGGCGCAATCTGTTTCCAGGTCCTGATAGAATCCTGAATTATTTGACAAGCTTCGATTGTCCTCGGAATACGATTTCCCTGAAATCCCACATGAACGCCGGCCATTGCTGTATGAGAGTTCTACACGGATTGTTGCCGTTGGGCTTAAAATGCGCCAGACACGAACTCAACTCAAAACATGAAGGGATATCCCTTCCATCTGTGAAGCTGTCAAACGGAATCAGTAGAAGAACGCGAAAAAAGATGTCTGCTTCCGCATCAATGGCAGTCAATTCGCTAAGACACATGAAAGAAATGTAAGACTTCTGCATTCTCCGCTCCGACCAGAACAGTACCGTGTACGACGCGACAACAACACTAGGAAATCCACCACGTTTGGTGTGACCGTCGGTAGCTCTGTCGCGACTTCGGTGTAACCCGATCGGCTAATGGTAGATGACAGGAAGTCTGTATTTGCCGTCGTAAGAAAGTTGACCGGGTACATGGTGTTCGTGGTGCTCGCGGGTGTGGTCTCACTAACCGGGATCGCACATTTCTCACACTCGGAAAGTCGCCGTCTTGGCATGCCCAAGGAAAGTATGCATTCCGTCCGAACATGTTGAGAATATCCAGAGAATGCGAAAGTTGACAAGCGCGCATCCTTATTATATGCTTTTCCAATTGATCAGGTCAGGTCTCAATGAGGGCATTCCCCAGTAGTTGGGGCTGAGGACCGGACCAGATTGGCTTCTCCCTTGAGCGGTGATAAAGCTCCAAGAAGATACGAAAGAATGACCTAAAAAGGTATAACGGCTGAGAAACTTTGAGTGTGAGGCCCTCGACAGTTTTCCAACTCAGACAAGTGGCGCAGGGCAGTAAAACCCCCTAGCATTTGGAGAAGCTTCAAGTGAAACATCGTGGCATGCAGAAAGTGCACCCTGCGCCCCGTGTCTAAGTCGGGAAACTCTTGTGACCTTTATACTTTAAGCCTCGCTTTCAAGTCTTATCATCACCTTTCGGGTCTTTAATCCTCAGTCTTTTCCCCACGATTCAACATTACCTTGCACACAATCAAGAACTTGTGCGCAAAAAGGTCCATTAGTCTCTACTTTTGTTGGCATATCTTCCACATAGCGAAGATGGAGAACATGAAGCTTGAGGATCCGGAGGCGGCCCATCCCATGCTCAAGCAGCCGCTTGAAAGGGTACGGGATTGGTTTTCCGGAGTCCGGGCTGGGGAATCGCATTACGGCTTGCTTCAAGGCAATGATGCGGGCTCATCGACAGACCTGCCAATGGCAGAATCATCAGGGAGATCATCGCCCTTTTCAAGACTTTCGACCAGCTGGCGCCCTATGAGTCCAAAGGCCTTCTTCTGGTTGCTGGTGCCATCTTACATCGCTCGCATTTTTGGCCATGCCACGGAGAACTCGATAATCCCAGCTCCGAACAAAACATCGTATCTAAATGGCCTTCGCGGCATCGCGTCACTCATTGTGGCCCTTCAACACACGATAGACGGAGATGTAAGCGATGAAGAGCTCTTCCCGCCCAGCCGCACCTTTGTTCAGATTCAAGCGCCGGCAGTCATCTACTACCTGACTTGTTTGAAGCTTTACTTTGAATCAATTTGACTAACAATGGTATCATGCAGTATCCGCTCATTCACCGCGCTTGGGGCGACAGCGAAGAAAGTGTCTATGTGGTCCAGCTCCCGTTCATCCGCCTCATACATAGCGGAGTCTTCATGGTGTCGGTTTTCTTCGTCATCAGCGGCTTTGCTCTCACGTATGGGCCCTTGAGCAAGTCTTATGCAGCCCAAAGCGCGCCAGGCGGGCAAGGCCCCAACCCCATCAGTTCTTTTCCATCTAGCATCTTCCGGCGTCCGTTCCGACTCTTCCTCCCGACCATACCTATCATCGCGGTCTCTACCGCTTTGGTTCCCTTCAGCGCATTTTATGCCCTCAACAGCACCGAGCCTATGGGACCTGTTGCCGATGGCTTCTGGAGCCATGTGTATTACGTCTGGACCACATTGATAACCATCATCACCTCCGGCTCGGCCAACACTGTCATGCCTCAGGGTTGGACTCTGGCAGCCGAGTACCAAGGATCGTTGCTTGTCTTCCTGGCTTGTATGGCTTTCATCAGGATGTCACCCATGGTGCGATTGCCAGCCACTATCTTACTTCTCATCTACTCCTTCAACCTTCAAAGAGCAACCAACTGTCTGTTTATCGCAGGAATGTTCATCGCCGATTTCCGACTTTTCCGGGCGAAGCTGCCAGAGTTACCAAAAATGGTTCGTACGGTCGTCACCGTCACATCATGGCTGCTGCTTGTGCCCATTATCTTCTTGGGCTGCTGGCCGATGCATGGCGATGCCACCCAAGCCCCTATCTATTCGTGGTTTACTGGCTTCAACACGTTTGGCTTTGGTGTGCACCCATTTTTCCAAGGCACGTGTGCCGTGGCTCTGGTTCTAGTTTTGGAGAACCTGCCTGTCTTGCAGCGCGTTCTCAATACGAAGCCAGTACTGTACCTGGGAGAAGTCAGTTTCAGTTTCTACTTGGTGCATTGGGGCTGCGGTAAGAATTTCCTCAGTTATGGTCTGAAGCTCAAGATGTTGGCAGCTGGGTACAGCTTGATCGTCTCGTGGAGCACGCTTTTCGTTATCGCTATGCTGTCGATCATAGTTCTCGGGGACCTTCACTGGCGGCTTGTTGATCAGAAATCCGTGACATTCTCACATTGGCTAGCCAAGAGGCTTGGTGTATCGTAGACTTGGGGAAACAGAACTAGACATAATGTTTTCTTTGTGAGATCTCAGCATTGCCATCAATGGTTCTTATTTCAAGATCCTTATCTCAAATCTCTTTAAATCACACATTGCTACATGCTTTTGAAAATTTGTTTACATGATCCTCTAACAGTGACGCTTCAAGCAACAGCAATTCGCGCTGGTTGAGCCTCCTGAGCCTTTACCTTGTTGGCCGTGGCTTGCTCCAGACCCTGTTTGTACAATTGTGCCCTCCCATACGACTCTGCATACGAAGCAGAGACTGCTTGCTCAACCGTGACCGGTCCAAACTTGGCTGGCTGCGTCGCTGACTTGCAAGTGGGGATGCATTCAACCAGGTAGTCTGGGTTGCCAGAAACGAAAACGGGGATTGAGTAGCGCTCCTGGCCAGACTTGTTGATAACCCTGTGAATGTTGCTCTTGTACAACTCGTTGGTCCATCTTGCCATGAGATTGCCCAAGTTTACAACAAAGGCACCTTCCGTTGGTGGGACCTAAGAGCGGCTGATTAGTATTAATGAAATACGAAGTGATCAAGAGTGGTGCTCGGTAGTGGGGAGTGGGGTTTCCACTTACGTCGATCCATGTCTCGTTCTTCTTGTCCCATACCTGCAGGCCGTCGACCTCATCCTGAAGCAGCATGGTAATGGCACCGAAGTCGGTGTGGGCACCGATTCCGCGAGTCAACTTCTCGTCCGCATCCTTGGGTTGAGACGGGTAGTGCAGAAGTCTCATTGTCGCAACAGCTCCATCCATGAATTTGGAAAAGTAGGACTCCTCCAGGTCCAATGATAGTGCAATGACCCGCATGAGATCCGAAGCGAGTTTGAGAGCCGAAGAGTAGTACTCCATCGAGGAATCCCTGAAGCTCTGCAGGTCGCTACCCAGACCCTCGGGCCACTGGTTCGGTCCGCTGTTGAGCTTCTTGTTGATGAAGTAAGGGTGGTCCTCTGGGATCTCGGCACCAATGTAGAAGCCTTCCTTGAGTTCTGGTTGAGTTCCCTCCTCGAGGATCTGTGACCTTAGCATCTCGTAGCCGCGGTTCCATGTCGTGTTCTCCTTAGCGACTTTTTGCTTTTCTTCGAGAGGCATGGCAAAGAACTTCTTGGCACCGCCCATGGCAGCCTTCTGCTGCGCCAGAGGCACCGAGTGGCCAACTATCTGGAAGAAGCCATTGTACAGGCAGCTGTCACGCACTTGGTCTACGACCTTTTGTTTCTGCAGAGGGTCCTCAGAGTAGAAACCTACGAGTGGATATCACTGTTAGAACCCAGCTAACCCTTTTCGGCTGCAGCAGCAAGAGGTCTTTTGTAGACTCACCAGAGAAATCAATGATTGGGATTTCGAGCGCTGCCATGTTGCTTTGTGGAGTATTGCCAGAAGGAAGATGGTATCGTCTTTGAAAATACCTTGATCTGATGCTATGATGTTGGCTGATCGCAAGCTTATGAGTGCTGGTTTCAAGTGTCTCTAGAGTATCACTCAATTCTGTCGCAACAGATCTTTGCTGATATAGTTGAAGTTGCTTCATGAGACGCTTAGAACCCTACACGCTCAATTCATGTAAGCCTCAAGGCCACCCACCCCTCTCTCCTCGCGTCTCGGCTCATGCTCGCCCAGACTGGACCTTTGAAGAGTGGGGTGCAATGATAGCATCTGGTGTAGTCGCACCGTCTCACGGCATCGTCCGATTGTAAGTTCGACAGCTCGATATTGACACCACCCTACTCGCTGATAAGCGTTGGTCACACTAAGGTAGATTACTCGCCGCGGATGGCGTTCCGTTCTCGGCCTTCAATCTCTCCCCCGCCGGAAAACCCACTTTCCCCTCATGCTACGGATAGATAAGATCAACTCCAAGATAGCTCCTTTGCAGACCCCACCGAATACTCTTGCATATGCATACTTATGCGAAGAGTTCCTTGAGAGGATCGGAGGTAATAGCACGAGCATGTTGATCGTCATGCGGCTCGGTCTTGCAAACATGTTGCAGTAAAGATGGATTGGTGGTTCGACGAGAGCCGTGAAGTGCAACAAATCGCAGTCGTGATTTTCCATGCTGTGCATGCTTGGAACCCCACTCTTGGTGGTAGTCTTTCTGGAGTCATGTGGTGAGTGAGCTTCAGCTTAACACAAACCCCTAGTCACCCAGCTGGCGGCTTGATCTTCGCCAATGTTTCGTGGGACCAGGGCTCGTAGTACTTTGCTACAGGCTGCAGCAAGAACTGAAATACATGCACGTCGATGATCTCGCTGCCATAGCTCAAATCTCACCGCTGCATCACAAGCAAGTCACCAAGCCGGCCATAGGAAAGAAACATTGTCGTAGAGAGCCAGGTTGCAATTTAGTTTGGAAGGATAGGAAACTAGATGCTAGGAAAGTCATGAGGTTAAACCAACGCTGAAAGTTCCATATGCCATCATACATCGTATTCCGTACAGCCAGGCCGTCCCGATATTGCCAATCGCATGCACCAACAGAGCGTACGGCTCACCAGGCTAGTTCCTCTCGGCCACCGCAGTTAGCTTTCTCGAGTTCCGAGCAGAAAGCTTCGTCTTCGTTCAATTTCCCTGTCCCTGTCTGGCCGAGTAGGTTGGGCGTGGCTGGCCAGATTTCTCGGCCTCCTTGCTCCAACTCCTTTTGCCGGTGCTTCATCACCTCCTCTCGAACCGTATTTTGAAAATGAATCGGGCCCTGAGCGAATGTGTCAGTATTGGACTATAGTGTTGGGGGGGTATCAAGAGTTCGCTGCCGTACCCTCTCTTTCTCTGGATGTAGCTCGCCGCTAATAAAGACGCCAGCACTGAGGTTTTCCTGTGCGCCAATGCACAACTCTCGGTCTTCCTCTAGCACCTGCTTGTAGAACGCATTGATGGCGGCGAACTCGGCATCGGTGGAATCGTGAGAGCGATACACCTCGTTCTCAATTCGGGTCTTGGTTGCGCTGATTGGAATCATTCGCTGGATGTAGAAGAAGTTCTGACTACGGATTTCGTCAGTCTCTGCTTTTTTGTAATTTGTAAACCTTGATTCGCTTTGTAAGGTGACTTACGTGATCGTCACTGAAGTTGAGGGATAAAAGAAGGTGATCGAGCGTCGAAACTCGTCTTCCTCATCTTGAGCCTTTTTGTTGATGATCTCGTGCTCCAAGCAACCTCCACTTGGCTTTACTTGATACTTCGTCAAGTCCGACACTCCCGCAATCAAGGGGTGTGATGTTGGGCAATGGTAGCACTCGTTGTAATTCTCAATGACGGCCTTCCAGTTGGCCTCCAACTCCATGTCCCAGACGTGATCGTACTTGTAGCCTCCTGCAAAGTCAAAGTTTTGCATCCGCGGCTTCTGGTAGACACCGCCAAACTCGTCTTCCCACTTGACGTCTGGTTCGCCTGCTTGGAGGTTAACCCAAATGAAGCCAGCGGGATCCACGCGAACGTGGATTGGGAGAAGGCCATTTTGGCTCTTGTCGAAGCCGGTTACCGTATCAAATCTCGGCGCTTTGGCAAGATTGCCCTTGAACCCGTATGACCAGCCGTGGTACTTGCAGCTCAGAATACTCGCCTTGCCAGACTTCTTCTCCACGACAGGGTATGCTCGGTGGCGGCACACATTGTGAAAACCGTTGATATTGCCATCGCGGTCTTGGACGAGGAAGAAAGGGAAGTCGGCGTAGACGAAGGAGACAAATTCGCCCGCCTGCTTGAAGCGTAGCGAGTGTGTCACCAGAATCCACTTCCTTGATATAATTGCTCTTCTCTCGAGCTGATGCAGTTCTGGGGACCTGTACCACGAAGCTGGAAGACTTCTTGAAGGCTCTGGCTTGGCGTCGTTACTCGCCGAAGAGAACCCAAGGAAACGCAACATGTCGTTGGGGCAGAGATGCAATGAATTGTGGGTACTTGGTATAGAAAACGCAAAGAGCTGTTGCAACGAAGTCTTTGATTGGGATCACAGTCTGAAAACTATGGGTACTGCATCTCTAATCCCGTCTCCCCTCGCGCCTTCATGTTTGATGGCCTCTGCTACTTTAAGACCGCAATTCGGACGTATGACTTTAGGCCAAGAATTAGTCTAATCCGTATTTATCAGAGGTGGGGAAGATGCTTTCGTGAGTTGCTTGATAATGCTGTTGAGAATGGGGGTGGGGTTGGTGGCTATTAGACTGAGGGGGCCGGACACAAGCATCCGGGTGTTGATAAGAGGCCTATAGATCCGATAAAGGCAAGTCGGAGCAGGTCGGGCGCCGGAATTCATTTACGAGGGCCACCCAAACGCGCGGGGTATCGTCAATGTGGCAGATAGTGATAGAGTATTTTTACCTATTTCAGTTAAAAATGGTGAGTTGACACATATGATAAATAACGAAGAGATCATATTGGTCGCCGGCACCAGCTTGGGAAAGGGGAAGCCGTGTCTAAGCGAATATGGCGATATGATGTGCGCAAGACTGGTGACCTCGATTATGTCTGGATTGGGGCTCTACCATTTCCATAAGGTAATCTGAGACTACTACTGCTACCCCACTACTAAGACTATCAAATACTTCTTTTGAATCCAAGTCGTGAAAAGATGTGGTACACGGGAGTAACTACATGCAAGTTCCTACCGATGCACAGTTAGACGGCCCATCTAAGTCCCATGGTGCTTCTAGAAGTACTTTCCGCGTGACACAGTACTAGGTTACTTGCAATGATCTTAGAACGCGACTCTGTGGATTGCACTTAGGTAAAGACTGGTCTCATACGTGGACTCGCTCGAAGCATACGACATTGATATGAAGCTCCAGCACTCAACTCTCATCAGAATTCAAGGCATCTACTTAAGGGAGATCATTGCCACCAAAATGCCCCCTGCTCTTTGCCCAAACGACCCAAGAACAGCACCACCAGACTTGGAGCACAGTCTCTGCATTCTTGCCACTTCAAACATTAGGAAGACTTCTTTGATTGGATGGAAAAAAGCCCGTCGCTCCCTCTGAAAAACTGAAAACTTCTATCCTCCGATCTGCGAACACGTGCACAAAGTCGGATGCGGGCGGTGCAGCCTGAAATGCCCGACCCGTATTGGAATTCCATAAATTTGAAATTGGTACCACAGGCTGCCTCTCGCAGGCTCAACTTAGCCAAGTTCTGCGACAGAAGCCGTTTTGTGGCATCAGGCAGAATGACATTCGAATTGGGCCGCCAGGCTCGATGGTTCGCCCGCGTCCAATACGTCAAGCTAATATGATTCGCTGTGGCACCAACTCTCCTTATATGTAAGCAATGCGGATGGAAACGCTGACAGAAGCTCGCGTCGACCTGTCATATGACCCCTGAAGAAAGCCTGAAGCAGGCTGCAGCTCGGTCTCGTGAGCCACCGCTGAGTCGAGCCACAGATTGTTGGTAAAGGTTGCAATATGTCATGATGCAGGCAGTGCAGCGGCTTTGTCTGGACGGTTGGACTTGAGAGCGCCTTTGATTTGGCGAACAGTGTGGCTCAACCCTTAACAATGCCTAAATTGTTGAGATCTGACTGCCTTGCGCGGTGATTCGCCAATGGACGAGACCAGATCGAGCCAGACGCGTGGTTTCACTGCCCGGTTCCAGCCCAAGGTTGCCTTGCCTGATCTGACCCTCCACGACGGCCAAGTCGGCTTGTTGTTCCATTTCGCATTGTGACTCTCATGTAGGGGCGCTGTTGTGCTCTTGAGTCATTAAGGACCGGATGATTTCGGGGGCGTTTGATATTTGGCTATTATAAGAACCCGTTCCCCTTCTGACGAGGCCTTCTTTTCCGCGAAGAAACCGCCTAAGAGCCTGGCGTAAGGTATTTCACCACAAGAATTCAGACCAATCAGCTTTAGACGACAACATGACGCACCGAAAGCATGCCACCAAAGGCTCTCGGAACAGTAGTCCTACTCGAGAGTTGCCAGCAGATACTTCCAATGCAGGAGCAGCCTATGAAGAATACTATGCAGCCCCAAGTCCCGGCCCTTGGTCATCATGGGTCCGCGATGCTGAGGGCAGGGGATTTTACTACAGAAGCCGAATGAGCGCCACAGGTTTGTTTTGAGTCTCTTCCACCAAATCATCGACCCTTATTTCTGACAAAGTAGTAGGAGATATTGAGTGGGACTTTTCGCGCTCGCCAACGTATCGCAGTTACAACTACATGCAACCAATGCCACGGATGTCCTACTATCAACAACCCATCAAGACAAGTCCGAATCCAGCAACTGCATTCACGTACACGTTCCGTTATCCGTCCAACTCAGCACCGCGAGAAGACCAGCCGACAGCAGGATCTGACTTTTCCCACGATGCAAGCGACGAAGAGTCATTTCCAGCCGCGAGCTCCAGTGTTCTAATACCTGCCATCATCGACGTGGACACCAAGAACAACGTCAAGGTTATGGTTCCGGATCCCAGAACCGGGGAGGCGAAGACAATCTACGACAACAGGCATAAGCATTCCCATAAGAAGAAGATGAGCCCGCAACACAAGGTTGAGCACTGGCTGCACAGAGTGTAGATTAAAATTTGGGAAGACACAGTTGCTGTCTTTGATATCCATGGTCAGTGGATTGATCTTGTCAATATGTACGAACACAAATTTCCAGGAGCAAAAGCAGGGATTTGACTCATAATAAGGTATTAATAGAGATGTTCTTGGCAGAGTCACTGATTTTTACATAGTTTTAATCGCATAATTAAGTACATACAATTTGGACTGTCCCTGCAATCATTCCATAGACAGCAGATTCAGGCATTGCAGCCTCCCAGGACACATATCCATTATAGCTCGTGCATTGTTGCGACAAAACCCCGTTGATTATCTTTCAACGTGTGACCTCTTGATCTCGCGTCCACGTGAGACCAACGTGATGTGTGGCTGGAGCCCGGACCCGAGACTAAACGCACTAAGATGCTCCATCTAGTGGGTTGGGCTCATCGAAGTTTCTTGATCTATAGAAAAGATGTAGCTACTTAGTCGTGAAGATTGGTGGTCCACAGATCTCACATTCATAGCCTTTCTTGGATAAGGCTTCCTCCCATATCTTCTTACCTTCTGAGCTACTAATTGGCCAAATTTCCGTTTCGGGTCGGTTCCCCAGATTCGCTGCGGTGCACCGGACTGCTAGAAACCGTTCTTTAATAAGACTTGGCCCTTAAATCTGACTCACATTTTAGTTGGCGTTTATTTTCAATTGGTTCTAGGCGGAATCCTTCGTCGATACACTTATCCAACGCCCGTAGCCACACCATTCGGTTACCAGGATGGTAACAATGGCTCGTGTCAATCTTACAGGTGCAGCCTATCATCCGCACGCGGTGTAGCCTATTAGAAAGGGCCTTCTGTCAGACCCTTAAGTACTTGATCCCTTTCATCCGTCCGTTCTTTGACATATTCCTGGAAGGTGTCTCACAAACTTGCCACAAAAGCTTCCCGTCATACTCGCCTTTGAATTTGCCGCTATGCCCGGAGGCTTGTCTCCCGCGGGCTTCCGCCCACGGAGCTCAAGCCAAGTGAGGGTGTATTCCCACGAAGAAATCATCTTTCCAAAGCTCTACGAAGAGGCATGGGGCAGCGATGGGTTCGGCGATAATCGAACGGAGCTGGAACGAGCCAGAATATTCCTCATGCGATTTGCGAAGATGAATCCTGACCCATTCACGAGCCAGGAGCTGCAATCAATTGTTATGAACCACGAAAATCGGACGATACCGGCGCTAGCTCTTGCAGTACAGATGAGGATCTTTGGAAATCGCCACGCCAGCTTTGCGGCGACGCCTCTTCTGCAATGCATACGGTTTATGCTGTTGAAAGCCAGGGTGCCGGAGTTCATATATTCGGACAAAACGAAGCTTATTATGGACTTTTACTTCGATCCAACGATGGCAAGAAGCATTGAGCCTCCGCCACCAGATGGTATCGTCTACAAGTATCCCTCCGGTCGTCTCAAGGTCGCCATTGTGGGCGGTGGGCCAACAGCGCTAGCATCAGCAATATCTCTCGCCGAGAAGGGCGCTGGGAAAATTCAAGTTCACGTCTACGAAAGGCGGTGGGTCGTCAAAGATGGCCCGAGGGGTCCTTACATCGACTACCCCTCGACAGCCAGGCGTCGTGATCAGGTTGTCACGCTGCAAGAATCGGTCACGACGTTGATGAGTAAAGCTACTCAGCAGGCATTGTTTGAAGGTCGTCCAGAACGAGTCTGGCCGGGCTCGGCCAATATACAGATCCGCAAAGTCGAGGATCGTCTTCTCCGGAGATGTCACGCCGCCGAATTTCAGGATCTCATTCACCTGCACGCGGAAGGTGTGACGCATGAAGATATGGCAAAGATTGGCGACTTCCATGTTCTTCTGGGAGCCGATGGAGCTGCATCGTGGGTCCGCAAATCGTATTTCCACGGATACGAAAATGAGCGTGGGCGAAGTTATGCCCTGGGTCTCGCATTTGATCGGCCGGCCGGTTTGCCATGGTCGCAACCCCTGAATGTCTTCTTGACTCTGGGTCAGACTCGGTATCTCCTGAACGCTAGTGACTACGATGGACGTGGTTACCTCAACATGCAACTCACAGAGGAAGAGTGGCACAAGATGCTCGCCAAGGATGGTCAGCCAGTCACCTTTGGATATCCTGGCTGTCTCCGAAACCTCGATGGGACTATACCGAAAGGCTTCACAGAGAATCAGGTCTTTGCACCTTCAGAAGACAGAGAGAGTTCATTGTGGAGGTCAATTTCTGACGGCCTCAAGCTCTTCGGCTTCAAAGAAAGCGAGGTCATCAATGTCGTCCGGATTCCAATTGTGGTCCAGGCTGTACGAGAGGGTATCCAGTATCTGCCGCCTTGTGACTCGGGCGCGATCAATCGGCCACATGCCCTCGTTGCAGTGGCGGGAGATGCTGCTATGACAGTCCACTTTTGGCCAGGCCGTGGTCTCAACAGTGGTGTCAAGTCAGGCATCGCGCTGGGAGACGAAATTGTCCATGCGCTCAATGGGGGCAAATTCGTTGGGCTGCCTCTTACCGCTATGAATCAGTACAATAACTTCATCATGAAGTTGCAGAACCGCGAGCATGACAAGCGCAGTATCCCAATACTTAATCAGTCCGGTACACCAGAGACCTTGGGCTGGCTACTCAGCAAGGCAAACACGGTCCCGGACAACGTTGCAATCGAATGGCTTGTGGGTGCCATGACTCAGATTGCGGAACGACTTGAACAGAGAGGCGACTGGGCCTTTGGTCCTGTGGCTAACGTCGAGCCCCAACTTCGGATAGTACTACGACAGATGGACTCTGCAACGTTGAGGGAGATGGCAGTCAGCTTCCCGTGGCCAACACGAGAAATGGGCGGTGCCGAAGTTCTCCCTCTCCGTTCAATGAAGCCAGAAGAGAAGCAAAGATGGCTTCAGGGCATTTGGGGGCTATTGCGAGACGAGGTCGGCCGAGACTCGCAAAAGCGTTCTCCGTCCCGTGGAGATCGAGGACGGCCACAGTCTACATCACGATTCGAGGCCCCGCGCGGTGCAGCCCTGCTTCCGCCTAGAGCCGTTTCGCCGTCGGCACAGTTCCTATCGCCAACGCCTGATAATGCTGCACTAAGCCGCTCAGAGTCAACATTACGGAGAAGCAACGCCAATCGAGGAGGCATGTCACCAGGCCCTTCAGAGCGGACACTAGCTGTGCCTAACGAGCTAGATGGTATGCCATCTTCACGGCCACGCTCACCATCTATGGGTGGTGAAATATCGTTGGGAAGATTGCTTAGTGTGAGTCAGCGTCCGGGCCGCGCCGTTTTGGCCGATGCAATGTCGTTGGCACTATTTCGTGTCGACGGGGATTGATAGCTGGAGGGGAGAATATTCCACCCGTATGCGTGCTGTTAAATAGCCATGATCGTCGGAATCATATCGCAGGCATGTAGAGGCAACATAATCTGAACTTTTGCTATGCTCTTGTGCCTGAACTTTCAAAGAGTACATTGGCGAGAATTGGTTACATTGCGATTTTGTCACTGAAACCAACTAGATTTGAAATCGTCTATCCTTAAGTGAAATCTACGAAGAAATCAAATAGATTTCTCTACCAATGTCGATGCGCAAGGAAAACCCCTACTCCATCACGGATGGATGACTTGCAAGCAAGATGGCGCCTTAGCTTGCTCGGCCTCGCGACTTTGTTTCCTCGGACGACTTCGAAGGAATCTCCATGAATCATGCCAGAAAGTACGAGTGTCCAATGCTTTAGTATTACCAACGATCGGTGAGATCTGGATGTCCAAGAAGCGGTATGTCCGCATAATTCCGAAAATCCGTACGTCCTCTGGCCGAACCCTTGGGTATTAGGCTCCACCATGACTCAAAACCCACTTCTTGCCCGCTCCGCTATAGCCAGAGAAACAGAGGGACACGAGCATCCGGAAAGACACTTATGCCTCTATGTCAACTTGAACTGGGGATAGAAGACGGTGATGAACTACGCTATTTTGATACCGCTGGCAATCACATGCTTCTCTCTTAGAGCTTCGGTGGGTAGAGGACAGTCCAAATCTGAATCACTTCAGGAGTCTTTCGAGGCGCAGAAGACGTAGTTGCGTGCAAATAAGCTACCCACCAAGTCACCAGGTTATGATGGTCTGACCATGTGCCCCTGTCCCGGCATTGTGAAGGTTGAATCTGGAGTGACCCGTTCGCAAAGGCCCCGACCCGGGGTCCGGAGTGGGGCCCGCGAACTGCCGAAGCGGGTCCGGTTCCATTAGTTGCTGGCTAAATCCTGTCGTCAACCCGTCGGTTGAACATTCAGTTTAATTACCCGGCCGAGAACGAGAAGCTGAAAAATAAGGAGTCTTTGTGTCAGCACTGACAGCTGTGGGGGTCATCTAAGATACCTTCATTCTAGCCTAAGCCAAGCATCCGTTAAGGAAGGGCCTTTCACGATGACAACTTCCGACCTCTCCGAACCACGACGCTAGAAATTGAGATACATCCACATTTCCCAGTCGGAGTAGCGTCCGCTGGGAGAGTATGGGCCCGCGATCCACGCAAAAGTGGTTCCTCTCTAGTCTCCAGATTTCAGACTCCATGACGGCATTGCCAGCTATTCTTCAGCACGTTACGCGAGCCAAAGTCGGCCGCCATTAGGTTGAGTGGGAGGGGCGCACGGCATTACGGAACTCCATGATCGAGGGCCGAACTTAGGAGAACCCTAATCCAAAAGTCCCATAGTTTCGCGGCTTCCCGTTCCTTTAACGCAAATAATCCATAATGGATTCCACCTCTCAGATTGCCAAGTCGGACTTTTTCCTGGAACTGGCTTTTCTTGCTCAACTCTTGAATCGCGATGATGGTGGGCGTGAGATAGCGAGATAAACGCGATGTAACTTATACTTACTTTAAAAGCCGCGCCTGCGCTGCCGTGGAAGATTTCCTAGAGGCAGCATACGAAAGACTCAAGCTCGCTCGACTGGCTGATAACTTGAGAAATGCCTTCCATCAGCCTGGCAGCGGCCGTCGCCGGGTTTGTCGCCCTCGCAAATGCGTCTTCAGTACTTCTTCGTGGCGGTACGATTATTGGCTTCGACGAGTCAAACAAATACCTGAACGTCATCCGCAACGGCTCCCTTCTCATCACGGACGACCGCATCACTTCCATCTACACCTCTGATCAACCCTTGCCACAATCATCCAACGACACGGAAGTCATCGATGTCACGAACAAGATCATCACACCGGGCTTCGTTGACACCCACCGCCACGGTTGGCAAACAGCTTTCAGGACCATCGCCTCGAATACTTCACTTGCGGAGTATTTCACGCGCTACGGCGAGTACGCTGCCGCCGGCCTTCTGAGTGCCGACGATGTCTACATTGGCCAGCTCGCGGGTCTCTACGAGGCCCTCAATGCCGGTGTCACGACGACGCTTGATCACGCCCACCACACTTGGTCTGATGAGACTTCAGAGGCGGGGTTGAAGGGCAGCATCGACAGCGGCGCGAGAGTCTTCTGGTCGTACGCCTTCCACAACGTCACTAACTATACCATCTCGGAGCAGCTGGAAAACTTCAGAAGCATCGCGACCAAAGCCGAGTTTGACGGTACTCCTACCACCTTGGGAGTGGCGTGCGACTTTTTTGGGACCGATGGTGTTCTCGCGGATATCACTGCAGTTGTCGGTCTTGCCAAGTACGTCGTTTAACACAAGTTGACAGTGAAAGTCATTCTAACAGGCGGCAGAGAGTTCAATGTTTCGGTGATTACAACGCATAGTCTGCAGGGCCCTTGGGGAAGTAAGTTTTTGACCCTAATCACATAATTGTACAGCTCTCATATTGAACACTTCATAGACACCAACAGTCCAGAAGATGTCCATGCTATCGGAGTACTCAATACCAGCATTCCGGTCGTCTTTTCGCACGCGTCGTTCCTCACCTACAAGGGCGCATCACTCCTCCGCTCCACCAACCAGTACATCTCGATCACGCCAGAATCGGAGATGCATTACGGTCACACACATCCTCACAGCCACCTGATCCAAGATCAAGGCTCCCTCGGTGTCGACACTCACTTCACTTTCTCAACCGATATCCTTACGCAAGCCCGCCTGTGGCTTCAGAGCACCCGCCGCCTGCTCTATCAGCAAGTCCTCGCAAACTGGCGCGTGCCTACCAGCACGCCGATGACTGTCAACCAAGCCTTCCTCCTCGCTACGAGAAATGGCGGACTTGCTCTTCGCCGCCCGGATCTGGGTGTCATATCCGAAGGCGCCAAAGCCGACGTGGTTGTCTGGGATGGCGAGAGTCCCGCCCTCCTCGGCTGGGTTGACCCTGTTGCTGCTGTAATTCTACACGCTAGCGTCGCCGATGTCGAGCACGTCCTGGTGGACGGCAAGTTTGTCAAGAAAGACCACAAGCTGGTGGTGCCTGACTACGCGGATGTCAAGACGCGGTTCCTGGAGAGCGCAAGGAAGATCCAGCGGACTTGGAGGGATATCCCATTCTCAGCTCTCGAGGGAGAGTTCAGCAGCTCGGAAGCTCCCTATGAAGCTCCTCTTTCGGTCGATGTCCTGCCCGGAGGTGAAAGTGGATACGGTACCACGTTTATTTGAATACCGGTGCCGCGGTAACAGGCTGAAATCAGATATGCCAAGCCTGCGTTCCAAAGGTTTAAGAGCGTGCCTTAATAAAGCCAATGATATTAATGTAGTATTTGCGAGTTACGAAAAAGCGCTTAATGAAGCTTAAGTGTATTTGATAATAATAGATAAGATGAATTAACCCGTTGCCATACCGTTCAACTCACCTCCTGAAGTTCCAAACTTACATGCACAATACATACTTTACTCACATTTTGGTAGGTTTGAAATATTTGATGTTGCATCAGAGTCTATCATGAACATTCAAGCTATGTAGTCCACTTTTGAGGATCTAGAGTCGTCGGTTCCTTGATGCCGAGATGATGCGCCGGCGGGATACCGGGCGGTTTAGATGACGCGAGACACCTTGCCAGTCTCCACTTACATCTCCTCATCTCCGCCCGCCGCCTGTCGCGTTATCTTTTCCGGGATCATCCTATCTGCCTGCCAAGTCGAGGGGAAGCTGGAGGCTAAGACAACTTCAACCCACAAGAAACTCCATCATCAACGTTACCCAGCCCATCAATAGTGTTGAACTCTCTGTGTTCCCGAATATCATCCCAGTCTCCGGACAGCGCAATTGCTAAGGGTTTAGCTCCTTGCATCGTAATCAGTCGTGCCTCTCAATGGTCCAACGACTTCATCGAGAAGCCGGGTTGCAGGCCTTCATTAGCGCAATAGAAGAGGATGGGTGCGTTGTCATCGAGGACTTCACGAACCAGGCTTCACTTGATGCTGCGCATGAGGAAGTGCAGCCGTATCTCAATGCGTCGCTTGCGCAATCTGGAAGTACCGTTGGTGCTCTGAACGGTGGGACTGCAACTTGTACGAGGCTCGTCGGTCGAAGCAAAACTGTCCGCGAGAAGTTCTTCTCAGACGCATTATACCAGGTGCGCTTATACCATCTCTATCAAGTTTATGAACCCATTATTTACTAGGTGTGACATTTCACAGGAAATTGCCGATCACTTCATTGGGCTTGAGACCGAACTTTGGTACGGAGATGAACCCACCATCCACAAGTCCGACCCTTTGCTCTCGATCTCCATCACAATGTCCTCTCAGCCGGGAGCGAGAGCACAGAAACTGCATCGCGACGACAAAAACCATCATGCGAGGCACGCCAAGGCCAGTCACTACACAAAGGGACGCGATATGCTTCTTGGTCTATTCGTGCCGGAATGCGACACGTTTGAAGCAAACGGTGCCACCCGGATCGTTCCCGGATCACATCTGTGGGGCGATGAAAAGCCTGACTTTGGAGAAGATGGCCAAAAAGGTGTTGAGAACGCGGAATTGAAGAGAGGCGAGGCGTTTGTTATGTTGGGCAGTCTGTATCATGGCGCCGGACAGTATTCCCTGGAGACGGGATGTCGAACAGTGCACATTATGTTCATGTGCAGCGGCGTTCACCGTCAAGAGGTAAGACGCTGGAGTTTTCAGCCTTTAATACAAAGTACGATTGCTCACGCAAATGCAGGAAATTCCATATCTAAGCTATCCGATCGAAGATGTCAAGACATACTCGGAACTCGTGCGTGACCGTCTTGGCTGGAAGCAGTCGGAACCCAACTTGGGATGGGTTGATTTGAAGTCTCCGGAGTACCTCCTAGAATAAAGCTACAATAATGAGATAGGTAATACGATAGTCTGAGTCACGGGTTTACTGACCTGTATGGTCCCGGAGTGACTGCCTTCCCATGAACCCTAAAGTTAGAGGCTCATTTTCACTGACACATCAAGGTAGTCGGTCGCAAGCACGAGATTCCAGCTCCTGCGAGGAACGTAGAGAGGCAAAAGTTTCACGGAACAGTATGCGGTTGAAGTTTATTTTGACCGCAAATAAGAGGTTCGATATGTGTCGCTCCAGAGGACCCTTTTTGACCATGTCTACCAGGGTTCGATGGAATACTATAAAATGGGACGGTGATCACCTTTGAGTTATCAACACTTTTCTTCCTTTTTCCATGCCAATTATCAAGCTACCATAAGCTCAAAAGCCTCACTTTGTCCCACACTTCAATCATGAAGATTTATTCACTCATCTCCGCCGCTCTTCTAAGCGGCGTAATGGCCGCGCCAGCACCCACGGAAGACCAAATCGCAAAGGTACCAGCGCGCATCTCTAGACAGACACTCTACAATATTCGAAAGGCCTGTCCAACATGCACTATCACGGCCACCCATGTTCTCCGCAGCAATTCAGATCCGAACTGTCCTGAGATCAACGACTGCTGCAGCGCAAAGGCTCCAATAAGCTGTTACGAAAACGGCAAGTTCAACGTCGCACAGAAATCTACACCAAAACGGAATCTCGAGCCGACAAGCAGAATTCAGAAGCGGCAGTGTCACCCCTGTTGCACCGATGGCGATGCTTGGCCGGAGGAAAAGCGCGGACGCTGGTGGGGATGCAAGAACGTCCCGGGATTGGATTGCCAAAAGTGCATGAGCCCCCCGGAATGGGAGTGGATTATTCCTGGGGGCGTCAACGAGAAAGAACGAGAGGATACTGGGGACCTCCCTTAAGTCCTTGAGCATTCTCGAATTCTGTCACGTCGACCATGATGGGTCACAACCTCGAACCGCGAACCACAATTACACTTACACTGGGAGACCAGGAGGCTGAGTTCGGCACGATTTACTTGGATAAACATCTTCGAGAGTTGGAAAGATACATAGGTAGAGACCGCTTGGTACGCACAGGGTCAAAGTCAGTAAAACTCGATCAAGTTCAACACACTTGCTGGAGTCCGAAGGAAACAAGTAGACTCGGTCATAGGCGTCGGGCGTTCAGTTCTTACACCTTCATTGCTCAAGTAGTTCTCAGTACTTCAAAGATCTCTCTTACTTTCGTTATTAAATCTGTCCAGAAAAGTTTCTTTCAACGACTCCACGCCATCTTGATGATCGAAAGACATCTAGGCCACAAGTATCATTGCCACAGGTCATTTTTTCCAGCAGTCAATAGACTTCGGCTTACTGCTCATCTATTTATTGAAAATAAATATTACCAGTAGCTGATATAACTCTGGGAAAACTTACAGAAGTTGATTAATGAGGCCGTGGATTTAGGAAACTAGTTGCTCGGGAATTGACTCACTGGTTCGGCTTTTAGACGCCACACTTTCCAGAAACAGTGGGTCCGATAGCGGCGCCACAGTTTCCGGGCGAGTCAAACTCATCGACTTCCTCGATTTCACTACACATATATCAATAGCTCATCTCGTCGTATTGCAAAACACCTTGTAGTCGATCTACTCAATCGAAACCTGACAACATCAAACATGGCACCTGCTTTGGAGTCCAGCAAGATCGCCTTCATCGGTACGTCCCACGCAACACCAGAAAATCACCCACGATGGCGGGGCTGACGCGGGGTATTCACAGGCGGCGGCAACATGGCCGCAGCGATCATCGGAGGCCTGGTCGCAAAGGGCATCGACAAGCAAAACGTCACCGTCTCGGAGCCCTGGGATGTGAACCGTGAAAAGATGGCCGCTCTCGGCGTCAAGACCACCACATCCAACGCTGAGGCCTTTGTCGGCGCCGACATTGCCATCCTGGCCGTGAAGCCCCAGGTTGCAAAGGGCGTCTGCAACGAGCTCGGCAAGGCCGTCTCGGGCCAGGAGAAGGTGCCTGTCGTCGTCTCCATCGCCGCTGGTATCACACTCGAGGCCCTGCAGAAGTGGCTGGCGCTCGACGACGGCCGGTCCCCGCACGTCGTGCGTGTCATGCCCAACACCCCTGCCCTGGTGGGCGAGGGCGCCTCTGGTCTGTTCGCGGGTAGCGACGTGACCGAAGACGAGAAGAAGTTGACCGAGTCCCTTATGGCGAGCGTCAGTAAGGCGACAGAGTGGGTTGACAAGGAGGAGCTGATTGACGTTGTCACAGGCTTGTCAGGTGAGTCACGCCCAGACACAGGGCGTCAGCCGTCAGCGAAAGAGGACAAATCTAAACACCCCCCGTAGGATCTGGCCCTGCATACTTCTTCGCCATGGTCGAGCATCTCATTTCCAGCGCCGTTGGCCTTGGTCTCTCCCCCGAGCAGGCGAAGCGCTTGGCCACCCAGACCTGTCTCGGTGCCGGCAAGATGCTCGTCGAGTCCCCCGAGGAGCCCAGTCAGCTTCGCAAGAACGTCACCAGCCCCAACGGTACCACACATGCTGCTCTTCAGAGCTTCGAGGCATCCGGCTTCCAGGAGATTGTCAACAAGGCTGTCAAGGCTGCAGCGGATCGCGGTGAGGAGCTTGGAAAGACTCTGGGCAACCAATAAGGCAGTTGGTTCGCAAGAAAAACTGCACCTTTTCCCAGGCCGTTGGGACACTATATGGAGGGTAACAAAAATTACGCTAGGTATGGCTGAAGACCTCAAAATGGGAGGGTTGGGTTTGGGAAGGTAGATACATGAAAAGATGCAAAGATGACGACCAAAGCTCGCTTAACACCCAATCCAACGAATCCGATGATTCATGGATTCTGCAAGTGAGCTATATGGTTGTGCCATTGCTCAATTGCCACGTTTCTCTTCCTCGCACTTTAGCCTGATTTCCACCGTAAGAACTCGACAGGTCTGGTCGCGGGGGGGAGCAACATCAGTCCTGTTCCTCACCAAACCCTTTTGAAGATGAAATCACAATCGGCTACAACACCCAAGGACTCAGAGAACCCTAGGCGGAGCATTCGAATTTCAAATGGTGGCCCTGCAACTGGGCAGCTTATCTGCCCTATTCAAAGGTGCCAACAGATCTCAGAGCCTTCAGCTCAGTTGTCATATCGCGAACCACCTGGCCATATCTCCTAAATCCCTATACGGCATAGATAACCCATCCCCGTGTGGTCTAGCTCGTGTCACATTCCAACCCCAAGACCGTCCAAATTGAAGACAATTGGTCAGGGTTTAGCTTAGTTGCATTTCGTATCCCAAAATTGACTTTGATGTCTCAGTCGCCTGATACATTAACGTGCCCCTTAACTGTCAAGGCTGTCTAGGGTGTGACAAAAGAAGCCGTTCGTCGTGCCCTTACATTTTCGTGGCGACATGGAGTCACCACGGCTAAATCCCGTGACCAACTCCCAAGGAGCTCCATATGGGCTTTGATGTCTCCAATCGACTTTTACTCTCGAGAGCCCTTTCCTCGTTGATAAGGTTGAACACTCTTTCTCTCCCAAAGATCCCAAGAACTGAAATTAGGGCAAATTAGCACTATCCTAGGTACATGCAGAATCAAGGTGTCGATCGCTCACAGCGTAAAGTTAACGTGGTTGCGAAAGTTGCGATGTTACCATTGCTAAGCAAGCTAGCTAATAAGATGCTTATGATGCTTAGGACTACACCATCCTCGTTGAATCGCATGGTGTCGATCCCACTTTCTACGGGCGCAATTAAATCGATACCGAGACTCAGGTACGGGCCTTGAGATCTTGACATTCTGCCGTATCTACCTACCTCATGGTGGCTTCGCGCTAGAAACGTCCGCATTCCCACCGTCCGCCTCACGATCTGTTGCAGAGGAAAACCAGATACAAGGCTGTCGCTGCACGAAAAGTTCATAAAGTAAGAAGGACTGTACATACTACTTTATCAACAGTATCTATTATGGAGGTTTTATTCCGGCTGCTAATCAGCTTCAACTATGCAGGTGGCCGTCTAGCAGGGGGGGCTACAGATTGCCCGTCGGCTGGCCGGCAGTCTAGGATAATGAGCGGGATCATCCGTTCACGTAGCGATTCGACAGGCTTTCACGGTGCCAAGACGTGTTTTTTCAAGAATCTTTGTTCCAGCAAAAGTTTACTTGGTTCACTTGGTAATCTACATGTTGCACTTTAATTCAGTTCTTCAACACTTGTGGCGCGGAGCGGGTTTTTGGCGGCCACGTTCACGATTCACCCATACTAGCGGAAAATTGTTGAGGGTATGAACGCGCGGCATTAGATCTCTTGAGGCATGCGGACAAGGTTGCCGATATTATTCGGCAGCCTCACACGCCTCTCATTGCAACTCAAGACCGGAAGAACGGTTTGCCGTGGGAGTGGCTTTTTTACATCTCTCGGCCGATACATAAGATGCAATGTGGGTTACGTGAATGTGGACCTCCTCTCCCACCGGCGCCTGAGACACGTTTAGAACGCAGGGTGCTGATCCACAGGGCGGGATGGGATGGCAAAGTTACAATTTCGGGACAAGATCATCGCCATTTTGCAGGATGGGGGAACTTGGCAAGGCACTGATGCTGGGCCTGGATCGGGGCCGCAGTCTTGGGGTAGTGGTGTGCGGAGGTCAGTCAAGACTTTGAGACTGCCCCTGTGGCTTAGTGTAAGCTCTCAAAACTTTCGGATTCTTCCTGTAAGTTCCGATATGCGTAGGCTCAACAACTCATTGGAAGGGAACGAAAATGCGAGTGTCCCTTGTCCAGTCACGAACGGGAGGCTGGCTAGGGCGAGGGAAATGGGATTGCTCCACCTGAAGGAATCGCCTTTGACAAAAGCAGAGTCGCTTGCGACATTCTGCAGCAAGCAGGGGTTCTCTGCCTTAGTGTCTCTATTCTTGGGTCGCCTCTTTCACGGCGCACATTCAAACCTTGTGCCGAACTTCGCCCTGAGTCCGCGCTTATGGCGATGAAAGTATGGTCATGATGGACTCTTACGGGGAGGGAAGTTGTTAAACTTGTGGATATGAGAAGAATGTTTTGCTTAAGAAACAAGTACTAGTGTGATAGGGTTCCGAAGAAGTTCCCTCTATGTATCCTCCGCCGTGTGATTGCCCCAAGAACTCCATGTCCCTGATGTTACACCGCTTTGTGTAAGTATGCCCAAAAAGCAAAATTCGTAGTCTCGTAGCCCTAGCAGAACTGCTTGCGCCAAAATTCAACCACCTCGTCCAACTCGGGCCGGTTGTTAGGGTCCCTCTCAACACACCGCATAATCATGTCTTGCCACTCCTTCGGGACGTCCATCGCCATCGCCGTCCATACCGTAGGGTCGGGGGATTGCTCGACCTGCTCGAGGAGCATCCACATCGTCCTGCCCAGACTAAACACCTCCGCCAGCTCTGCGGCCCGGGGACACGTCGTCTTCCACTCCGGAAGGACGTTCCAGTCCGGAAATCCCCACTTCTGATTTCTCCGCGGCGCGCCGGTGTGGGGGGTATAAATGACCACCGGCTTGCCGTTCGCGCCGGTGGAGACGGACGACTCTTCGGCCTCTTGGTCGATGGTTACCTCGGGTGGATGCGTAAACATGGAGAACCCGCTCTGCTCCCAGTCGATGAGCCGGAGGTTGTTGTAGTCGTCGACGAGGATGTTGCCGGGTTTCAGGTCCATGTGGAAGCTCTCGGCGACCTGGTGGGTATGCTGGATCGCGAGGGCCATCTGGTAGCACCACTTGGCCTTGAGACCCAGCGGGAGACGGTGTCCGGCTCTATTGGCGCGCATGACCTGCTCGTCAACCGAGTCTTTGCTCATGACCGGTTGAAGAAAGCCGCAGATGCGGTACTTGTTGTCCCCGTCCTGTACGACGACGAGGACCTTGGGGCAGGGCATGATGTTCGGGTGGGGCGGTAGGGTGCACAAGGTGCGGATCTCGTGGAGAAGGGTCTTTTCTTGGTGTTCCTTAAAGTCTTTGCTGTCTCGCTTGTACTGATCAAAGTCCATCCCCTTGAAGACGAAGGTGCCCTGTGGGGTAAGGCCGGAGGCTTTCTTGGTGACGATCCTTGCTCCCGTCTTGCCGGGGAGGGACCCGAGGATCTCGAGGTCGGCGAAATCCACAAGCTGGAAGTCTGTCGGGCGAGCGGTTTTGCCGAGGCTTGCAATGAACTTGTCGAAAGGGGTGAGTTGGCTGATATAGTGTTCCCTGATGGGAGAGATCTCGCTTGCGACGGCCATTGTAAGTGATATTAGATACAGTCTATCGTGAAGGTCAGATTTCTACTCCTAGAAGAGTTCGGCCTGTGAAGTCGAAAAAAAGTCGTCTTTTTTTGTTTCCAAAATAGGTTCTCTAATAAGAACGGTGAATGAGTATTGAGATTCACCAAAGAGTCGAATCTGAATAGAACAGTCGAATTGGGACGGAAGACTGCATGTAAACTGGAAGACTTGAGAGTTAATACCTTTGACCCATCATCAACTCTGATTGGGTGTCAACTCGAGCCTGCCACGGTTGTGAGTCCCATCTCAACTGATGGTAGCATTTGCAAGGCTCTCTTTTCTTCTTCCGCTGATTGACAAAGTCCCTGTCGAGAATGGTCAAGGGAGCGAGGCAACTTCGGTGAATGAGGGAAAGGGTCCCGGTAGATGCGATTGGGGGTATCAATTGCATTTGAAAGTCGTTCCGGGAGCGCACGGTGAATGTGCTCCGGGATCATTCCAGACCCCTTTTTGCAACTCCTTGTGTGAGACTTGAGAAAGAGAAAGGAATTTTTGAGATATTCTGAAGAAAAGCGATATCACTGCCACTATTCTTTTTTCCCCCTGTCACCCCGGCTAACCCAAAGCCCTAGGGTCTAGCTTGGGACTTTACCTACATGTATGATGCTTCGTCAACGATGTCTTACCTCGCTCTCGCTCATCCTGGTCATCTGACCGGGCGAGAAGTGAGGCGGGCGTGAGATGATATCACGAACGCCATCATCCACGAGAAAGAGTCGACCGAATCCATGCGCGGGCAGGATGCATGCCACTAGGCGGGTGGTGATTGGTGGCATCCCGCAAAGTGGCAGGGTGCGTGCTTCTTCATCCCTCACATTCGATATCTGACAGGTAAGAAAATCCTCCGTCCGGGAAGGGTACGGCCCTAGCGGGCTGGCGGGAGATCAGATATCACGAAATACCTCGTGTGCCTGTTGGCAGAAAAGACGACAGACAAGGGGAGAGAAGGAAAAGAAGGGTGTGGCCATCCTTACCCAGGATCCCCCGGCACGCCAGAGCGACCAGACACCCGCTGTCGAAAATGGGTAAAGGCGTAGGCATTACCATGCAGGCGGCAGATCGGAAGCGCTTTGGATGGTTCCCGGAGGGGCTTAGCCATGCGTGCCATGCTGTTTAAGTCACATTCATCGATGCGTGACGTAAGACACTGGCATGAGACAATAGGGACGCTACAGGTAGGGGGCGCGCGCGCTGAGAGTGAGCCTGTACGGAGTACCTTAGGTCTTGCAAACTGAGGAATTCAGGTGAGCGAGGTGAGTCGACTGGCGATCTTGCCGGATGGAGGCCGAGGGCTGAACGTCATTGGGGGGTTGAGGGTCGGACATGGGTTCAGATTTATTGATACCTATGTGCCGCGGGAGCGCTTCGACCGGGGTGAAAACCCATTTTGCCAGTTGGTTTGTATGTATGTACATAGACGAACATGCGTATGTATGTGTTTGCTCGGACGGTGTCTCCGGGCTAGCTGAACACACAACGTTGAGGAGGCGTCCCCCCAATGCCTGTCTTAGCTTACCGGCGGTGGTATGATGAGGCGTATTTCGAGCATGTCATTGAGACAATCGTAGGTGAGATGGGGGATGTGATATGATATGATGGATCATGGGGGGAGGCCGGGGTTGGACTTTTGGAGGGGAGGGAAAATGTGAGATGAGAATGGTCCATGTCGGCTCCCAGCCCGTTCCCACAGAAAAAAGGAGGTTATCGGGGCGATCGCCGATGTCCAATCGCGGTGGGGTGTCCTGCCGGATAACTCCATAGATTGACCCCGAACCAACTTGAACCCTCGCCGATCGTCCCATCTAATGTTTGTGAGGTGACAGTCTAGCGGGAGCACCCTCCCTCCAGGCTCGACCGGGGAGAACACCCCTTGCCTTCCGTGAAGTGGAGGATGGCGCTTACGCTCGGGTTGGCAGTTGATGATGTCTCACAGAGATCCGGCCAGCTGCCAGCCAAACCACATGGGTTACACTGCGCCCTTCCACTGGTAAAGTGACTGCCGAGATCGGGCCGTATGTCTTTCTCGGAAGGTCGCGGTCGAAGTGAAGACGGTTGGGCTAGTCATCTACTGCCCTATTGTAAGTGGTCGAGTATAGTAGGATCCCACTCTGGGCCCCCTTCCAAACCACAGTTCAGACTTCAAAGTCATCCTGAACCCCAGACCTTGAAAGAAGAATTTCTTCTTTTCCCTCTATGCCGCCCCGGTAATTCTGTCTGATTTCTGTTCCGAGTCGCACAAAAGAAATCGCCAGAGACAATACAGCCCGGAGAGAATGCACTAGTGCGATACTCGAACATTGTTCCGAAGTCACAGGGTCAAAGCGAAAGCGGGCGCCAAAATCAGACCTGCTCACTAATTTGACAACCAGCGCGGGGCTTATTCCCGGCTCACTCAAATACTCAATCAGTCTATGTTTACCTCTACTGTTCTGGTACTCTGGGGACTGGAAGTCATTCTCGCCTGTTCACAAAGGCTCCAAAATGTCTTTCGACATGGCTGTTCTCCCGGTCAAGAAGGATGCACAATCCCTGAAGAGTCAATGCCGCAATGCGCCTTGGCAAGACACAGCTCGTCCCAGTATCATCACAGAGCAAATCAAAACTGATACTGCCTTCACGTCAAAGGGATCTGTGTGGAATGACATGGCGGCTGGACTACACGGAAAGGGGCAATCTTCTCGCCTCAACCTTTCTATAGACAGTCTTCACTGGTTCCGATATTTTCCCGCCAGCCCTCCGGTCCCAAAGTTAGAAAATCTGACGGACGTATTTAACCCCGTTACACTGAAGCCTTCGTGGTTGAAGGGGTATCAAAGGGGTCCTGTTATCCTGGCTGAGGCCCGAGAACTCGATTGAAGATCATCATAAAGCAAGTACCTAATGCGGATGGGCAAGTACCACTTTGTTGGGGACCCCTGAGAAGGCTCTGGCAGGCATGCACCGATGCTGACCAACTGCACTATCATAGTCCCAGGGATCGGTCGGCGCCGAGTTTCCAGTATTCAATGTGTGTGGCTGTCCCTGATGCTCGGTCCTTCGCATCAATAGAGACTAACTTATGTGGACAGCAAGCGCCCCACGACTCTACTCGGCAAAGTGTTCCAAAGTACATATCAAGAGTTGTACGGGAGGGATAGCTCCCTCGTATTCCTAGAGCTAGGTAGCACGTCAATCCTACCTTAATCTAAACCTTTGGGCCGAGTCTCGGAAACCTAAAAAGCTCGGATGTGACGGGCTGGCCCGCGTTTGCGGGTGACAGCGGGAACCAACAGCAGCACACCCTTCTCAACTGGGCTGAAAGGCCGGGTCTGAGATTTTTCGCATGAAGTACGTGACTAGCTTACATTGCTGGCTTCAAGCTTCACTACATTTGGGTAGCATTGTTTTCTTCACGGATAGAGTCAAGAATCCATACTCTGACGAGCCAATTGCGCGTATAGTACTGGAGCAATTTTTGTCACTTTCATGCAACCGAATTACGAGAGCTCCAGCCTCCAATAAGGGTATGATCTCAGGCAAGTCAGTGAGCTTCTTCAATAGATGTGACAATCAATGGGGGTGATTGGCAATTGTTCCATTTTTGATGTGGAAAACTGGAACAAGACTGGGTACTGAACAACCATGTAAAGCTGATGGTGAATTGAACTTATTACAACGACTAACATGTGTTCTTGCTCCACAGATTTTCATTGTCGACATTGCAAATGAAATTCATCGGGCACTCGTCAAACGATAAAACCAAGTACTTAACTTAGATCATATTGCCGAGAGTTGAATATTCGCGATTGTAACTATCGAGCACGTTAGGCACAAAAAGCCGACCTAGACGCGACCTAAGGTAGTTGCTGGCTTCACATCATGGATACCAGATAGTAGTAGAAGAGTTGAGTCACCGGAAAGTGGGTGGTAACCAGCTTGTTTCGAAAACGCTAGAAAAGCAACCTCGGGGAAGGGACTTATGAGTGATCTGACGAACTGCCTGCACACATCTCACTTGAATAGGAGAAGTACATGAATGAGTATTATCATTACCAATAGAACGTTCAGATCTCGAGCTCTGTCAGTCAATCCGAAGATGCCGTTAAGTCATAAGCCAGTCCTGGAGTGTAGCTCGCCGAAGCCGCCGAAGCCGGATTGATACCCGAACCCGAGGATTTCACAGTTGCCGACGGGATTGTGGGGTCCGGCGCCGAAGCTGGTGTTTCTGAAGAATGTGTGTATGGACACAATATGTGACAATACCGCAGAGGTTACCGCAAGAGGTATCAAGATAGTCTTTGCTGAGCATTTCTTTTTCTCAGAAGAGCATGCGGGAGTGAGATCTCTTCAGTTTATCTGAAGCACCTAGCCCGGACGCATCTTATGTAGCATTGTCACACTCACACCGAACTCATGGGATGAGATGTGCCTTGCATCACTTCTCGATCCTCCACCATCCTTCAAGACCAATTGCCGGCACTTTCATGTCTGACGGAGAAAAAAAAAAAAAAGGAGTGGGTGAGTGAACGAGTGGGCAGAGTCGGCAAGTTTGGGGAAAAGCCGTGAGAGGCCGGGCGGCATGCCGTGGCCCCGCAGCGAACCCCGGCGCCAGTGCCCACCGCTTGTTCTCCGGTCCAAGTGCAACCTTCCCGAAGAGGAATGCACCTGTGCAAGCTCGTCTTGGCCTTCACTTGGCTTTCATCGCGTCAATTTCTTTTCTTCCACACACACACACACACACACAAACAAAGACGCGCAGACAGTCACACATAATAGTACACTGACGCTCGCCATTACCACTATTACAAACGCCAATGACCCCCGCCTCTCCATGTCGTCAATATCCAGACTTAATCACGCCGTCAACCCAACTTTGGCAGGTCCTTAATGATTCCCCCGGCTCTCCCCGTTCGAAAACTCCTTTCCTTAGACCACTATGACCACAGCAGCCAGTCAAGATGGCCGTCGAGACGAACAGTCAGCAAGAAATCTGGAGAAGCCAGCGGGCCCGACTGGTTGATAACTTGACAACTTGACCGCAATCCATGTCGCTCTCTTGGCATCCGAGCACAACATCCAACAATGCCACCAACGATGGACCGTTGCACCGTCGCTCGGTGATCTCTCGCCTGCACTGCAGTGGAACACGGCCCACTGCGACGCGCACCTGCATGGCTATCGACGCATGCTTTGGTTCAATGGCACCGCACGGCAAGTTGGTATAAAGAAGCGTTCGCCTCTCCAGGTTCTTACTACGCGGCCTTTCTCGCCTCTGTCGCTTGCCGTTCCTCGCATACCCATACTTGGATACCAGAGAAATCGGGACACCGGACACTCATCATGGCCCGCAAACTTCTCCAGGTCGTTGCCGCTGCGGCCCTCATCTTCGGCGCATCGGCCATTGAACGCGAACCGCACCAGCCCACCGGAGGCGGCGATCGCATTGTCACTTGGAACGAGACGGTTGCCTCCCCGCGATTTGGCGCCAGCTCGCGATCAGTCAGCTGGCTCTCGGGCGTTGAAGATGGCCGCTTCATCTATCTTTCCAACAATGCACTCGTGATCGAGGATATCGTCACCGGCGCAAACGAGACATTTGTGCCCGCCGACAAGATCCCTGCCGATTACGCCGAGTACTGGATCCGGCCGGATCTGAAAAAGGTCCTCTTTGCCACCAACTACACCAAGCAGTACCGCTACTCGTACTTTGCCGACTACTCCATTCTTGACGTCGAATCCGGTGTCGTCGAGCCGCTCGTGGATGATCAAGCTGGAGACATTCAATATGCCGAGTTTGCGCCCGTGGGAGATGCAATTGTGAGTACTCCTGATCAGCGCCACACAATTGAGCTACCCTTGGATGCAGCTAACACTCACCACTAAGGCCTTCGTCCGCGGTAACAACCTCTTCTTCAGCAAGAACGGGACCATTTCCCAAATCACCAACGACGGCGGACCGGATCTATTCCACGGTGTTCCCGACTGGGTCTACGAAGAAGAAATCTTTGGCAGCAGAAGCACCTTCTGGTTCTCCCCCGATGGCGAGTACATCGCCTACCTCAGCTTCAACGAGACGGGCGTCGAGACCTTCACCATCCCCTACTTCATGGGCGGCGAGAAGATTGCACCCCCGTATCCTGTTGAGCTGGACCTGCGTTACCCCAAGGTCGGCAGCAAGAACCCTACTGTGGCGCTGACGCTGCTGGATGTCGAGACTGAGGAGGCCACCCCGGTCGAGATTGACGCATTCCCCGCCGACGACCTGGTTGTTGGTGAGGTCAAGTGGTTGACCACTAACCATGCCAGCTTCGCCTACCGAGCCTTCAACCGTGTCCAGGACCAGGAGAAGCTCGTTCGCGTCGATGTTGAAGGCTACGTTTCTGAGGTCATTCGAGAGCGCGATGGCTCCGACGGATGGCTGGACAACAACCAGGGCATTGAGTACATTGGTCCTCTGCAGAACGCCACGAGAAACTCCACCGACGCCTACTTCTTGGACCTGTCCGACGAGTCTGGTTGGAACCACATCTACCTCTACTCGGTCAATGGCGGCAGCCCGATTCCTCTGACCAGCGGCGATTGGGAAGTTACCTCGGTACTCAAGGTCGATACCGAGCGTCATCTCGTTTACTACCTGTCTACCGAGCACCACAGCACCGAGAGGCATCTCTACTCCGTCTCCTACCCTTCTGGCGTCAAGACGGCCCTCGTCGACGACACTGTCGCAGGATACTGGAGCGCCTCGTTCTCGTCCTCGGCCGGGTACTACATCCTGTCCTACCAGGGTCCCAACGTCCCCTACCAGGAACTCTACGCCACCAACTCAACCACACCAGTCCGCACCATCACCAGCAACGAGGCCCTGGTCACCCGTCTCCAAGAATACAAGCTCCCCAACATCACCTACTTCGAGCTCGCTCACCCCGACGGCTACACCCTCAACGTGATGCAGCGCCTCCCCGCCAACTTTGACCCCTCCAAGAAGTACCCCGCCCTCTTCACCCCTTACGGCGGCCCCGGCGCACAAGAAGTCACAAAGCGCTACCAGTCCATCACCTGGCGCGCCTTCATCGCCTCCGACCCGGAACTCGAGTACATCACCTACACGGTAGACAACCGCGGCACAGGCTACAAAGGCCGCGCCTTCCGCTCCACCGTGGCCGGCCACCTCGGCCGCCTGGAGCCCCTCGACCAGATCTGGGCCGCCGAACAACTCTCCTCGCAAAACGCCTTTGTCGACGCCGCAAAGATTGGCATCTTTGGCTGGTCGTACGGTGGATACCTCTCCGCCAAGGTCGTCGAAGCCAACTCGGGCGTCTTCTCGTCCGGCCTCATCGTCGCGCCCGTCAGCGACTGGCGCTTCTACGACTCGCTGTACACGGAGCGCTACATGAAGACGCTCGACGCCAACGAGGAGGGCTACAACGAGACAGCTGTCCGCAACCCCGAGGGGTTCAAGAACCTGGCGGGCGAGTTTACCATCCTTCACGGCACGGGCGACGATAACGTGCACTACCAGAACGCTGCAGCGCTTATTGATCTGCTCGTCGGCGCCGGGGTGCCCGTGTCCAAGATGAAGTGGCTGAGCTTCACGGATAGCGACCACAGTATCGCGTACAACGGTGCCAATATTTGGTTGTACAAGTATCTGACGGAGGCGCTGTTCAGGGAGAAGAGACGGTCTGGAGATCCGCTTGTTCACCAGTGGAGTAAGAAGAGCTTGCCCGAGACGTTTGACTTTGAGAGGTCTTAGGGGCGTGGTGTCGTCTTCATTGTAGATATTTTAGTATCCTTTTTGAGAACAATTAATGTGTTACACCTGTGCACCTTATCTTTTTTTGTGAGTGGACGCAATATTGTTCCCTCTGGCTCAGTAAACGCTGGTCAGTGATCGAAGATTTAGGCGATTAATATGTTGTCAAATAGAAATGTGACATCAACCAGAAAGAAGAGAACAAATAGTCATGGAGTTCTGATCTACTCGGATCTGATGTACGATAAGAGCAGTACAGCATGCTTTCGGTAGGGTCTGTCGTACATTTAGAGTGTCTTTGTACCACTTTTTAAGCTACTTGACTTACGTGATGGAGAGTGTTGGGGTTTACGGGATTGAAAGTGCAATTTCAAAAGGTTGAGTCGAGAATCGCCCGAGCAGCCAGCAAAGGCAGAATTAAGAAAACAAATCTGGAAAGACGAAAGAAACCACTCCTCGGAGCTTGCGTTTGCTTTCAAAGTTACTTCTCTTGCTCTGGCAATTATGATTTACCCAAGCGCTTCGCCTTTGAGCTCCCGGAAAGCAACGATGTCTTTACAAATATGTCTTCACAAATCAAGCCTCAATCTTGTCATAGCCCGCAGTCCATGGGAAGAAATATAAACCATTTTTGTATTCAAATAACTCACGATCGCAAATAGTATAGATTTGAGTGGATTTGGCATAAAACAAGAAGGAGGCTTCCTGTGATTGTAGACATTCTCTTGGAAAGCTCCGCAAGGTGAGTGACGGCAACGGCCCCACCTTTCCACCCTCACCTGCCACGCTCGGTGAGGCCAAAAATCCGGCTCGGAAAAACACCAGCTTCCAGCTACCTGTCTCCCCCAGAGCCCGCCTTCACTTTTCATCATCCACCACCCAAACCGCCCTGACCCGCGATCGCGACAAGCTACTCCCCTCCACCCATCTCGACCCAAATCCCCACGACAGCTCGCCCTCGATTCCTCCAAACAACCGCAGTCATGACGTCCACAATTGGCATTCCCATCAAGCTCCTCAACGAGGCACAGGTACTTCCAACTCGCCCCCTAATAAGAACCATGCCAGAGAGCTAACCATTTGCGCGCGCAGGGCCACATCGTCACCCTCGAAATCACATCAGGCCAAACTTACCGCGGCAAGCTCCTCGAAGGTACCCCCTCCCTCCACCCTGCCATCCCCTAGCTCAGTCATAGATAGTAGCCCGCTAACATCTCACGTCTCCCCAACAGCCGAAGACAACATGAACGTCCAGCTCAAAGACATCACCGTCACCGCCCGCGACGGCCGCGTATCCCACCTCGACCAGGTCTACATCCGCGGCTCCCACGTCCGCTTCTTCATCGTCCCGGACATGCTGCGCAACGCCCCCATGTTCCGCTCCCGCAACGTCCGCGGTCGCGGTGTCGGCATGGCGCGTGGTCGCGCGACTGTGAGCAGGGCGAGGGCCAGCGGGCGCGGAGGACGCTAGGATCGCAATCCGCATTCGCAGCATGCCTCTTCGACTCGGCCTTGAAGAAACATAGACCGCCCGCGATAAGGACTTTTTGCGCGTGGGAGAGAGAGAGTGGGGAAGAGAGCAAGAAGACACCAAAGGGGAGGACTTTCGAGACGAGACACAGCGCGCATTTTTCCTTTTACGACGGACGCTGCTCTTCCGTCTTTTGAAGAGTCGGAGGAAAGGTCGGGTGAGGAGACTTTTGGACTCTCACTCCAGGGGAACCCGGGGGCTGTTCAGCATCGTCCCCCGGCGACAAAAAAGTTCCAGGCGTTTTATGGGGGTTTTGAAAGTTTCACGGGGGAAAGTCCCCAAGTATTGCAAAGGCGGATACCAGCCGTGGGAGGGCCAGGGAAACACATATGACAGTGCGAGGCACGATACTTGAGGCCTGAGTTCTCCCGAGGAGAACAAAACCCAGGCAGTCTGAGGATGTCACTCGCCTGCCAGCATGTGGGAAATGACGGTCGCTAGGGTAGGCCTCACTCTTTCTCTAATCTTGAAGAGCCAGCCGTCATCCAACCCTCAGCTGACACAGAAAGCTAGGCGTCAATGCTAGAAATACCGCAGCAATAGAATGCAAACGCCTCTCTCGGCGCCCAATATCTCGTGTCTTTTCTCTGGTATCAGAACCTCGTGCATGCATGCTTGTTATGTCTATCATGGACATTGTGTTTATACATTATACAGATGATGATACAAACCTCGTGACAGCCCACACCTCCTTCTTGCTCATGTCACTTCTACTTCAACCGCCTAAGCGCATCCTCAGCCTTCTCAACAAGCTCCTTGGCCCTGCGAAGCTCCTCCGCGCCCTCCACAGCAGTTCCCTCCCTTGACCCATCAAGCGTATCCGCGACGCTCTGCTCCACACCCCGCACCGCCTTGCGCCCTTCTTCTCGCACCTCGCCCTCCCAGTACGTCCGCGCCGTCTCCCACTTTGTCTGCAACCTGCGCAAGCTCCACATCACGCCCAGCGCCGCGACGGCACCGGCCTCGTAGATAGAGGAAGCGTACTGCGATACGTAAAGCAGGCCCGCCAGCGCCGTCGTCAAGGCCGAGGTGCTCGACGCCTGCAGGACGAGTTTCTGCGCGAGGGCCTGTAGTGCGGGAACGGTTTCCTCGTGGAGGTAGCGGCGCGTGAAGGCGATGTGCGTGGGCCACTTGGGCTTCTGCGTCACGGCCTTGGCGACGGTACTGCTCTCGGGCAGGGATTTCTGGAGTTCGGATGTCGGCTGCGCGTACACCGGCGGTTCGGTGGTGGTCGAAGCGACGCCGGACTCTGCGATGCGGCCGGCGAGGTAGACCAGCTCCCTCTCTGCGCCAGGGAGGAAGCGCTGGCTGAGCATGTCGGTAGTGAGGACGCCCACATCGTCGACTCGCCAAAAGAGCTTCCACCAGCCCAGCTTGCGCCACCTCGTGCCCGCAAACGCGAGGTCGAGCTGCTGCTGGAGCTCCTCGTGCGCGAACTGGGACCACTGCGCCAGTCTCTCATTCATGACAGTCAGCCCGGATGATGCGGCCTCCGTTGACAGGCGTCCTGAAAGCAAGCGCGATTCCTCGGCTTCAATTTCTGCGAGGGCGTTGCGGAGTAGTGAGGCGACCAGGAGACGAACTGCTGGCTTGGTAGCCTGGCCCTCGTCCGTCTGCACGCCTGTCTTGAGCCATTGAATAAGGACGGGCACATTACTCTTGTACCATGCCCTCTCGTACTCCATAGCATTGGCAATGTTCTGGCGAATAAGATCAAGTCCCTTGCTGCCCACCGACACATCAATCGGCTGGAACGTGACGCCCGCCTCCTTCTCCACAGGATATTCTGGCAAGTTGACTGCACCAAAGACGGTATCGCGGTACTCAGCCAACGGCAGAGCCGCAACCGAAGCGGCGCCCATGACGCCCCCAGAAACAACCAAAGCCTTGTGTACTGGCGTCGTAATAGGCGTGTACCGCCCCGTGTTGGACGGGATATCCACCGTCGGCACGAGGACAGCCTCCTCAACATCCTGCACCGCCGTCTCGCCCGGTCCCGGCACGGAACTAAAGGGGTTCACCTCCATAAGCAAAAGCTCAATTCCGTGCCCATTCAACGCAGGCGACGACACATCAAGCTCGTGCAGCAGATTCGTCTTTGATATCGTCACGCGCGGCGCGGCCTCCGCGGCATTATGCTCTTGCCCAATCCGCACCACGAGCGGGTGCGATGGGTCATGCTGCGCCAGCTCCCTTTCCCACTCCGCCTCGTCGCCAAGGGGATCCGCGAGAAGTAGTCGGAGAAGGTCCTTTGTCGTCTTGCCCTGCTCCGCGCTGCCGTTGGCGAGGGAGAGAATTGCGACGCGGATCGACTCCTGGCCTGGATCCTGGCGCAGACCCTGGAGCGCGAGCTGTAGGCGGGAGAGGTTCACATGGTTGACGGCATGTTTTTGGAGCTCTAGGAGGGTGTCGATAAGTTCTTGCCTCGGGTTCTCGATCGCGGTGGTCTCTTGTGGCGGTGGTGATCCTGTCGACTCAGTGGACTGGAAGCGGCGTTGTCTCAATGCTTTTCTTGCTTGGTTGCGGCTGTTCGCGGTAGCGTTGGTTCTCGTCGTTGGTCGTGAGGGCGTGGACAGCGAGCAGAATAAGCATACTGCGCGCGAAGGGATTGCGGCATTCTGCTTTGCAGCAGTCAGGGAAGAGGCGGCGCGGCCTGCGATTGGCCTCAATGGGAGTCGCGGTGGCATCGTGAACGAATTGCAAGAGAGGCAGGGAGTCCGTGTCCCGTCTCTTGCTTTCCTGGGTATGACGGAAGAAATAAAAAGTGAACCGTCGAGAATTGGGTTGGTGATGGTTGAATGATGTCGGCCGGGCAGACGGGTGGACAGAGCTCCCAAAAAATGCTTGGTGAACCCGACCCAAGCTCCGATCCATGTGCACCCGTCGGGCTAAACTTCGGAGAACCACTGGAGCAGGGAAGTTTCCCCCCACCCCCGCCAATCTGCCACCACTATGACCACCACTAACCGACCCGGAGGTCCCAACTGTTCACCTCCGCGCTGTGTAAGTCACCGGAGATATCAACCCGACAACCATCTTGACCCCTGGCCTTCCCTCAATCATTGTCTACAAACCTCGCATCTCTCCCCATCCTTCTTCAGCTCTCCGCGACTCTGAACCTTCTCAATCCGAGTCATCCCAAGACACGCAACACCGCGCCAGCCATGGCCCAATCCACCGCCCACCGCCGTCTCCTCCAAGAGTACCGCGCCCTGACAAACAACCCCCCAGAAGGCATCACCGCCGGCCCCGTCTCCGAAGACGACCTCCTCCACTGGGAGGCCCTGATCCAAGGCCCCGAGGGAACGCCCTTCGAAGGCGGCGTCTTCCCCGCCGAGCTCAAGTTCCCCAAGGACTACCCTCTCGCCCCGCCGACCATGAAGTTCCTCGTCGACATGTGGCATCCGAACAGTACGTCACCTCTCCTTTCCACTCTGGAGTAACAGAGAAAGAATATCGCTAACCGCAAAGCGAACAGTCTACCCTAGCGGCCTAGTCTGCATCTCCATCCTCCACCCCCCAGGCGACGACCCAAACCACTACGAACACGCCTCGGAGCGCTGGTCCCCGATCCAGTCAGTCGAAAAGATCCTCATCTCCGTCATGAGCATGCTCGCCGAGCCAAACGACGAGAGCCCCGCCAACGTCGAGGCTGCCAAGATGTGGCGCGAGCGGAGGACGGAGTACGAGCAAAAGGTCCGCGACGGGGTCCGGCGGTCGCTGGGTCTGTGATGCAGCAGGTCTTCCTCCCGGCGATAACACATAAATATAAATACCTTATCAAAAGAGTACCACTCGGCGGACTTTCTCAGTAGAGAGATCTGAAGGATCAACATAGGCAGACATAAGAGGATGCGGTAGACACTACAAGCATAGCACGGCGTTTGGGGAATCAATCAAATGTGGCTTCGAATATTCACTTCCTTCGTCAATGCTTGCTTGCCCGCGTGCATTCGTGATAAATGCCTCCAGCTTTCCTGCTGTCCTTGCAGTACTAAATCCGCTCTCTCAAACGTCTAAACCCTCTCTTCCATGCCCCCGAGGTATTTACAATCCGTTCTCGGACTTGAACTTATCCCAACTCTCGTTCAACGTCGCAAAGACCGTAGCAGCGATAAGTCTCACTTCCGTGCTAGCGTCTTGGGGAAGCTATATATTGTTAGCGCAGGCCCATAGTCACCAAGTAAAGCAGAAATAACGTACCTTATCGGGATGACACTTAGCAATGGCCTTCATGTAGTGAATCTTCACCTTATTGGCCATGACAAGCTCGTGCAGCCCAACCTTCTTCCATCCACTGTTTTCCCAGAGAACCGAGTCCAAACTACCGATGAGAGCACGCAGGTTATCTCTCTTGCCGTCCCTCCATGCCGCAATCTTGGCGTCAACCTTCTCCGACAGCGCAAACTTCTCATCGTCTTCTTGCGCCGCTGCCTGATTCTGCTTGCGCAAGCGCTCCACGGCTTCCATGTTCTTAGCAGAAGCTGCGACAGGGCGGGACCGAGCAGGAGCAGCAGCGGCCGGTCTAGGCTTGGGCTTGGGCTTGGGAGCCAGGGCCGACTGGCATCTTTGTCGGCCAGAGATGGCGGTAGGACCGCCGACGCCGTTCTTCACGCAGGTTGACCAGACGGCGTGGGCATCGCCCCATCGCTCCATCTGTTCGAGGGCCTCGGCCTTGCGGCTCAATGCCTTACCGTACAGATCCCGCATGTCGCGGTTTTCCTGACCGCCGGTGTCGCCTACAACAGACACCTGCTCGCCTTGACCTCCACCAGGACCAATGATCTTCAGTGCAGCATCAGCGTCTTCAACAGCACGCTTGGGTTCGCCATTCTTCAACGATGTCAACGCGCGGTTTGTGAGGATAACAATCGCAAGAGGATGCGAAGATGGCACAGCAGATAGTGATGACGTATAAGATGAATGAGCTGCACCGTAATCTCCTCTCTTGAAGTGAGCAGTTCCATCGAGACGGTGCTTTGTTGACTGTTGTACCGCCGCAGGTGTAATGGGTGGGATGTGACGAGCGGGTCGAGGGGCTGGCTTGGGAGATGGAGGTCTTGCAGGCCGCGAGGCTTGAGCGGGCTGAACGGGTCGTGATGGCTGCGATGATTGAGCCGGGCGTTGAGGAAGTGACTGTGAGGGCTTCGGAGCTTGGGAACCAAAAAGCAGGTCCGGTTCCTCCTGCTGTGGCGGAGGCGCTTCTGGCTGAGGTGTCGCCTTCTTCCTCCTAGCAGGGCTGACATACGAAGCCGCACCGTCGTCCGCCATTGCCAGCTTGCTTGCACGACTTCTTGAATCCGGTATTGCTGGGCCGCTCTGCTGCTGCCATCTAGGTACCGGAGTGCCTCTGCCGCTTGACGGGGCCGATACCGTAGGAGATTGGTCCCTCGGGGATGCTGTCCGGCGAGGAGCCTCTGGTCTCGAAGACTGCGACGATTGCCCGGCTTTTCTTTGCGGCCGACCGCCAGACTCCAGCATCATAGCCTCGTCTGTAGCCTCTGCCACCCGCCGCTCAGGCTGAGCACGATCAGCTTGTGCTGAGCGCATCCATTTCGGCTGGCTGGGGTCGCCCTCGGGTTGGTTGAAGTCCGCCACTGCGGCCGCTACCTGCTTCTTGCTAGTCTTCCAGAGAGAGTTGGCTGTTTTGAAAATGCTATTTCCCATAGCCGCCGCAGTCTTTGAGAAGTCAGCTTCACCGGCGGGGGATCTGGTATCAGCCCGTCTTTGACTGTCCTGTCTGCCACCATCATCTCGCCCTCTCCTTGAAGCAGCTGCTGGATCCTTTCCTTGAGCCTTTGCCTTGGCTTGTCTGTGGGCATCGTCCAAAAGCCAGTTGGCCGCTGCTTGCACGTTCAACCCCGCACCACTCTCTGTCAAACCCCTTCGAGCGTTTTCAGGGGTGAAGCCGTAATCGACGAGCTGCGCGACAGCCCTGTCGAATTCGGCCATCTCACCCCTGGGAGCTGGCTGCCCTTCATCATCTGAGCTGGAGTCAGATGCCTCAATGGGTTTTCCGGGCTCAGGCCCCTTGGGCTGTGGGGTGGGTTGCTTGCGCCGCACTTCTTCGACCGGGCGGGCTAGGTCTCCGAGGAAGTCATCATCATCGTCGTTCGTCGGAGGGGGTGCTGGAGATGCGGCCTTGGGCTTTAGCTGGTTCAGACCAAACGGATCGTCGTCGTCCCCAAAGCCGCCATTGGCAGGGGCAGGCGCCTGATTCCATGCGCTTGGGTTGCTGAGGTCCAAGCCCGGGGCAATCGCAGGCGAGGGGCTCTTCTGAGGAGGCGGAGGGTAGTGGCTAGCATTGTCAACCTTGGTCTCAGAGTTGAAGGCCGCGAAGAGGTCGTCATCATCACTGGCCTTCTTGCCTGTAGAAGAGCCAGGGGACAGTATGCCAGGGGACGTCGTCCTCGACACGGAGCCCGATCCCAGTGTATCCAAGAAACCACCACCGAATTGCGCCTGCGCTTGTTTCTTCCTCTCCTCCTCCTTCTTCCTCTTCTCAGCCTCGAGTCGCTGCTGCTGTTCCAGCAAGGTAAGTTTCGATGTCGGTTTCGCAGCCCCGGCACCACCAAAGCTCATCAAGTTGCTGAAACTATCGGCTGGTGGCTTCGCGAGTGGAGGTTTCGCAGCCACGGCTCCTGATCCTTGGGCAGACAGAGGCGTGTTACGGCCAGAGGGGAACGGGGATGGCGTCGAGTTGGCCGGTCGCATGGAGCCGAAGTAGTTGGCGCCCGAGGGGTTCATCGGCGGCGGCTTGTTGTTCGTCGTGTTGGTCGACGACGACCAGTTCAATCCCGAGAGATCATCCATCTTTAAAATTTGGTGATGGTCAAGGTGTAAACTTCATTTCATGAGCTTCGTGAGGTCGTGAGGGCATCGAAGGTGGCTCAATGCATCGTTTTCGGTTGCTTGTTGACTTTCGAATGCCACTTGTTCCTGCATCGGGCTTCGTTGATTGCGTGCGGTGTCGTGTGCACGTAAGGTGGCATGTGGGACAGGTGTGGCTGAAGCTGAGGTCGATGTGGCTGGTGACTGCCCTTTGGAGGACTGCGCCACATGAGGCGAAGTGAGGAGACACATCGGCGTTAAGAGTTTGGTGCTATTCAGAGTGCACGACCCAGCAGATTTCACGGGTGGCGCCGAAAGCGAAAATAGGGGTAAACAAATGTGCCGCGCTTGGGATGATCGCTGCTGTCACTTTGAGATTGTGGCATAAACCCAATTGCTACTCACTACGTAGTAGGTTACTGCCCACTCCGTCCGCCCATTTCGATGAGCTCCTTGGCCTGGGCCAAAGTCACAAGCTCCGGCTGCATGAAATGAACTCCACACAGCTTCGGAACCCAAGCCACATCGAACACTGCGCCGAATTCCAGTTGCTGGCGAATTCCAGCGAGCCATTGTTTGCACATTCCTGCGAGTTGCAGCTCGAACTCCCCGGAAGCTACATGCCTAGGCCGAAATTCAGCTGGCAAGTGATGGTGACCGTGTTTCCGGCATTCTTCGTCCCCGGTGCTGTCTTCTGTGATCCATATCTCCAGCTTCGAAATGACGTTATAGCAAGTCTACCACTGGCACCAGGTCTACGGCTTCATCAACTACCGCGATATTTGCTGAGAAACGAAGCCCCCGGATCGGATTAACCCCATTGACAAGTACGTCATTACTTCTGGGATGGATAGCGAGGGTCATGGTCAAGGGATAGGAGCGCATCTCAATCACTTCGAAACCCCCGGCTGACGGGTCTCCTACCGCGGCTGTTCGGCCGAACGAGTCCCGCCCAATATCTGGGTCTCGAGTAGGATTCGGGTCCCTGAGATTTGTGCCCCTGATTATTCGGATGGAAATCACTGTCTTACGTGTCGTCGATTTGCTGATGGCTCCATCCCATTGTATCTTGACTCCTGAGGGGCTGGGAGCACAGGAAGGGAGCATTCCTTCACTGGAACGAGCCATGAGAAACTTTGCGGGGTATGTCTTTTTCCAGGGTCACGGAAGGGCAGACGTGACTTGTCGGACGATCTAATGGTCGGTCCGAAAAGCGAATAGAGGCAAACGACAGGAACAAAGATACGGATAGTGTGGCATACGGAGTAAGGTCCGCACCGGAGGACCACAGTGCATGTCTCCAAGCTCATGCGTTTCCGAATTGCAAGTATCAATGAGTTGCTTGCCTATGGTTGTTCTCTGGTCAATCCGTGGATGCAACCACTGTTTCCTCGCTTGGGGAAACAATGAGAGTAAGCTTAAGAATTGACTCCTGGAGACAGGCATACAAATCTCTCGCGTTTGAAGGGCCGCGCAAACGTCGGAAGTTTCTGGGAGTGTGGTGCAACGCACCGCAAATCATTGGGACGACAGGCCTTGGCTGTTGGTGCCATACTCTAGAAGTTCGGATGATTGGCGCACCGCCTCAATCGGTCAAGGTGCTGAAACTCGCTGCATGTATCGCGGTCTGGGATCTTCCCTGAAAGTGATGATCAGGGGAAGAAGATCTCGAGAAGGCTGAGCTGAGCTGAGCTGAGCTGGTGGTGTATTCGTACGGTGTGCTAGCTAGTGCATCCGTACGGCGGTGGCGACGGTAAAAACGTCGTGGATCAGAGGAGCTTCTTCCAACATCATTGCCACATGCCAGTCTGCTTCCTTAGTTCGGACTACAGATACGTGGCTCTTCCACAATGTCGTCACCCAGAAATTCATAATACGAGGATGAAGAGCTGGAGATGCCGATGAGCGCTGATTACGGGCGACTTTATTTTGGTTCGGAGCTGAGTCGCGAGGAGCTGCTCGGTTTGCTAAGTGGGCCGTGTCCATGCCAATCTGAAGATCTGGCAAACGGATCCTTGCTTTGGGTTATGACGATAATCTCAAACTTGACTCGTAGCTGATCAGCGGGAATAGCATATAATTTGCGATGAAAGGCGCGCCGGGAGCCAAAGAGAAGGTCGCACATGGCGAGACATGCTGTCTGTATGAGCAAGTACGCCGCTCATCGGACGAGGAATAACAGTGCTGTTCGGGCACTTTTTCTTCTTGGTGGTTGGGATAATGGCCGCCTGGCGATCACCCGAAAACTGCCGGCCGTTGAAGCGGAAGAAGGAAGTAGAAGAGCGCCAGCGTCATCTTGACATGGCTGAAATGTTTGCTTCTGCTCGTGCGATTAACGCCAGGCTTGAACAGTCACCGAGGGGGTATAACGCGCTGTCGCACGAGGGTGCCAAGTGGCGGCCGTTGCCTCGAGTAAAATGAGACAGGCAGTTGTGTGTGTGTCTCTGGATTAGGGTCCGGCGCAAGGATGTCGTGCGAAGGAGGGGGGTTCAAATTTCGTGATGGAATTGTTTCCTTCTCGATGTCCGCTGCCAAGAAAGAAGGTGAAGGCTCAGCTAAGCGCCTGTCGTGCGAGGGCTCATTTTGACTGCTGTGTCTGCGTGTTAGTATTCGTACATTGGCACCTCATCACTGGGTAATGGCGCGACGCTCAGCCGCACGAGGAATGTTTGTGGGCGCTGAGCAGCAGCGGAGCGTTGGTCTTCCCGGGATCCATGTGAGAATGCATGTGTCGCCCTACGGATAATCTCCTTGGATCGCCAGAATATTCGCGGGGTTTGTTCTCTTGTTCCTGGCGCACAGAGAGCATGGTGGCCGGTCATCCCGATGACAGCTGAGCCAACTTCCAAGCGGGTACGAATATCCGTAAGGTAGCGAGGGTTTGCTCGGTACCACGGCCGAATGACAAGGAGAAGAATGGCAATCTCGTGGTTTCATCGTTGTTGGTATCTACCCGGCGCAAATTTGCCGCCAAAAATGGGCATGATTGTATCTTCGTGAATCGTGATTGCTCCTTTCGTCTGCGAATCTCTACGCAATCATGGGGTCAGAATCCAGAGCTTACTGCGTATGCGTAGAGGTTCAGAGGTCCGGCGCAGCTCTCCTGCCGTGGCTGCCGTGGATTGATCCCGATATCCATATTATTAATTAAAGAGGGCCAGCAGATTGTAGGGCGACGATGATCCGGGGTCGGGTGGCCGGAGGATGGGTGATAGGTTGAAGGAGGCAAAGACAGAGCGTCCGTTGCGGCGCCGGTGTGTTATCCCCTGGTTCAAATTGAGAAGTCGCTCTCTGTGGACGTGGATTGTGACTTCCTCGTCGGAGCCGGCGCCTGCTGGGAATTTTGGCTTCCAGAGGGACTTTACTGCATTAGGAGGGCAGCTTGCAGATGCCTGATGTTAGCGCAGATCCCAGCCGCCCGTTCGGCTCCATTTGACCTTCCGGTCTGGCGGCGGACACCAGTTCAATTGGTCAAAAATGTTAAGAGCTGTCAGGGGGAAAAGGGGCATGATTGGCTCTTGCATTGTTCCATGCAATTGGATCCCACCCGGGTGGAGTACGTACCTGAAGTGAGATCTCCTCCTGCCCCTCTTTCGACCCCGTTCCTGCCTTCCCCCGATGTACCGTTCAAAAGGGGGCAAGAGGGACGCACAACCAACGGCTCAAGTACCCAAGTTCCTTCCCATGTAAGGCAAAGTACCATACTTGGTACCATGGGGTTTATCCATAGGTACCTACTGCGCTGCTCCTTCCATTGTGCGCTGGTATGGAAGTTACGAGACCAGGGGAAGGAATGGAAAGAACGGAGTAACGGCAGTGATAGCCAGTCACAGTCGGCGTGTTCGTCCCTCCTTCTCAAGTAGGGCAGGTTTCGTTTTCCTCCTCCTTCCCTCCCCCCACACCGGGACAGGAGCATCCCGTCACACCGTGTCATTGGCCGCAGATCCTCGGACGAAAGAAAGAAGGGGCCTTTGGGATTCTTGCCCTGGGGAATCGAGGTGTCTCTTCTCTCGGCTTGACATTTTCTTCTTGTCCATCTGAAAGCCACCAGTTCATCATCTCCATTTTCTACTCCATACGACCACTCGACTCCGGATCCATCTGTGATCATCTGCAATGCGGATATTTGGTGGCTCCTTTTGGTCGTTACTCAAGTGGCCCCCAATTTGCCCATGCCCAGCACGGTGGCTGCGGTTGTGGATGCAACCGCCGGTACCTGCATATCGCGTTTGTCAATCTGGAGCCATTCGCGGCATTTCCATGATTATCTTAGTGACCTTACTCTGTACGGCACATGTACTGATAAAAAGTAGTGTAATTCTGCAGACTGCGCCGGTACGCCCCGAGCTATCGCATCACACCGTCCTTCACATCTCCCGCCAAACCGTTGGTGCTAAATGCTTGGTGCCATGCAGGATGCGCAACGATGCAGCCGTAAGCCGAACGTGGACTGGCCAAACAGCTTGCAATGTAGTGTCATCGCCGTGATTCTCCATTTCGGCCGGCTCGTAAGGCCAGCGATACAAACGTGAAGCAGCCACAAGTTTCCAACAGCAGTGTCTGGTCAGCTTCCGCCGCTGCGCCGCCAGCACCGGCTGCCCGACACATCAAAATGCATCGCAGTGGCGCATCGCACGGCGCAGCATGATCAGCATCCCCCATCCGCGCTTCGTCATCGCACCTCTCCGCTGGGTCTCTCGCAGTCACAACTCATCACGTCCCATGCCCAGCAACCCAATTCCATCTCGCAGACTCGCACTGGCATTGCCGGCCATCCTCGCATTCAGTCTAACCCGGTGCTGCAATGGTCCATCTGCAATGTCCGTACCGATATGGGTCGGTCCCCTCTTTTGTGATGGATCCAAGACCGCCGCTTCGCCTCTCTGTTCTGGTCATTGCTTCATGCTTCTTTTACGCTATAGTCTGTCGTTGTATAGACTATAGAGTAGAGTGCAAGAGATTTCGCCTTTTCGCCTCTCGCTTCTCGTATACTCTCGACTCCTGCGTCCGCCGTCGTCTGGAGTTCAGCAGAAAGGCGTCGTGGTTGGCTCCATGGAGTCAAGCATCAAGCATTGGATGATATGCAAAGGGGGCATGGCCGCGAGGGGCCAAGCGGCAAGCGGCAAGCCTTCAGGTACCTTTTCCTGTGGTAGCCAAACGTCGAGGGGTACAAGCCACCTCCCACACCACCGGTACATTCGCCATGTACCCAGCCTACCCCCGTCACACGGCCAGCAGGATCCTGGTCGCGTCGCGCTGGCCCGGCCCCTTGAAGCAGTGCCTTAATCTATTCCAACCCACATCCAGAGCGATCCCGACCACACTGTTCGCCCGACCACTGCCCTGGGGCATATCGCCGTTCCATGCTGGGAGGATTGAGGGAACTATGTACGGAGTACCTAGGCCGGCCGCCAGAGCCCTGGTTCAATCGTTCAGTGGTTGCGTCGCAGCGTCGTAGCGTCGCAGTGGCTGCACCTCGGAGACAGGAGGCGGCTGTCGTCCGCTGTCACTAACACAATCTCGAGCCAAGAAGGAGAGTTTCAAGAGACCCCTCAATCAGAGGCCAGAGAAGCAACGACGCTTACCCACCAGAAGCCCAGTCATGAGGTCCACGACTCCTTTGTACATAGCGGCAGTCAGTGCCCTCGTCTGGTCTGAGCATTGGAGCAATGAACAGATGAATGCTAAGGTAGGGACCACCAGACGAACACTTGTCACTGGCATTTGCAGGCGCAGCGTTGCTCAATCCCAGACCCCTGATAGTGAGGGCGAGCGAGAGATAGAGAAAGATGTATGTTCTCAATGAGAACGGGAAGAGAATGCGCCATTTCTTCTCGTGACCCCATGCTCCCCCATTTCCTTTGCCTTTGCTTGGCTATCCTCGTCGTAAGGTAGAACCAAGCCAAACGGGGCCAAGAGCGAGGAGAGAACAACTTGAGCAAGCGCTCCATCTCATCTCATCTCATCTGTAAGAAGTCACTGCCCGCTTTCCCCGTTTGTTCGCTCGTTCCCCCCGGTGGCCAAGAATGGGGATCAATGGAGATGAGGCATGGCATGGTGGTGCCTGCTTTCTAAAGTAACTTACGCAGTACGGATAGTGACTACTGCGTAGCGTCCAAATGAGAGTGCAAGAGGAATAGGAATAGGAAGAGCAAAGTGAAAGGGGAGTGGAAGAAGTTGCCGTAAACTGCACAGCAAAAAGGGCTCCAGCAAGTTAGCAACGTCGTTCGGCATCCCATCCCTCGACCCCTGTCTTGCGCCCCCCGTTCACCCTTCCCACCCCCCTTGAGAGTTCCCGCCTTGCATCCCACCACCAGAAATGCCATATCCTCTAGCCATGTCTCTCACTCCACCTGCCCACCCGTTTCCTTCTCTTTAGATGCCCTTTTTCTGCATCACCTTCATTCCAGTGTTCACCCTCTTGTCCCCTCGTTTCTCTCCCCCTCCTTTCGTCACCTACACGGGGTCTTTCGACTGTCACTCTCTCAAATCACGCTCACTCTCAACGCTCGCTCGCTCGCACTTGTGGCCTCGCCCTTCTTCTTAGGGTCGTCGCACTCAGCCATTCCTTTTTTTCTGTTTTTTAAACCTTGACAAAAAAAAATCCACAAGCTGCGGATTCCGCTCCTTTTCTTGGCTTTCCTGCTACTCGTAGTCAGGACTAACCAGCACATTCATTTCCCTTGGACCCCGTTTGGTGTGTGTGTGTTGATCGCATTCGTTTCTCGCCTCGAATCTTTGGGCAAACTCGTAGGAGGATCGACAAGACGAAAAGCCGAATTCGCCAACTTCTGGTATCATCGTAACGGTTTTCCAGCCTCCCGCTTCCTCGCAACAAGACCTTCCGACTAGCGTCTTTACGACATCGTCTTACACCGCGCATCGCTTCGCAAATACATCGCGTATCAAACTTTCGACGTCAACACGAGTAGATCAATCAGCTTGTCGTAGTAGAAACGTACTCTGTGACAGTATAAGAAAAGGAATCAGCAACTTCGTCGCCAAATTAGCCAACCTGACACACGGATATCTGTCTAAGCCGTAGAAACGCACTCACTCAACACATTCCGAACCTGGACTCTGCCGGTGGTGCTGGACATCGACGACGGAATATCGTAGGATCTCTGTGTTGTAGCAGCCTCGAGTCAGCATTGCTGAGGATCATCCCCGAATTCTCTTAGACATTGCCGAGCCCGGTCGAAAAAAACATCGCCAACTCTCTCACCGAGCCACCGCCGAAGCCTCCACCATTGAAATCCGTCACGTGTCTAGGAAACCAACTCCCAGCCACTGGAAAGCACAAAAGCTGACGGAAGAAAATCACCTGGAAGGATCAAACTTTTTGTCGTCATTCCGAACAGATTTGCAGGACCCTTTTGTCTCTGACATCTGACCCTGATTTCCTTGTTGAAGAGTCCAAAAGAAGAAGTCACAGGTGAGTCGGGTTACACCTGCTCCTTCCTTCCTTCTCTCCATCACCAACTTCACCGACGACCCAATCAGCGCCTCGCTTAACCCATCGCACCTTCCCTTCACTTTCTGTTGCTTCCTGCCCTACTCCTTCCTCAGTGAATAGCAGCCGGGTCTCCATTTCACCCACTCGTCGCATCTCTTCTCTGCCTGAGAAACTTTCTCACCCACAACACACAACACACCACACTACACCTCGACGGAAAACTCACAAATATCATTTGCGCAAAGCTGACCTTCTCAAAGATCTCTCATTCTCCAGCCTTCCTTCAAGAATCCAACTGGGCTTGGACTTTCTTCAGATCTTTTTCAAGACCAGCAAACGGACTTGTCTTTCAGTTGAATTTTCATACTTTGATACCCATTCAACCCTTGTATCGCCTTATCTCACCTCACCCTTCACATCTCATCACCACAACCTTCCCCTCGACAATATTCATCAATCGCCACGATGAAGTTGTCCAACACCCAGGCTCTGGCTCTTGTCAGCGCCCTCATCAACAGCGCTGAGGCCTTCTGGCGTATGGAGTGCCCTGGCCGCGTTGGCCTTGCTCGTGTCGACCCTCTCATGTCCTTTGGAGGCGCCGCTCCTCACGTTCACGCTATTCACGGTTCCGGCGGTAAGTTTGATGAATCCTTCTGATATTTCAAGCATGCGCTTGCCTTCTTATCACCACAGCATCACTATTTTTTTTTTCATGGGTCGCTAACTCCAGGATCAGGCATCTCTCCTACCGCCGACTTTGGCGACCTTACCGCCAGCGACTGCACTTCCTGCCGTGTCAAGCAGGACAAGTCGGCCTACTGGCACCCGGCCCTGTACTTCCAGGACTCTGCCACTGGCGAGTTCGAGCTTGTTGATCAAGTTGGAGGATTGCTTGCGTACGTCTCTCAGTGCTCTCGAAGCAGCACACAAAGTACTTGATACTGACTGCACCAGGTACTACCTTCTTAATGGAAAGGATATCAAGGCATTCCCCCCTGGCTTCCGCATGATTGCTGGCGACACCAACCGCCGCAACTACACTGCTGGAGACCCTTCCAAGCCCGACCCCCAGAAGTCCGAGTGGGCTATCCTCGGCCAGACTGACCAGTCTGTTCTTCGTCAGCGTGCCATTGGCTTCAACTGCCTCAACTATGGCCGTGACCCCGAGGGCACCCTCTACCGTCACTTCCTTCCCGACAAGACTTATCTCGATGCCAACTGCGCTAATGGCGTCCGGTTCGAGATGATGTTCCCTTCGTGCTGGAACGGAAAGGATGTCGACTCCACTGATCACAAGTCTCACATGGCCTACCCTGACCTTGTCATTGATGGTACCTGCCCTGATGGATTCGAGACCTCGACCCCCAACCTTCTGTACGAGGTCATCTGGAACACCTACGCCTTCAAGGACCGCTCTGGCCGCTTCGTCATTGCCAACGGTGATACTCAGGGATATGGATACCACGCCGACTTCATTTCCGGTTGGGATGAGGACTTCCTCCAGTCTGCCGTCGATACCTGCACCAACCTGTCCGGTCGCATCGAGGACTGCGCCGTCTTCAGTCTCCAGGACGAGGCCACTTCCAAGCAGTGCGAGATGAAGATTCCCGACCTCGTTGCCAAGGACAACGTCACCGGCCCCGATGCTCAGCTTCCTGGAAACTGCCCCATCACCTACGCTGACGGCTCGTCCGAGGGCGGCAACGCCGACCCTGTGAGCTCCACCTCCACCATTGCGGCTCCCACTGTACCCACTCTCACCTACAAGCCTGGCAAGACCGCTACCTCCAACCCTCTCCCTGGTGAAGTGTTCAAGGAGACTGGCAAGATTCCCTACGGCTCATCCAGCTCTGTCTCCGAGACGGTTGCTGCTGAGGCCGTGGCCACCCCTACTCCTGAGCCCACTCCCACTCCTGAGCTCACTCCCACCCCGGTCTTTGAGCCCATCACCACTTCTACTCCGGCCAGCTCCTCTGCTCCGGGTATGTCTTGCGTGTCTACTCAGACCATCACTGCGGTCAATACCGTTTCCATCATTTGCTGGGAGGAGGATATTGTCTACGTCACTGAGTACGAGGATATCACGTCTACCCTGACTGTGACTCCTACTCCGTCGGCCTCGGCTCCCGCCATGCGCGCCAAGCGTCACCTTCACCAGCACCGTCATCACCACGTTTAGGTGATGAAGACGTGTTTTCTCAATTTCTGGAGTTGATACTCCCTCTTGTATCTGGGTGCGAAAAAAAATCAGGGTTGCGGACGTCGTTTTTAAGGGACGCCACATCGGGATGTGGTGGTCTTTTTCTCTCTATCCAGTGGAAAACCTAGCCCATTGAGATGATTTGGCTTCCCATTGGTTCTCTCGCATCTTGCTCAAGAACATTCTCGTTGTCTGGACATTCTGAGCAGACGGACACTTTTTTTCTTCTTGGTGGTAGCTAGCAAGGTTCGGGCACGGTATGGCCTGCGTCATGAGTTTACGGCAATCATTAGGAGGCAAATCATCAAGTTGAGTTGGTCCTTAAAATGTTTCTTCTTTTCATGGTAGTCCGAGTGAGGCGGGCGTCGTAAGGAGGGGGTTGCATTTGCATCGCATTGATTGCGTCCATGTTGTAGGCGTTGTAGGTTGATGTTTGAGAGATACCTATTCGCATTAAGGTTATTCCAACGATTCCATCCACAAGTCACTTTCATCCACGGACCTCGATGCCATTACGTGATAAGCCACCGGTATCTAGCATTCATGACAGAAGCCCACATTGTATGATAGTTCGTCCTTGCATGCCATAAAGTACTGTACCCACCGTTGACCGAATTCCTTATGATGGAACGATAAACAAGTCGTAAAGCAAAACAAAGCAAAACCATGCGAACAATACAGTAATCTCTATCTGAGTGACCAGATATCGTGCTTGCAGACCGAGTCAACGACAAGTAGAAATTCAAGCAAAGTATTCCATCTTCCCCCCCCTTTGCCCGGCTCCTTCCATAAGAACTCAGAAATTTGCCATTTATACAGCTTTTTCCCAATAAATTTTGGAAAAGCTGCGCGTGGGCTTTCTCATCACCGCTCTTTCAGTAAGGAAAGGTACCTTAGGAGGAAGTACCTTATTCAACACGACCCGAGGTCTAATCGAGTCGTGTCTGCCTGCCTGCCATCATCCGTGTCGCCTTCCCAGGGAAGGAACCACCCTACTAAGGGAAGGCGCCGACCGGATATCACGGTTAGGAAGGAGAACGAAGACCTGGGCGCCCACTTGCTCAGGTTACAATTAAAGTGTCAGACTCCTTCCTGGCAGCTTGTGTTGTTTTAGTCTTGGGAATTTGAAGAAGTTGGCAAGGGACTTCGACATACCATCTCATTCGGGTGGACAGACGGTTTGAGTCTCGCATTCGGCGAGGAGGGTATCTTTTATATGCTCCTTGTTGGACTGCATGCATAGTGGTTACCAAACGAAACGCCCATGTCGGCATGAGCTTCCATTTTGCTACCGTTTGGGATCGGTGTGAGTCACATGACACCTTGCTGTGCTTGGGATTAGGATATGGATGCGAAATAATCTAATAGATAGCTATCAGGTGTCTTGTCTAACGGAAGTGAATTGGCAGAGTCTGAAAGGTCTCGTGACGATCGAGGTAGAGCCGGAAGCAAGTAAGGTTTCTGATATGCTTGGAGACATGTTTCCCATCAAAGGTACCTACTGGTGGCAGTACCGAAAAGGGAATAAACCTAGAAGGCACACAAATGTTGAGGTCCAAATTGGGCCTTTCCGAGTGAGGGTGTGGCGCGCTACTGAAGGAACACTACGCGAAAAGGAGACCTGGGCGTGATGTCGGTGGACACTAGGGGGGAAGGAGGAAGATCGAGAGGAAGAAAGGCACCTGGCTGTGGCTTTGTCTTCAGCTCCCAAGAGAATAGTTCTGCCACCGTACGAGACCTTGTAATGTGTATTTGGCCACAGAAATGTTCGATTTCCCGTCCCTTTCGTTTGCACCGCAAGGTGCATGCTTGAACCAAACGTGGCAGAAGAATGTCAAGGTTGCCATCAATAATGCGGTGCTCCTATGGGCCCAAAACAAGAACAAAACAAAGAGGTCCCCGCCCGGGCCCTTCAGACTGTGTTCCATGCTTTCATCTCCTCTAAGAGAAACTCTTAAGAGTTGTCACCATCGGGACAGCTGCGTGCTGTGTCGGATAAAGTAAATCTGCCTGCCTTACCTTAAGGGTGTACGAGACGTCAAGAACGGTGATGAGAAGCCCACGAGCAGCTCTCCTGAGTCATTCGGAAAGTTGGATAGAGGGCAGATTTCTGAGTTCTTTATAAATAATTCCCTTCAAGGGTATCCAAGCGGTGGATCAAGAGGAACAGAAAGAACTTCCTTCTTTGTACAGGCGGGAAAGACTTGATCTGCTGACGTGTGTAGGTATCTACAAGACACGGAACCCCCACGGCATTCCAAACCAACACTCAATGGGCGAGCTTGCCTCACAACAACTTGACAAACCCACGCCAGAGACCCTCGGATGAGAAGACGCCCTCCGGATCGACTTCGCGAGCGACGGCCTTGAGACGACGCACATTCTCCTCGCCGTACCCGGCAAAGACCTTGTCAGTCTGCGCTGCGGACGCGTAGTTGATGTACAGGTAAGGGTGCGCGATCTCAAACTCTTGGGCGTAAGCTTCCATGCGGGCGAGGACGTTTGCCGTCATGTTTTCCACGGCTGCGTCGTCTTGGGCGTTGGACCAGGCTGTTGAGACAAGGAAGACTAGGGAGGGAAAGTAGCATATTAGCGGGATGTCGAAATTTTGAAATAGGGAAGCTGGATGGACGATGAGGAGAGTGAAAGACAGATCAAACTAGTAGGGTAGAATGTATGGACCACGTACTGTACAGGGGCTCATCTTGGTCGATGCCGAGTGCGTTGCCGCCGCGCTGCTTCATCGCCTGGATGGCGGTCGTCGAGAGCGGGTAGCAGATGAGGTTCGGAGCCAGGCCCTCAACGCTGGAGATTGCTGAGACTTCTTCTCTGAAGATTGCAAAGGCCTGAGTGAGAAGGGCGCGGGAGGGGAGGCTGCTTATCGTGCCAAAGAGGTGGCTGAGATGGAAAGATCAATAGTCAGCACGTTTGCTGTAGACCTGGTGGGTGAATGAATCAGGGACCCAAAATAGGGTGAGGAAAGAAGCAGAAACAGCAAGACATACCGCGTGGTGCCTAAGACAGGCGGCTGCAACGTCCCAGTAAGATTCGCCATGGAGCCCGACCTCGCGGTCCTCGTCGTCGAGGGAACACTTCGGATAGCCCTAAAGACCTCCGGCTCCGCGACCGCCGGGTTCGCGTACCATTCGGACCCCATCAACGAGAAGGCGCCCGAGGCCTGGTTGTACATGTAATAGAAGTCGTAGGCCATGTCCATGTCGGCGGTGAGTTGGGGGTTTGTGAAGAGGTCGTAGATGGCATCGAGAGCGCTCTCGGTCTGGTTTGCCGAGGTGTAGGTTGCGCGCTGACTAGAGACGGCGTCCTGGGGAAAGACGCGGACGGTAAAGGCTGTGACGATGGTGAAGTTGTTGCTGCCGCCGCGGAGGGCGAAGAAGAGGTCCGGGTTGCGGGTTTCTGAGGCTGTTGTGATTGTGCCGTTTGCAAGGACGACCTTTGGGTGAGGTTCGTTAGTGATATTGTCTCTCTCTTTGTTTCTCTGGTGGACGAAGAGGAAGACAAAAGATCTCAGGGTGCTGTGTTTCAACTCACCTCGTACTCGTAGACATTATCCAAAGCCCAACCGTACCGACTCGAGAAAGGCGACGTTCCCCCGCCGAGCGTAAACCCGCCGATACCAACAGTCGCTGACCGGCCGCCCACGTAGGACAGCTTCCTCCCCTCGAGAGCTTGGTAGACCTGAATCACCGTCGCACCACCACCGATCCTAGCACGCGTGGGCGCTTCGGTGCCGTTATCGACGACTTCAACCGAGTTCAAACGGTCGAGGTCGACAGTGACGCCGGCGATGGAGTTGGAATCGCCCGCGTTACGTGAGTGGCCACCGCCCTTGACGGCGAAGTGGCACCAACTATCGACGAGGGTCTTGAGGATGAGGGAGACGTCGAGTGCGGTGATGGGTTCGACGCGGCATGCTGGGCGGACTTCTTGCTGCTTTGCGTCCCAGATTGCAAAGGTCGTGTCGTTTTCTGGGTAGTGGAAGCGGGAGGGAGGGAATGTGGCGGATAGCTGAGCACACTGGTTTGATGGAAAGAGAAGTCCTTAGCTTCATGTGCCTTTCACGGAAGGTAGAAGATAGGCCTGGGAAAGGAAAGGTTCGGAAAGCTTACGGCTTGCACGCATGACGCCGAGACTGGCTCAGCGAGCTGGCTTCTTCGTAGATGCCAGTCGATTGGAATCTCGGCTGCTGCAGCTGGTACGCCAATGGCGGCGGCGGAGCCGGCTAGGAGGCAAGAGGTGAGTAGTCCGGTAATGTGCATCTTCACGACATGAATACTTTGCGGATCGAGAGCGATGCACGATGACGGCTGTCCGTAGGTCTTATACTTCTGAGTTCTGGTTTCTCCTATCGAAGGGCCGCCATTGAGGTGCAGCGAAAAACTCGACTTGTCAATATCAGAACGTTTGCACCACACAGTAAGCCGGAGACGTCATACGAGACAGCGTAATGGGATTGCTGATGATTTTCGGCGGTATGGAGATTATGTCCCTTGCTGACAAGATCCTCGGAGATTGAAGTGGAATATCTACGCTTGGCCTCGTAGTGCCCGAGAAAGAAGAAAGTAAAGCGATGACTGAGCCTTGTTCATCCAACTTGGCAGGTGACATTGAGTCGGGAACATAACCCGCTATATGCAGATCAATTTCAAAGAAGGGAACTACCACCAATTTGCCTCCTGCTTTTCATTGAACATAACGTTACGGCGGAAGTATTCGAAAGTGGATCTCCTACTAGGAGGTTCCTAGGTTTACCTTGATTGGAATCTAGTTATTGGTTCAAGACTTGCCGAATAGTAGAGGCTGTATTGTTAGCCCTCGGTCCGATTGCTACCACTTCGTCACCCAAGGATCCATGCTAGACCTAGTCTATCAATAATCACATTGGCTTCCCATTGTGGGGTACATGTAGAGAGTTACTACCTGTCCTAAGGCAAGGGGACAGTCGGAATTGCCGTGAGAGTGCGTTACCTCGAGGCTATATCAATGCTGAGTGGGTGAGGTGGAATGCCCTGCGGAGGCAGATCCAATTAATGGCTGTAATTCCAGAAACTACGACTGAAACTCAGTGATGTGGCAAGAATAATACCAATGGAAAGCCAAAACAAACGCTCCGTGTGTCTGGTAGGATGGGAAGGACGTGTCGTTCACCAATGTCTCCTCGCTGTCTGAAACATGCTAGATGACGGATGCTCATTACTCGAAGAAACTGTATCAGCCATTTCGGTCATAAAGATAATCGCCTTACGACGGCCTCATTAGAGCTTTCATCTTCGTTCATTCTAGTGTCCTATGACAGACCCGAATAAGAGTGGAGGTATGCGGGAAAAGAGAAGAGCTGGCGCGTCCAACTACCGCTCACAGTATTTTAGGGGCAGGTCAATTCTCTCCGTAGTCTCGCGGAAGCAAATAAGAGCTCTACCGAGGGCAATGAACTCATCTAGATGATCCATCTCTGAGCTTAGCAACTCTTGGAATTAAGCTATGGTGGAGGACCCGGGAGATCGGCGAGTCGAAGGAAACCTAGCAGAGTGGTTGTCAGCAGTATCTAGAAAGTGTTAGGCAGAAGTATTGAGTGTATATGTAGCGCCATAACAGGTGACAATCTAAGCATGACTGGAGTTATCAATAAGTCCGGTTGTCGATGACATCCCCGCTTGCTGACATGAAGGTTGTGGCCCTTGGCGTTCCTCATGCTTGTCTTACCTCCGACTTCTTTCCCTATAATTTGAGTCCGCACGCTTGTAAGTAAGAGGATCAAAGCTATTCATTCTTGTTCAAACCGCAATCATCACTCCGGATCGCCTGGCGGTCGGTGAAAAGATGATTTTTTTCCCTCCTTAAAACCCCACCTCACCAATGCCAAATTTGCTTAGGATGGGTTTTAAAGATTTCTCTACCACAACGGCTCCGATTGGCATTTAATTTCCAAAAGTTTTACAGAAATAATCACCGGGGCATTGTCTGAGTCTCTAGACCAAGACGTTATTGGGCTGATTCCTTCCAATCTGTGAGGCAAGCAATAAACACCATCGCAGAGGGAGTTCACCGAAGCATTTGTCCCACAATCTATATTTATTCGGAAACAATTTGCAGGTGATTGCAACAAACAATCAAAATCACCAAGACCATCTGCAGATCTCGAGTGGGATGAAGGGTAGTTGAGAGTAGCGACACCAGGCGAGACAAAGGTCGCTTAACAACGTGCTTCTAGAAGCTGCATGCCACCTACGCCCAACAAACACAACCCACACAACCCCGCCATTGTGGACTGACCCGAAATTCCGTGTCTGGCTGGGATTCTCCAAATTTGGATGAACAGGCGGAATTGGACTCTTGTCGTTGGACGACTGTTCAAAGGATTTGAGCTTTCCCCTCATTCTTTTCATGCACGCGGCCCCATCTTTCCTCGGACGGCGATCCTCCGCGCATCTGGGGCCTCACCGTTGATGGCGTCGTATTTCTCCTGGATGCGACGGTGGCAGCCCACCAACAATTGAAGAGTATTTTGTTTCTTTTGAGGTTCCCTCTCACGGCCTGGTCCAACGAACCTAGATTCATGAGGGGACGTTGAGCTTTTCTATGTCACTACAAACCACGGGTTGGCCGGCAGGGTTCATTTCTAGATCAGCTTTGGATTGTCTTCCCCAGTAAACTTACGCGATGGGCCCAGGATTTTGGAATAACCGGCCCAAGATGCGCCGTGAGCGAAGAACGGCGATCGGCGCTGTAACATTATTCTTGGCCACCGCGTGGCCATCCGCCCATGCCCAGCAATGGGACTGGGATGAACTTGGGGTATGTTACATTCTTCCACTTTGCGTCCGGTGCGACTGAGGGGTTGTCGGATGGGGTGGTGGTGGGTATGATGAAGTTGGCAGATCATGTTGCATGCATTCAGATTGTTTGTCTCCCTATCTATATGAACCCTCGAAGCCACTTTCCGGGCTCCTTATTTTTCATCCCGCCGGCCCAGCTCTTCCCCAGCCCCGTCTTGCAAATCTTGGGAGAAGTGAAGCTCTGTAGCGAGGGTCGTGATAACTGAGAACCTTTGATACCAGACCTGCCATAAACCGGAACCCCTCGACATATTCGCAATGCGCTCGGCCATCCTCGCCGCCGTAGGCCTGTCGTCCACGGCCGCGGCCCTCGTCAGTCGCGACGGCAAGACTGGTCGTCTTCCCGCGCTGGGATGGAATTCGTGGAACGAGTACGGGTGCGACATCAACGAGACGGTATTCCTCACCGTCGCGCAGCACATTGTCGACCTGGGGCTGAAGGATCTGGGGTACGAGTACGTCAACATTGACGACTGCTGGAGCGACAAGGAGCTGCGGAGGGATAACGTCACCAAGGAGATTATTGTCGACAAGGTGAAGTTTCCGCAGGGAATCAAGCATACGGTGGATAAGATCCATGAATTGGGGTTGAAGGTTGGGATCTACAGTGATGCTGGTGAGTTGAACCTCTTCCGTCTTTGGTGTTGCTGAGTCCATCGTGCGAGAATGCTTGATGCTCTAGTGTTTGGTCTTGCGACAATGTTCTGACGCAATTATCACAGGAACTTCTACTTGCGGCGGTTTCGAGGGATCGCTAGGCTACGAAGAAATCGACGCCGCCACGTTTGCGAAATGGGGTATCGACTGTAAGTTCCATCACCGTTCGCCGTTCCACTCTCCCTGCGTCAACGTCATCCCTCGACTTAAACCCTCCAAACCCCTCCACCGTCCCTTAGACTCATCGCAAAACACATTATCGGATCAACGTTCTAACATGCATTCACTTTCTCTACAGACCTAAAGTACGACAACTGTAACGTCCCGAAAGAATGGTTCGACGACTGGAAATACGTCCCCGAACTCTGGCTCGGCGGACCCCCCAACGAAGACCAAGACAACGGCGACCCCGTCAACTCCAAGACGGGCCTCCCGGCCCCCGCAGGCTACGACTGGTCAACCTCCTTGACGGCAGAACGCTACCGCATCATGCGCGACGCCCTCCTAGCCCAGGAAAGGACGATCCAGTACTCCCTCTGCGCCTGGGGCCACGCCCACGTCGAGGCCTGGGGCAACGAGACGGGCCACAGCTGGCGCATGTGGGGCGACATTTACCCAGAGTGGTACGGCCAGCACCAGTGGTCCTGGGGCCTGATGCCGATTTTGAATCATGCTGCCTTCTGGAGCGGTCCCGACGTAAACGGGTTCTGGGGCCACGGAGACTGGGATATGCTCGAGGTCGGCAACGGGAACCTGACGCTGCAGGAGAGCAGAAGCCATTTCGCGTTTTGGGCCGCGCTGAAGAGTCCTTTGATCATCGGCACCAAGTTGGAGGGCATTCAGCCCGAGATTTTGCAGATATTGTCGACGAAGGAGCTGGTGAAATTTAATCAGGATCCGGAGTTCGGGGCCGCGGCGCAGCCGTATAAGTGGGGCGTGAACCCGGACGGAGCGTGGAATATTACGCACCCTGCCGAGTTCTGGTCCGGGGCTTCGGTAGAGGGTACGCACGTGTTTGTGCTCAACACGCTGAGTGGCACCGAGAAGAAGACGGTCGCGTTCAAGGATGTTCCTGGGCTAGAGGCTGGAAAGAAGTATGTTGTGCACGACATGTGGACTGGCAAGGATCTCGGCGTGTTTGAGGACGAGTACGTCGTGGAACTGGAGAGTCACGATACGGCTGCGTTGAGGATCAATGAGGTCAAGTGCGTCAAGAGGGCGGCACGGGGATAAGGGATCCGACCCGATGGGGCAGGGATGGGTTGGTCACTCGGGTTCGGGGCGTGTTTAAGAGTCTATTGGGGTCTTGGATGCAAGGGGCAGAATAGACGTCAATTGCGATGGTTCTGCAGAGAAGAAACCGCACAAAGTGCCATCATACGGGATCCTGAAGTGAGAAAAGCTGGATGATTTATGTTCAGCGCCGATGGTAAACATGAAAACATCCACCATAGAAAACTTTCTCACAGAATACCAGAAAACGCAACGGTGTTATGTACGACCTTGTTTACCTCTCCCGATAGCACGCAATCTCATCTCGCATTTGATTAAACCCGCCGCCCAGCTACCCGCCTCGCGCATACCAGCAGCCCACGAAGCTATTCCCAAAACTCACGCGTCGCCACCCCGCCGACCCGGCAAATTCATATTACCTCACGTTCCCGCAGCACCACCTCTGCTGATCGCTCGGCTTCTAGCCCTATTTCTGCGTGTGAGGTAGACTTTGGATGGGTTACTGGCCGAAGAAGAGGACGTGAGCACCCAAGGAGGATTTTGCCCTCCTCCCTTCCATTGGAATGCATTCCCCAGGACGACGGGATGACAACGCATTCCCGGTGGCTAGATTAGACTGAGACCTCAACCCACAACTCGATTACCCTTTCCAAACAAGAAAACCAAACATGGCTACAGTCATCATCACGGATGGCGGTTGGTTGGGTCTGGGCAGCGCCGCAGCGAGAAGACCCTTTGAGGCAGAGGCATGCTGCCAGCCATTTCCATTTTGTGAGGCGGAAATCCGTGTCATCCATCCTTTCTTCGTCCTCGTGATTCACCTCCAGGCCGTGTTGAATTTTCTCTCTTTCGCTCTGTACGACTCTTCTTACTATTCTGGATTTGGTTTTCATTCTTTCCTACACTTGTTTACACACTACCTACCATTTGCCAGAAGTGCTCACCAGACCGTTTTTTCCTTTCCATCTTTTCTCAACTCTTCCTAATCTAATCCCTAATACGAATACCTGGAGAGAGTTACACAGAAGACAAAAGAAGGGGGAAGCCGACTGTGAATACCCGAGAATACACTCACGCCATGAGAGACCCGGTTCCTGGCCAGTGATCTCATCACCTACAGTCCCTCAGTCAACGATTAGATCTCGTCTTAAGAACACCAAACCCACGCACCCATATCACGACATCTCAGTCTCTCCCCGGCGATGTCGAGCCTGCTACTCCGCATCCGCGAGGAGGTAGACGGGGGAGGGGGCGGAAGCGGCGGCGGTATGACCCTACCACTCGTCCTGGCCATCGCCATAGGAGGCGGCGTTCTCCTCTTCATATGCCTCGCCTTCTTCCTCATCGCCCTAGCAGGCCGCCGCCACCGAGCCCGCGCCCGAGCCCGATCAACGACGCCCAGAACAAGACTCGACCTCGACTCGGATGGCGGCTCCATCCGCACGCCCAGCCCGCGCCCGCGGCGCCTCACCAAGCCGAAGCCGGGCGAGCCGTACGCGGACATGGTCGAGGTCCAGGGGAAGAAGCAACCTCCCCACCGCTCGCTCTCGTCCATCATCAGCGTGCCCAGGAGCAAGAGCTGGAGCGTCTTCAGCAGCACGCCTTCGGAAGGTGCTGGCGGGCAGCAGCGTGGAGGACACCTGAGGAGGAACAATAGCTGGATCGACGAGGATGCGATTCACGGGCCCAGGGTGCAGAGTGATGGTCGGCGGCTGAGTATCCGCGACAGCTTCATCCTACGCACGCCGACGTTACCGGATCTATTTGGGCACAAGGGTGAGGGGGATGGACATTTCGACGACGACGACTTTGTGAATTACTCCATTGAACAGCCTCGGCCGGCCAGCATGCCGGCACAGCGCAGCCAGCCTTTGCGGATGCCGTTGCCGAGGACGGCATCGTACGAGTTGGCCGAGAAGCTGGCGGCTGCTGCGAGGGGCGGACCTCCCGTACTTCCAACCTCACAGGGACCGGTACCTCGGCCGGTGCCATTGCAGCGACTGCGGCACAAGACGACGGAGTCGGATCTGGCTGAGATTTTGCGTTCCACGGAAGAGAGATTGCAGCTCGGTACACCAACAAACAGCCGGCCAGCTACACGACAAAGGGCTGCATCGGCATCAGCTGGGTCCAGCGTCAAGACCCCGCGGGGGTCGCCGACAAAGTCGCAGTCTCCCATTAAGGCCCAATCACCGATCAAGATCCCGTCACCAGTCAAGAATCAGTCGCCCGTCCGGTCACGATCTCCGGCAAAGACTCAGGTATTGTCGCACGTTGGCCAGGCGTTGGACCTTGACGCCCAACGAGCTCGAACACCCAGCCCATCGAAGCGAATGGTTATCCCAATGCTTGTCCAGACTCCAAACCACCACAACAGGAACACTTCGCAATCTTCGGCCGTCTCAGATGCGGACAGTTTGTTTGGCGAAACGACCCCGGAAGTTGAACACATCTTGCCAACAGGACTGTCGAGCCCCAGTAGAAGATCCGAGCACGAGTCCCCGACCAAGCCCACCAACAACGGCGAATCGATAGAATCTCCTGGCAGCGATGCCTCATCGTCTCTGTCAACCTTGTATAGCGTTAACGAACCCGAAGATGACAGCAAGACCGGCGGTACTGGACACGTAGACAGCACCCCCCGCGGCAGGAAACCCAGGAGCCTTGTCATCGATACTCAAATATGTGACCCTTTCATCACACCAGGCCCGCCAGAAGTGCCTCCAAGGAGCCCTAGACGCCAGTCTTCCAGCTTACCGCCCCTCCGACGCATGACGCCGCCCGAAGAGGAAATCCTGAACCGAACACCTACGAAGGTGACACCTGTTGCCAACTCTCCTATACCGAGGCCGTTAGACGTCATCAAGCGTAGTAGCACGGCCGACCAGCTCCAGACACGGTACTCCATCATGATGCAACCATCCGACCTGGCAGCATCGCCCGAGACCATTCGCCCAAAGAGCGTCATGTCGATGAAGCCCGTCTTCCTCGTCTCAAGTAACAGCGTTGTGAGCATGAGAGCCAGCCCTGGCACGTCTCCTGAGGACAATGGCAGCCGGCCAGCGATGCCGAATAATAGGTTGACGTTCGGTCCAAAGGCACCCGTCTTCCCACCGCCATTGGCCTTGAAAGCTGGCTCAGGATCGCCAAATCGAGAGGCCTTGAGAATGGGTAGCCCAGGCGGGAAAATGTCGGCATCACGCGGCAGCCCTTCCCCTCCAGGTCGTGCTGGTCGCCAATCGACCGACTCCGCCGCATCTCCCGTTCCTAGCTCGCCAACTCGAAGACCTCTGCCGAGCCCCGATCTGTCAAGGGGAGGATCTCCGACACCAAAGCGATATAAGCGTGGAATGGCCAGTCCAATTCGTGACCGTGCATTGTCCAGACAGCCGACGCCCAGAGAATCCCGCGTTGAGCGCGTTCTCTCGAGTTCTGATTGCCCTTCGATCGTGCTGAAGCCATCCAGCTCACCCAAGCGGACCTCATACCATCGCGACTTCGCGGTAATGGGGCTTCAGTCAACCGTGGCTCAGCTTCGGCGTATGAATAGCCAAATGAGTACCTTCAGCGCCGGTTCATCTATTTCGGATCCGGACAGTCCGACACTACCAAACTTGAGAGGAGGCGGGTTCAGCCCCGACAGGAGCAACAGCCGCGTAAGCAAAATGGGTCGACAAAACTACTTGTCTTTAGGCACGAGTCCAGGCTCAGCGAAGCGGACCAAGTCCATCAAATCGGCTAGAAATTCAATCGCCGTACTCAAGAGCCGACCAGGTGGGAACAAGCATCTTGATTCGCTACGCGCTGCAGTTGAAGAGAAGGAAAATGAGAGAAGAAACGGTTCTCTGATTCGAGGACCCCGGCCGCTCAACCCGACACCTAGGAGCGCCGGACGAGGGTTGGCTAGAGACAGCGTGGTGACTGTGGAGAGTCCCACGAGGAGGAGAATTTCCAACGTCGATACTGAAGACCAGAAGCGTCTGGAACGGCCGATCAAGCATCAAGATAGCGGTACCAGCTTGGGTGCATACGGGAAAGAGGACTGCCTGTTAAGCTCCCCAGACAGCCTCACTGAGGGGGCCGAGAGACGGAGCCCAAACATGAGGGTTTGAGTTCCAGAGTCTGGGGAATTTTCTTTTGTCCCATAGTGATCCATCTTGATTGAGGAGTGTTGCGTTCAGCGACGGTTAGCGAGTACTTTCTTCAGGGTTGAATATTTCTAAGCTGAGCACGGCGTCATTGTAATACCTAGGCAGTAGGCCATTAGCAAAATTCAGATACAAGCATCACTCAAATCAACGAATTATACCACAAGAAAACCATATCCCCTCCAAGCTGAAACGTAATAGTTGATTGGGATTTTATGCGAAAAAGAATGGTATTCTTACGTCGGTTTCATGAGCCCGAGTCTTATCCATGGTATCAAGTCGTTCCTCGTCAATTCCCAAGCCTCATTCGTGGTATGCACTTATGACTCGTCGACGCGCGGGCGCTTATTGCCCGGGTCGTCATGGCCATTGACGCCATTGTTGGCCTCGTCGTGAGCGCGAACCCGACCTGCTCCCTCTCCAAGCTGGCCGCTTTCCTCCTCCTCCTCATCCACATCCTCATTGCCATTCTGACCGATCCAATTTCCGTCGGCGTCGAAGTGCTCGTGAACGTTCTCGGCCGTAATCCAGCCTCCGCTACCAGGGAAGGCGGGAGGCAGGCCTCCATCGGCGGCGCCGTACAAGACTCCTTCGTATCCCTCGACTGGCTCATGCTCGCCCTCGAAAATGATGCGGCCGTCCTCTTCCTCATCATCCTCGTCGACAGGGTCGGGGTGAAGATCTGAGCAGGCCGAGATAGCGTCGTAGAACTTCTGGATATCGGCCTGGGCGCCGTCAGTGACCGCAGGGACGAGAGTCAGATCGATCGTATCGAAGTCGTCGTCGCCGTCACCGCCGTCGGCAAGTTGCAGCTGCATCCAGATAGCCTGGAGAGGAGCACCTTCGGAGATGGATCCGACCGACTTCACGGCGTGAATCGAGATGGAGGGGTAGGGAATCTGAACGCCAGCCCCTTGGGTCGAAGAGAAGATGGTGAAGGTCCTATGACGAGGATTAGTACAGGGCAACGCGAGTTTCGGAGTGCAGCAAACATACTCTGAAGAGACAAACACGGAGACATGCTGCTCCACGAGCTCTTCCGTGGTCTCCTTCAAGGTCGTGCCATTGGACGCAGAGGCAGCAGTCGAGACATCAGCCGGGAAGATGGCCAAGCTGCCCTTTTGCGACGCTGGGATCCATGCCTTGGCATCCTCAAGATGGAAATGAAGGACAGGCTTTCCTCCGAAGAAGCTCGCAGGAGTAGCCGATTGATACTCCTCAATTGGAGTAAAGTCTCCAAGAGAGGGTGGAGAGCGAATGGTTGTGGGCAGCATGTTGATGATGTGTAAGAGATCCGTGAAAGGACTCTGCTTGGGTTGACCAGTGAGACCCTTCATGGTGGGGTGCTTGCCTTGGAGCTGGAGAAAGTGAAGCTCTTATCGCTATCACCACGTGATGATATTGATAAAGGAAGTGACATTCAGGAACTTTACCAGAAAGAAGGTGGGGGCTGAGGTAATCCAGATGGTTGGACAGTCAGGTGATCGGCCATTGGTCAGCAGGGTTAGGTCGATCCGCACACCCCACCTGAACGCTCGGTGGGGTTTGAGCTTTCCACCGACATTCTCCCAGAGTCCGATCGCACTCCGTTGCCTCGTACAGCTACGCATTCGCATCGCACCTCTTTCCATGGCGCAGAGCTGACGAATCCCCCCCAACCGGCGCAAACACAACAACCTGCAACCACGCTCTGGATCGGCACCTCTGAGCAACACAAAACTTCAACGAGGACTATTGCTACCCTGAACGAGCTTGTATGACCCTCGAAACGGCTCATATAGTCCTGTTCCACCCTCATTTGCACACTGACACCTACGTACTCAAGGCAAGACTCGCTACCCACCATGTATAGCAACCGTACGTACCATCCCGCTCCCTTTGTGTCTTTACGTAGCCCGAGTTACTCATCATCACGATAGGCTCCCATCCGCTCCTTGAGCAGGTCCCCTTGACCGTCTCTCCGTTCATTTCCCTCCCCACCGCTACAACACTCTCCTACAACTACAAGGCTATGCCCTCAGCCCTGCCCCCCTCAGCACTAGGCGTACCAGCCGCAGTCACCGACGATGCAGCAGCTGGAGACGCCGCCGCAAATAAACCCAAGTACGTGATCTCGCAGTCGGGACACGCAGCCCATCCGGATGATATCATCGCCTCGTGTCGCGCGCTACAAGCACACATTACAAAGATGCAGGAGGACGCCGAGCGCGACCTACGCGACCTCGAGACCAGGATAAAAGAGCGAGAGCTGGCTGAGAAGAGAAGAGTTGCGCCCGGCTGGCTGGACAGTGAAGCCCGGATACTCGAGCCGGAAAAGGTCGGCGGGCCATCCGAGGAGGAGGATGGGCATCAGACATCGGCTGTAGCGGGGACCAGTGAGATGCCGTTGAACGATCAAGGTGCGGAGCTAGACCGAGTGTTTGGCGGGTTGAGCATGAAGTGAAGCCTCTTCGGCTGATTGAGATCTTTTGTTTTATTCGCGGGCGTTGTGCATGAAGGCCGGGGCGGCCTCATCTCTTGATACCTTTCACACGGCTATCTTGCCGTTGCCGCGACGGATTTGGTTGGATTGGCAAACCATCTGCATGGGGGGAATCAGACAATGCTTTGGCTACTGATGCTGCGACACAGAGTCGCTTGCGCGAGCCTGATCAAAAGCCAAGCCAAGCCAAGCCAAGCCAAGCCAGCCAGCCTGGGTAGAGCGCGGCTGCCTGAATACTTGTACACACTGGGCAATCTACTACATCGACTAGAAGGAAAAGTATGCAAAGGGTCCAGCTGTATACATTCCAAGCAGCCTTCAGGAGATGGGAACATTGTGCAAGCAGCATGTCTTGGTACGCTGCACTCCTGAGGATACTCCTCAAGCTGGTTGGACTTGTAGGTAATGACCTTCTCTCAATTGACAAGAGCAAAACGCTCCGTCACAAGTTGTCAATCTTATCGTATTGAGTCGAGTACATACAGCCTCACACCCAACTCACTAGACCACATCATCAACCCATCCAACTATCGTAGTTGTTCCTAAGGCTTCGTGCCTCGATACCCCCAAGGCAGAATTAGGCGAGCACCTGGAAGGCCGGATACTAATAAGACTCTATAATCGGGCCAAGTGTATCCGTAGTATATTACGTGACAGCATGATATCGGAGTTTCTAGCCCAGCTTGGAAAGCCAAACCGAGGTACCTGAGGTCAAAGTTCACCCTATAGCCTTGCCCTATAGGAAATCTCTTAGCGCGGATTGGGGCTGAACTTTTCTAGGGGCCGTTTGAATATCACATTCAAATGAGCTCTAGATTTAAGGCTGGGCTATACCTACTTAGCTGGCGATTGGGGGGAATCTCTGGGTTTGGGGGGAGGGGAATAGTCCGTTTGATGGCACTTTTAGCACCGTACTTAACTAAGAACAGGTCTTTGTGAAGCCAACGTACCAACATGAATCAAATGTCCCAACCCGATGCCTGCCAAGATATCGAGCCGGCGCAACCGCTCTAGAGCCTACTAGAGTAGAAAATCTATGGCCGATATGACTTCAGGGTCAGGATGCATCCGGAGATTACTCCGCCCAGTTGTCCCAATGGCAAGGACGGACACGCTCGATGCTGCATCACGTCTAAGTAATCCTACTGTGATACTTTGGGCCATCAACTATCCAATGCACGTAGGTATCGAGTTCCGAAAGAAAGACATGATCAGCAGAACCATCTCGGCTACTTGTACGGTACCTGAGAGCGAGATTACGGCCTGGGAGTCGGGCTCTCAAGTCCCGTCTACCGATATCAATATCTAGAAGAACGCAACTATGGCCTGGAAGTCGGGCTCTCAAGTTCCGTCCACCGATATCAATTTCTAGAAGAACGGAATAGTCTGGTGAAAGGACAGAAGGTGGGCCGAGATTGCATTCTATTCCTGATTCGATTTCTCTTCATCTAAGTGGTCAGTCGCTTTCTGATTTGAGAGCCTAGAAGGACGCCATCCGAACATGAGGCGTACCTTCTTCACACCCCTCAACCCTACAGTCGACAAGTTGCATGAACTTCCATCGCGTTGCCGGACTTGCTTCACCATTTATACCTGCCCGGCAGCCATACTCTACCTTATGCACCAATTGAACTGAAATGAGAACCCTTGAAAGACAAGATGAACCTTACACGAGCTCGTCTAAGACTAAGTAGGTGGTCAGTAAAGGTTGGCGGATTAGCCCGTTGAGGTATACGTTCCAAGTTCAGGGTATCTGTCAACTTTCTTGATGGTGCGTAGCGAATAGTCTGAGAACCTCGGGATCTGCTCCCATAAACGGGCCCTAATTCCCGAAATCTTGCTGTTCCGCTTCGCGTGGGGGAGCCACGCTAAGACTTCGTCCCCTGCCGGAAGTGGCCCCCGCGCCGCCGCTTTGTTCGGCCGGGAATGAGGAACGACCCGAGTCGTGCATGACAAGTTCCGTTGTAAGTCCGGCCTGCCGATATTTGCGAAGGCCGGCACTTATAGTTCGCTCTTCGTCGTTTTGGCATCAAGCCGTGTGGTCTAGCTCGCGGGAAACGGACATTTTCGGTCAACTTGACGCTCGTTTTTTTTTCTGCTTTCCTTAGGGGATCAGCGTGGCATCACTTCAATTTCTGCCCAATAACGATCTTCGAACGATGCAATGTTCCTTTTCGGCAGTGCGGCACTTGGATTGCCATGGTGTCAAACGAGGCGCTGATGATATATAGATGAAGCTTTGGCCGAACCCTTCGAACAAGCTTAGATGTTTATTATCATCCGCTTGATCTTTTCTGAAATACCACTTTATGATTGCAATCGATATCAAATTCTCCCTTCAAGCAAGTAACAATGGGCTTCAAAGTCATCATTGTTGGCGGCAGCGTCTCGGGCCTCTCTTTGGCTAACATGCTGGAGAGGCTTGACATCGACTACACCCTCCTCGAAGCATACCCCAATATTGCGCCACAGGTTGGCGCGAGTATTGGTCTACTACCCAATGGATTTCGCATCCTTGACCAACTTGATTGTTTTGAACCAATCCTCGAGATGGTTGGAGAATACCACCTGAAAAATAGCCTCTGCGGCCCAGATGGCAAACCACTAGGCCCGCCTAGCATGGTGAATATCCAACATCTAGAAGCTAGGTAAGCCGAGGCCGGAAAAAGATGCCGAATGAAAACGTAGCACAATATTGATAATCGGTCTTTTAACTAGGCTTGGGTACCCATCCATCTTCATCGACAGACAGATGCTTCTTCAGGTTCTCTTCGACAACCTGAAGAACAAAGATAAAGTCATACCAGAAAAACGAGTCGAAAAAGTGGAACTTCTCAAGGAAGGGGTGCGTGTACACACCAAAGATGGCTCCGTTTTCGAAGGCGACATCGTGGTCGGGGCAGACGGCATTCACAGCACCGTCCGGGAGGAGATGTGGCGCATCGGCCATGAAGAACGACCAGGCTACTTTCCTGTTGACGAACACTCTCGTAAGTCGCCGATTGTTCAAGCCTGACCTGAAACCTGGCTGCAGGCCCCTCAAGGAGCATAGCTACAGTAGCTCGTATGCTCGTTGTATCTAGACTGCAGGCCTAACGACGTTGCATAGGAGTACCCGTCGCGACGAAATGCATCTTTGGCATTTCCAAACGCCCAAGCAACCTCCCCATCCACAATCAGCAGATGGTCTTCAACGAAGGCCGAAGTTACCTCATCATCAGCGCACCTGGCAATCGGACATACTGGTTTCTGTTCTCGGGCGTCGGAGACACCAAGTACGGAAAGGACATACCAAAGTACTCGAAGGAAGACACCGAGAAGCTGGCTCTGGAGCACTGGGAAGATCTAGTCTTTGAAAACGTCACATTTGGCGACGTCTACAAGAATAAGATCATGGCTACTTTGGTGCCTCTGGAGGAGTACGTCTTTGAGAAGTGGCACTACCGACGAATCGTATGCATCGGCGATGCTAGTCACAAGGTTGGTCCAGATCCCCCGCCTATGTCTGAGACCTTTACGCTGACATTGATTTCCTTGATAGATCGATCCCATCTCTGGCCAAGGAGGTAACGGTGCCTTGGAGGCTGCGGCGCTCCTCACAAATGCCCTGACCGACATGTTGGATAAGAACCCCAAGTCTCAGCCGACGGAAATTGTCGAGGCCGCCTTAGCCCAAGTTCACATCAACCGCCACGAGCGAGCAAAGACCTTGGTAGCGAATGCCCACACCCTTCAGCAGGTCTTAACAGGAAGATCGCCATACTCCAAGATAGTCACCAAGTATCTCGTCCCCGTATTGGGTGATGAAGGCTTCCTCGGCACAGCGGTCCCCATTTGCAAGGCAAGCCACAGGGTTTACAGGCTTCCCTTGCCCCGGCGACGTCGCCTTGTGCCTTTTGACGATGAACTTCCTGCCCGACCAATGACAACCCAAGCAGCATCGGGAATGGCTCTGGCCTTGGCATCCGGGTCTTTCGCGGCATTGCTCTACTACTCTGGCGGTTTCACCCACTTCTCTGAGTTGAAAGAAAGCGTCAGACTATGGATATCCGGAGCATGGGATCTTGGCCTCGCTCAAGCAACTTCAAATCTAACAAAGACATCCTCGCTTGGTATCCTTGTTGAACAAATACAGTTCAAGACAAGTCTCTTCTCAGCTCTAGTCATCTGGCTTGCAGAGAGTCATCGATTTGGCAACAGACTTTCGGTCCTCCTATGGTAGGTTTCCCACCGCCAATGTCCCGCCACACACCAATCTAACGTGAAGAACCGCAGGCCTTCGATTTCCGCTGCCGCTTTCACGACCTTCGGACCCAAAGCCGTTATGCCACTCCTAGGCCTCGGCATAGTCACTCGAGGCACCAACACTCTGCCTGGTAGACACGTACCAGTCAAATACGCCAAGGCGATTCTCCCGTCAGCCATCGTTGGCTACGCCATCCCCGCGATTCTCGCCAGCCTGCCAATTCAAGACGCACAGCTCCGACAAGCCATAGGACTCATTGCATCTGCCGCTCCAGTCATCAGCGCGGCTCTACTTAACGGCATTGCCTCGGTCATACAGAAGGTGAGGGATGTAACCTCATCCACGAAGGCCACCAAAGACGTAAAGGAAACAGGCAAGGACGAGTTTAATGAAATGTACGACAGAAAGGATGTAGTACCTCTCGAGATGGCATATACATTCGCGGCGGGGGCTTGCGCTACCGTCCATATGGCGAGCGCGGTATATCCGATCCTGGCCACAACTTCATCCAGCAACTTGGCAAATGGCCTCAACACGAGCACCGGCTTATTCGGACTCGCTTCTGTTGCTTTGTCCCTCTACTCGGCTTGGAACTTGCGATCAGAGGGATTTGTCACAACCAGGCAGGCATTACTGGGCTTTCTGGGGTCCATTGCCGGCGGCTTTGCCGTAGGCCCCGGTGCAGCGCTTGCAGGTTTCTACTACTGGCGTGAAAGTGTTTTGTATGACTTGAGCGACTGAGGTAGTCATTTGTATCGGGGAGTCCAGAGGAACCACGTTGGAAGGTGTAGGATATTTCATGAATTAGATTATTCCCCATACTTTAGCAAGATGAGTGGTAGAATTGCGTTGCAGCTCACATCTATCACTATCATCATACCATGGCTTACAAGCATCAGAAGTCAAAGTTGTTGCCGGCGCCAGCCAACAGGAACTCCAGAGCCGACGGAAGCTGCAGCATATCCATGGTATCCGCATCAGTAAGGCCCATATCGTCCCCTACGAAGCCAGTGCCATAAGGCTGACCGCCTTGAGACATATTCCCAACTACAGCTGCCGCGTACTGCTCCACAGGATCTCTAGCTAGACTATGCCCTGGTGCCGCATCTATATGCTGTGAGCCATAAGCTGCGCCAGAAACCAGAGGCCGCCCTGGAACACCATTTCCCGTGGATGCTGACGATCCGACAATGGTGTGATCGTTATATCTGAGGATGTCGGTCGGAAGAGAGATCCTGGTAGGATTCTGCTCTCCAAAATTACCCACTCGATTGCTCGCGTCATCAAATCGGGTGGATTGCTGGCCAAGATCGCGATTTCTTGGTCGTTTCGGCTCGAATAGATTCAGCAGGCTTTGCGCGTATAGCCATTGAGACTTCATTGCATGCAATGTCTGTATCATGGATTCAGTATGGCGCTTTGACTTGGCTGCGACGATTGGATTGCTAGAGTGCATTTGGCTTGCTGTGTGAACCAGAGCTGTGAAGAGCATGTGGAGGCTTGGAAGCCACAAGCTAGCCAGCATCTCTCTCTTCCGCAAAGACTCGAAGATGGAGGCAATGGTAGCCGCCGCGTCAGAGCAAATGGTCAGGTCGTTGCTTGCTTCTACTGATGAGGGTCCCGATACTGCCCGAGGAGGCGGCCGATGAAGTAGGATGAGAAAGTTGTTGTATGTGATGTGGAACATTGACTGCCAAATGTCTGGATCTCCTGAGGATAAATGGAGTCGTTCGGGCAGATTGGTGACTAGCTCAGCGAGCGCAATATCGGCTTTCCTTGTCGCCTCAGCCTTTTCTCCTTCTTTGCAACGTAGAGCAACTCGCTTTTTCATGACCTTTGCGAAAATGATGCATAGCTGTGTATGCTGAACTATGAAGGAAGCTTCGGCTTCCGGTGTATCTGCTAGATGACACTCTTCGATGAGTGGTACATCAGAATCGTCAAGGCTTCTATGGTAGAAGTAGAGAGTCAGTTTGGGGATATTCCGGATCGCGGGGGTGATTGGCCGAGCAATCCACTTACATGGCTTGAGGTCTACCATGAGCCATAGAAACCAGAACGTCATATTGATACAAAGTCCACCATAGCCTCCGCCATAGGCGCTTGTCCATGACGTTAAGACCTGACGGTGTAGCATCCCGATGCATGCCCATTCCGTATGCCGTTCGAGCAGCAATACCGATCCAATACCACGAATTCGAGATAACATCCTCGAGGTCATCACATTGCCAGGTCAGAAGGATAGCAGCTTGTAGGTACGTCTCGCGATGTTGCTCGAAACGGCAGTCGAACAAAGCTTTCGCTCTCTTAAAGAAGACCGCCTTTAACGCTTTGAGCTCCTCGCGCTCGTTAGACAAGACGTGCGCTCCGACGAGTAGGATAGCGTTTAGTAAAAGTAAAGATAAAGGCCGTTGCCTGGCAAAGTCTTCGTTGGTCTCTGTGTTATTGTACTTTTTCATGAAGAACTCTTCGTCAACAATGGGAATGCCGCGATTAATGTGCACAAAGTAAGCCTTAACAAGTTCATCAGCCAAAGCCTTGGTAGGTAGTTCCAAGGCTTCGGGCGGCACTGAAGACATCCTCGGTGCAAGAGGGTGACTCCCGAAATGTAAGACATTTTGATCGGGCCGTTGAGATCGCTGCCGAACGAGGTAGTTCAAGTTCGAGAACTCGGTCCCGATGAAGTAAAGTCTGCCACTTGGTAGAATATCTTGGTATCCTGTCTCTTCTCGGTCAAGAAAATCAGCCAAATTTCGCGTTGCGACCTCAGTAGCGTAATGGGTCTGAGCATTGAGCTCGTTTCCTGGAGCCGATGCTGGCCGCGAGTCGACGTTGACTGGTACCCACGGACTGGCGGCATTCGATGCTGTTGGCGTGGTTGTGGGTCTAGAGCTCGGTGCTGTTGTTGTCCTTGGCTGAATAGAGACATTGGGGCTCCGAGATACCCTTGTTGAGGACCTAGTCTTCTTCTTCTCAAAGATTCGACAGTCGGAAATGTTGTTTGCTTCGCATTTGGAGCATGGCGTGCCCTTTTCGAGAATGTCGCAACGCACTTTTCGTTGATGACACGTCACGCAGGCCCTGCCGTCTAATGATCAGAGACACGATTGTCGGTCAGACTGCTTCTTGAGAATGGGTAGAGCCAGTGAAGGGGAGAGTTGAAGGACCGGGGGTGCCATACTGGTTCTCGCTCTCTTCGACGCCTGGCCAGACGCCGATCCTGTCGGAGAAGATGCGCCTCTACGCCCTGTGGCCGACATGACTCTGTATTGGCGGTAAGCCGCCTTCTGGAAACTTATTTTCCGAGCGGAATCTAGATTCGATCACAGCATCTCTGGTGTGATGGCGCGCCTTTGACTGCGCTGACGCAAAGCTTTACGGATGTGGAGGTAATGTGGACTGGACTGGATATAAGTCGGAAGTTGTGGTGGATTATTCAAATACCGAGAGACGTGGCCTCGGGAGTTATGTCAGCAGAATTTGCAATCTCGGAAATACGAACCAATCAAATCTCTTTTCATTTTTCACATGCCTTCAATCTCTGTTAGTGCGGAAACTTGGGCAGCTTCTTGTCGGACACTTTAACCAATTACAACTATGGGGAATGACTTGTTCTACTTCCGAACGGCTTGCGAAACATTGAATGCAGTAGGAAAATGGAACCAAATACGTAAAACAATCTAGCAGGGTCTTCCAGAAGTTTTTTCTTTCATATGTTCGGGTAGCAATGGGCAAATATGGAGTTGCTTGGACATATAAGAGGAGCTGGGCAGTTCAGTGACAGTCTGAGTGCCCAGGACTGCACAGACAAGATCACAACCACTTGGACGAACCTCATTGAGCAGACTTCAGACGCAAAGTACCCTCGAGGACTATAATGGATGCACGTCCGTTCGAATACACAAACGAAGAAGATGGAGACCCGAAACAAGAATCTACGATGGCACGGGATGTTGAACTGAGCGGCGACACTTCCGACGGCTCATCTTTGAAGGAAACAACGGAGGATTTACTGGACGCTACGACGTTGTCGCCTGTAAGTGGTTCTTGCGTCGGGAAGTCTGGTTGAACGATGTTCTAACTTTCTGCTATAGATGCGCAAATTGCACATTGTTGTAGCCGGCTTTACCTGCACCTTTAATGGCAATCTCGGGTCATCCATGCCTTCAGGCGCACTTGACGCCATCAGCGAGCAGTTCGGAGTTACCGATCGCGTTCATCTGATTCTTCTCAACTCATTATTCATGTGCGGCTACGTGCTTGGGCCTCTACTATTTGGGCCCTTGAGCGAGTACATCGGCAGACGACCGGTGCTGATCGGGACATACTGCGGATACATCATCTTCATGCTGGCCTGTTCTGGAGCACCAACTTACCCGGTGCTGTTGGTTTTCCGTCTTCTTTGTGGCATCAATGCGGCAGCGCCAACTACGGTCATCGGTGGGCTCTACGCCGATATCCTTGATAATCCCGCGGTTCGAGGAAACGCCATGGCACTTTACATGACAGTCACGACTGTCGGCCCACTGATCGGGCCCATTGTTTCGGGCTTCTCGTCTCCGATGTCCTGGCGATGGCCCTTCTGGATCGCCGGTATCCTCGGAGTATGTGGATTGCCTCTCGTTCTTTCTCTGCCGGAGACATACGCGCCTGTTCTCCACAACAACGCGGTCAAGAGGCAGCTGAAGAGAAACAAGGGTGCGGTTGATGGCAAACAGCAACAGCAACTGCAGTTGCAGCCTTTTAACGTGCGAAAGATCTTCCTCCGGCCCATGAAGCTCTTGTTCACCGAGCCAATCCTTATGGCGACATCTGCGTATCTGACGATGGCATACTCTGTGTTTTACCTGTTGTTTCAGGCCTACCCAGTCATCTTTAAAGACTTTTACGGCATGTCTCCCGGGATGGCCGGACTCGCGTTCCTACCTGGTAAGACGACGCCCATAATGCTGCAATAGACGATGAAATGAGCTAACATATCTGCGAAGTCGTTCTTGGGGTGTTCTTTGCCCTTGCCATCTTCTCCGCATGGACGCATTATCACGACAAGCAATTCAAAGCCGGGGTCGAGTGGGCCTTAAAGCCTATTAATCGCAGATTACCTCTTGCATGTATTGCCGCTCCTCAGTGTGTTCACCCTCCACAATCTCATACCTTACACATTTGATAAGAAGCCACAACTAACAATCGTTTCTGTAGAATGGTTATAGCTCTGTTCTGGCTTGGCTGGACCGTGTGGCCATCTACATCCCCTGTCTTGCCCATGTTCAGCGGTGTACTGTTTGGCTGCGGATTCAACCTGCTCTTCATGGGCATGATCAACTACCTCACAGACGTTTTCCGGCAATATTCTGCTTCAGCACATGCAGCCGCCAGCATGACACGCTCAATCGGAGCCATCACCCTGCCTCTAGCGGCAGGCAAGATGTATGGCAACCTTGGAGTTCATTGGGCTCCATCAGTTCTGGGCTTCATTGCCTTAGCCATGGGAGTAATCCCATTCATTTTTATCAGATTCGGCGATAGCCTCGCTCGGAGCAGCAAGACAGCACGAGAGGCGTTTGCTATTGGAAACTGAGATGAATAATTAACGAGCACATGATCATAGAATAGTAATGATTAGACATAGACGATAGACATATTAATACTTATTGCAAAGCCTGAAACCCCCATTCGAGAATTTCCCTCACTAGGCTTACCTCGGAGAGTACCCACTACCCAGTTCCGTGGTTCCATTTTGAGAGATGCGCTCCCCAACAGCATGATGGGTTGTTCCATCTATTGTACTGTGGATAGGCCAATTGAATTTTCTCCGAAGCCGCTATTCTTCGAAGAAAGACCATGGACTAAGCCAAACATTCCATTTACGCAGATCTTTTAGCTTGTGCTACGTTGATGAAGCTGCGGCTCAATAATCCAATACATGTCGTGGCTGTATCCACAATCACTATTGAAACGGGTTTCAAAGCATAAACGGCCATACGAAACCCAGTCTACACCAGGAGCAATCTTGAAGGCATCATCATGGCAAAGTCTCAAACATTGTTCGGAGTACCCAACACTAGACTCCGCAGTAACACAGATCTTCTCTCTCATAGGGTATCCGTCACCTTTAAGAGCGAACAACAGGAGTGACTCCGCAATTTCAAATAGCAAGTGAGTCTAAGGAATCAGGAAAATGAAATTGGATGAACTACTTAACCGAAATCTTTCCATTCTGTTTATCGACGCTGCCGTGCGCCGCATCGGAAGTGGGTGCCGTAACGGTCTGCAGACCCACTGAAACCCGGACTTCGGATTTCTTGGCATTGCCGAGGTGCGAGCTCAACACGGAGGACAGTACGGAAATGGCAAGTAATTCGCCAGATGAGCCACTTAGACCATAGGCCTAAGACAATTTGATGGCTTAACCGTGACTTACATACAGCGTCTTCGTAGCAATTCGCTCTAAAAACTGAAAACCATCAAGGGTTTGGCGTAGGAGAGTGAGAGTTCACGTTAGGCTACTCTTGCCTGGGAGACGAGGGGATATTTACTGTGCAGCTGGAACGAAGATGTTCGGCCAATCAGATGAGCTTATACATGCAAGTCGGCCGAGAAAGAGCTTCCAGTAGGCTCCCGGCCGGATAGATACCCAGAAGAGGCATGCCCATGAAATGCGGGTGTTCAAATAAGAATGTGGCTTGAAGACGAAACCAGGATATACGGAATGATGATTCATAGATATCAGCCCTGCTCTAGTGAGCCAGAATTAGCTACATACGTATAGTCTGTCTCTACGCTGACAGGTATCCGTCGCCAATGCGGGTATGGGACGAGAGTACTTGCATCAAATATTATCGCGAAAGACTAGGGGCATGTTCTGCAAATCCCCATTCTCCACCCGCTAGTGTCGGAAAGAGATGTGCTGCCACGAGGTTCCAGCTTGGCAGACCGTTCCGAACCGTTATTTTCGATCTGCGTGTCAACATGCTCCCTAGGCAGATCGTTCAGGTAGCGATGTGGCTGCTATGTAGCAAGCCCCTTGTCCCCAGACAATACCCCTGTGACCACTTCGTCGATGTTAAAGCTCAGCCTTTCCGTCCAACACCAAAGTTTCTCGTGGAAGCCATCAGTACGCAATATTCCTCTCCTAAACTAAGCCTCCAATCCAAAGTCGCTCTTAGGCGAGGGCCACCCAAACGGAACAATGAGCGAAGCAGGAGGTGAAACAAGAATACTCAACCGCTCAAGCTTCTAGATTTATTACTAACACCACCGATAAAGCTACGTACGGATATGTCGACCCAAACTTCGTCAACCCTGGCGGGAAATGGGACACGCCAGTCATTATCTACGGCTACACTCCATCTTTCGTCCTTACAGTTCTCGCCGACGTCCTCTTCTTCATCCTCCTCATCGTCCACACGTGGCAGATCATCCGCTACCGCAGCTGGTACTTCGTCACCTTCCCGATCGGCCTCCTATTCGAAATCGTCGGCTACGTAGCCCGCTCTCTCTCCGCCAAAGCCAACCCCTATAACCTCATCTACTTCATTCTCAACTACTTCTTCATCGTCACGGCACCGGTCTTCCTTGCAGCCGGCATCTACACGATTCTGTCCGCACTCATCAACCGTCTTGGGCGACAGTTCTCGCCTTTACCGCCCAAAGTGGTCTTGTGGTTCTTCATCACCTCGGACGCCATCGCAACCATCACGCAGATCTCGGGCGCCGCTTTGATCGGAGTCAAGCAGTCGCGTCGCGAGGACCCTACGACGGCCAATAACATTTTGCTTGGAGGACTTGCCTACCAGGTCTTCTCAATCGGGTGTTTCGTCATCACTACGTCCATATTCCTCTTCAGAGCTCGAACGGCGATCAAAGAACATAGGCTTACCACTTTCGTGGCTGTATTTTCGGCGGCGACGTTGCTGGTTTACCTGCGTACCTGCTTCCGTCTTGCCGAAACTGCGGAAGGTCTTGGGGGTTATCTTTACTCGAATGAGGTTTTCTTTGGCGTGCTTGAGTTTGCGCCCGTGGTGTTGGCGGTGATATTGCTTTCAATCTGGCACCCGGGGAGATGTGTAGCAAAGAAGGTCTCCGGTGGCATTGATGAGGCAGAAAAGGCTAGAGTATGTAGTCGTGAGTCTATTCAAAAATAGGTTCTTTGACAGAGTCGAAAAGAAAGAGCGGGAATCACTGCTTCCTGCCCAAAAAATGAGGATAGCTGTCATTGATAAAGCTATTCATGCTCTCAATACTAAGTCCTCATCATCTACTCACACACCAACACGGTGGATATCTTGCTGCATCGGTCGTTTGCGCGTCTATAGCTGCCCATAGCCTCTTCTCAAGCTCGGTTCCCTCCTCCACCGCCGCCTGCCCAAAGATTCCCAAACCAGGCATGGGCTTCGGCTTCGATCCTAGAAACTTTCGACGCGCATCGACAACCCAGTCGATGAGCCTTCGCAAATCGTAGCTTTGGCGAAGCCGTCTCTCCATAGTTCTCCGCGCGCGGGAGAAAGATCTGGATGCGGGTGACTTGTCCGTAGTCGACTCCATTTCTCTGGCCAAGATAATGAATCCCATGGGAACGTCATCCATATCGTTAGACTGCGGATGGCGTGCGACAATCTTTTCCATTGTCTGAAAAGCAAGCAAGAGGAATTCTTCAAGCCAGACCTTGATTGTGTCACGTCCACCTTGCTCCATGATCTCGGCAAGGCCAAATAAGACGCGCCGATGCTTCCCAAAAGTGACACTGTCCAGCTCGTCGTCGAATGAAAAGCCAGGAAGACTCTGCAAAGCGGCTCGCAACGGGTGCTGAACCTTGTACGCTGTAGGCGATTCTCCAAAAAAGGAGCCTTCAGAGGTGTCGTCGCCGACGAGAAGTCGATCCAATTCGGAGGAAAGTCTTGAGTCCGCGGTCTTACTTTTCCACCGCCTTGACTTCTGCTTCTCCACCTTCGCGGATGTCTTGACATGTCTGTAGTGTTGCGCTGGGCTCGGCTTCCGGCTGGGCAGTCCGCGCGCACCTCGCTTGGTGTCTCGCGTGATCTTTTGGTGCGTTGTTGGGTCTTGAATCAAGTTGGATGTCGAAGCATCTCCTATCACACTGACTGGGGCCATGTACGCTGACTCTGGTGCAGATAGTCCTACCCTAGGATGAGAGGCAACAGGAGGCACACCAAAATGAACCGGATTTTGGGTATTGCCCATTTCCACTTCGAAGTCTCTCGGACCGCCGGCCGAGACTTCCATTTTGGATGAAGCCTTAGTGTGGGAACTGATGGGTGTCAGACAGTATGGTTTGGTGAGGGTTAATGGTCGGTAGGCTTGACTCATGGGCGAGTTTTCGTTTGTCGCATGAAAATTTTCCGCAGCCGCTGAAGTGTTACTGCAAAAACGTGACGAGTTCGCCGCAAAAAGCAGCTGATTGTGGAAGTGAGGGCCTGAGAAGGTGGGGGTTTGTCAGAGTACTTGAACGTGTATGGCGATAGTGCTAGAAAAAAGGAACGACGTTGAAAATGGGCGGGAAAGATGGCATATCGGGGAAAGTCAGAATTAAGCTCGCGGGTAGGGCTGCGGAATTTTGTGGGTCTTCGGGCTGCAAGACTCCACGGAAGAAGTGCAAGTCAGAGAGCCGGACCTTAAGGAAGTGTCGGAGGAATGAAAGGGAAGTTACAAGGATTGAGCAAAGGCATTCAAACAATGGAACACTAGGTTGATGTTTGTGCTCTCTTATTTCATTGCTCCTAATTTCTACCTATTTGACCATAGAATTTACCTGACATGAGTCAATGACGGCGGTGCTGAAAGAACAGCATACACATATCGTGCCTAACCCAGTTCAAAAGAAAATGAAAGTTTATTCAAAGAAGAAGCTAGAACTGTTGCTTGTTGAGAAATGTTTGTTGTGTCTGAGGGACAACAATCAAATTGGCGTCACTATCCAGGTAATACCAGCGATCAGCCTTTTCTGGTCTTGGGGCAGCAGGATCGATTCTGCTCTCTGCTGGGATGTTGAACTTCGCGGTTGTTGTTGCTTTGTTAACAAAGCTATTTTGAACATCTGGTCGAGAAGTCTGGTTATAGTTGATTTCGTTAGAGTCGACCTCGCCTCTTATCAAATCCGCCCAAGTCTTGTGGCTTTCCTCGACGACACTTTGCATATAGGTGACATTCTGGTACCAATCCCCGATAATGTTGATGACTGGATCCCCCCGAGCTACTTTATAGTGCTGCGAAGTATTAGTTAGCCTGGCCTTTCACGGAATATGATAGGGAGAATCACAGTCCACCAGTTTCGGAATATTTTGATAGTCCCAGGGCGATACTTTTCAACATCTTCGAACGCTTTGAACAAGTCAGCTGATGTAACATCATCTTCAGAATTAGCTGGTGACCTCACAGTTGATAATGGACGCCATGGGATCTTTGATGTCGATGCCGAGGATTTTCCAATCCGTTTCGTTGCCCTTTGACAAATCCCCATTAGCACATCTCAGATGATAGACCGACGATCCAATATGTCGTAGACTTACATCAGCCAAGGCAAGACCACCGAGAATCTTGACTTGTTTCACCTGACCAACGTAGCCGCGGCTGGATAAAGAGTTAGTCACTCAATGTTTGATAGACGCAAGGCCTGATGAAGCCGCAGTCTGCCTATGACTTACTCTTGACCGATATCGAAGAGGTCTACAGGGTCGTTGTCACCTAAAAGATGAGTGAAAGAATGGTTGTAATTTGGACTTTCCCATGTTTGCGGGATAGACCCGTAGATGAACGGGTAGGATTTGTGTGGCCACACATTCTCCACGTATCTAGGAGCACCATTCAGAGAGTCATGAACGATAGGATCTGGAGAACAGGACCATTAGAACGGCGTAGTGTTTTCAATCGAAGAATGACTCACTTAATGGCTCGCTCCTCTTGAGTTCAATTTTACCATCTTGCCATCTGGGTACTTCAACGACAAGATTGACCACTTGCTTGTTGCTCTCATCCGGCCAAACTGGCACATCATGCCAGAAGGAGATGGGATCACCGTCCTTTTCGAGCCATATCCTCCACTCCTAAAGTCGAGTGTTTAGCATGAAGGACAAGCCGAATTCGGTTAATGGGGCTGATCACCTCTGTGTTGCGGGCACCAACTTCCCTCAAACTAAGGGCGCTGTAGTTGAATCTGTGGGAGCTAGTCCAAGCAGCACTGCTCGAGACCGAAAGCGCCGCAAGGACGAAGAAACATCTGCTCGACATGATGGCTCCCTTTGAATCAAGTCTCTATCGTGAGGTGAGGTCATAAATCGTGTGCTCTTGAGATAAGGTAGCGCCAAAGAAACACGCCACGCACTTGGTGTATTTTGTATGTCTACTGTGGCAAACCCACACCGCTTCCGTCTATCATGGTAAGCCGGCCCCTACAGGGAAAGGGGGCTGAAAAACACGTCTATATTTCTGTAGCGGGGACTGCCAGCAGGGAGGAAGGCTGGGCATAGGGACAGGCGGGAGAAGCTCTGACGCGAGGATTGGATGGGCTTGACGGGAAAAGATTAGATTGGAGATTTTGCATTGCAATCCAGGGATCCGCGCTGTCACTGTTGATGAGTTGGTGCGGGGATGGTTTGTTAGAGCCAAGGATACAGGGTTCATGAGACAGGCCAATGACGTAGAAAATGCAACGCACGTGGGAACGCTGTTGTTGTTCGAGCAGCAGAAAGGGGGATTTTCGTCATCGCTAATGAAAAATCCCATATGCTTAATTTGGCAGCTTTGTCACTGCAATGCATGGAGAGTCCTGCGGAAAATCGCCTATTCTTGCCCTCACTTGTGCTGTGCCGGCATTGATTGCCACACTGACGAGGATAAGAAGGTTACGGATGTACCGGTGGGTCTGCAGTAAGACTGTCTTGATCCCAGTGTCATCGGCCCCTAATCGGCCATGATGAGTCCCTTAGTATATGTCTCTGATAGAGTTGTCGTTATCTCCGTTCACCTAACCGTCAAATTGTAACTGACGAAGATTCCTCCAAGAAGCTCTGCTGTGTGCACGTAACTCAAAGCCTGAGGCTAGCAGTTGACCACGTCTCCCGCAGATGACAACGCGATGGACAGAAGAAACCGTCAATGTCACTGAAAAAAGTCGTGACTAATTGAATCACCAAGCAATCTTAGAGTCGAACACCCCAGTAGTGCCATTGATAATTTTCTAGCCTATCGCTCGAGGTATGTGGCCATCAGGAGGCTACCGGGTATTAGAGAGCTGGACCTTCTTTTGAACATCTGACAGCAGGCTATCACTTTATGGGACAGATCCTGGAAAGCACAGCAGGTCGTCTCAGTGCCTTCCGCATGGGTTTGTCACGCAGAGACCGAGATTGAACGCGTTGATAAGGAATTCAGAGAAGGCTCCAACATCGGTATCTGCCAAGAAGTCGAATGTGGTATGATGGAGACTATGTTGTTGATTATTTTCAGTTCTTCGATCGGATGGACTTTCCATTCCAAGCCACCACACGGAACTCAACCACATCTGCGATTATGGCGTTGCTTAGCGTGGTACCACGACCCTGAGAGTGGGTACAACGGACTGAGCTTTGTCCTGTCCATAAGGCATAGAAGGCGTTGTTCTGGTGCTGGTCAAGACTAGACGATCACAACTTTCGTCAGCACGTAAGACTGGAAGGAATAATCCATTTTGTGGATTGTTATTCTACTTCAGTTGCAAGAGCGCAGAGTAGGCTTTGGCTACACGCCGCGAATGTCATCAAATGGTGACGTCAAGGAAGCCATGACGTGTTTGGTTTAGCGCACTATTGTCTCGCAAGGCATCACACCGGTATTTGCACATTGTCCACAACATCCTCATCTCCACAATGCTTCGCCAAGCCGTTTCAACACAGAACATATCGGTTTGATTACTTAGGCGAAGTGATTTATCATTACGAAGGCTCTACCGTCTTGTTGTCTGCTCCCGTAATCTGCTTTCCCGTCGACGGTCGCCACATAGTCTTGAACGTCTTGGCAACATCACTTTGCCTACAACATGGAAACACACGATAAGCAAAAAGCTGAAGGAACATTCTTATTCAACGAACGGAACGATCGATCTTTACTCATGCTATTGCTACAAGTCGCTATCAAACCCCTCAGGCCTAAGCTAGCATCCCCATCCAAGCTGCCGCCCAACGCGGAGCGCCTGACACCACCCAAGAACCCACGGAAATGCCATATAGAAGAGAGGCAATCGGAGGGACTATGGCTGTATGATATCACTCAACAATCGAATAGCAGAAGTGACAGAGAACTGAGCCCGCGGCGTCAACGACGAATTTTGTACTTTGCCGGGGGAGGGTGGCAGATGCCACCGAGCAAGAATCATTGGACTCTCTGCATGGAACTTGTCCGACGGCTCGACAACACAACAGTCACGATCATCTCTGCACCTCTCGCACCGAAACACCCTGTCTCAGTTGCATTCCCTCGCATTCAAAGAGCGTACAGTTCCCTTCTAAGCGAATCACATGACGCCGGTGAAAGTGTGATTGTTGCCGGTGACAGTTCAGGCGGTAACATTGCACTAAGTCTCGTGGCTTGGACTTTGAAGCACCCAAATAAGGAGGTTGCGAACCCACCTGTTGCTGTCATGGCCATCAGCCCTACAGTAGACCTTCGTCATGAACTCCCAGAGATCAGAGTTATGGAGAAATCCGATTCACTCCACACTTTCGAATCCATCAAAGCCACTGCTGAGGCGTGGTGCCCCCCGGAAGCAATTAAAGAGTCGAGCAAAACTTTGCAACGAAATCAAGGGGATAATCATGTCTGCTGCGACTGGGGATTGAATGATCCAAGAGTATCTCCCATACACGCCGATCTTGGGGTCTTTCTACAACACAACGTCCGCATATATGGAGTCTCTGGGTCATATGACGTGTTAGCACCCGAGACTATTGCTTTCCGAAATAAGTGCAAGGAGCATGGAGTCTCTGGAGAGTGGCTATCATGGGAAAGACAAATGCATTGTTTTCCTCTTATGTTCAAATATGGGCTCAAGGAGGGTAAGGAAGGCATGGACTGGATGATTCATGTTCTCGATAAGCACTGATGAGATATGAGCCCCAACCAGTTACAGCATTGACCAAAGCTGAGTCGCAAGTATCTCAACATGTCATGGGCGACTGACCGACCATTTCTAAGTATCTAATGCGATAATGTTTAGAATAAAGAAGTGCTCTTGATCCGACCTGTTCTGACTTGAGGTATAATTTGCATGGTGTTGAGCTACAGTGTACTGGTAGTATACTCTTCAGGGCACGTGAATCTTTCGGTGTTTACCTTATGCATCCTCTTCATGCTGAGTCGACGTTGCCCTCTGGACAACCCCTTCAAGGGAATATTCGTAAGTCTTGCCGCTTCACCATTGAAGATGACCACCACTTCTTCTGACGTATGGCCTCGGGTTTTTGAGTGGAAGAAGTGGATGATGATCGACCCAGCCAAGAGAAATCTAAGAAACACAACGTATTACTTCCAATCAATAGCTTCGAGTGCGGTATGATTGACTAAATTGTTGAAGAAAATTCCCAAGTATGTGGTCATTTGCGTCGGAACTGTACCTCGAGTACGAAGTTCGTATGGCTAGATCTAGGATACAAGTAAATGTTAGCAGGCCACATACTTCTGTTGTGTTGCGTTGTCAACTTACAAGACAATGTCGTAGAACTCGTAGACGACTGATGGCGCCTCAGTAGCATCAAAGCTACCAAATAAGCCAGTAATGGCGGCGAAACTTGAATAGGAGCCCGCCACAACTGACGAGTAATAGCAGTCGACGGCTGAGTCGGTCAACGGAGAGGGCAGCTAATACAGCTAGGATGAGAGTCCAGATTTGTAGAAAACCGTTGATGGGCGTTTGATTCGTGACAAAATTGATACCAGTTGTATCTAATACCGCCCAGAGATAGTACGGGACGATATTTTGCCCGGCCCAGTATCCCAGTAAACACAGCAACATTGAGATGAAAGCTCCATGTCTGTTTGCCGTTGTTGAGAACAACTCCATTCAAGAAGAACTCTTAGCCGCCATCTCATCGTCTTTGTTGGTTCGTTCGATCTCAGTCATCTCGAAGTCGACGAGAATGGAGTTCTGGTCTCCCCTGTCATGGAACTTGATTAGTATACTCCGAGCCGTCTTAGCCTGACCTTTTGAGACGACAAAATGGGACAATTTCGTTACAAGGATGACGACTGGGAGGATGAGAGGCGGAGTGCTACATAATCTGCAGCAATCATGGGATTTGGCACGAGCAGCTCTTGTCGAAATTCTGGGCTCCAAATGTCACCCATACCGCTAAGCTAGATCCAGCAAACCATGCAGTGTTGTGAAGTCTGTGACATCATCTCTTAGCATTCTTTTCTTAACGTATCCAAAGTGTCATAGTCAGATCTAGCCCCTACGCCGTGAAGATTCCGTGGTGCGATGGTTACTCCAGTTCCGTGATAATAAGGGGCACAATAGAACTCCACCAGACACTGGGCTGGCTGATGATGACACGATCGATGATGAATCCAGCCTTGGTGATGAGAACGCTTGGAGAAAACAGCCAACACAGAGAAGAGCGCATCCTAAAAAGAGTCCTTTTTTTCGACTATAGCGGTTCGCAAAATATGCCACCACGGGGTAGACAAGCGTACCTTAGACGAAAGCGCGCGAACGGCGTTGATGATACCGAGCCATGATCCCTTGAGGGAGTCCATGAATGTCTGCCATTGAGAAGAGCCAAGAGACCGTTCATGATTGAGCGAGCCATCGCAGCCGTTTGCTGCACAAAGCACGGCCATGAAGACGCAGTAGAATTTGAGGCCTGTGAAGTGTCGTTGTGTATACTACGGAGCCCCGTCGTCTGGGAGAACAGCGGCGAGTTTCTGGCTAGTGCCTAGTTTCTTACTGGAAAATCGAAATCTGCCACCCATAATGTCAACAAGTTAGAGTCGGAGAGTAAAGCTTTGAAGTTAAGGTATATGGGAAGAAAGTCGACTCAACTGACGGGCCTCAAACTGCGAGGAAGCGCAAAGAGGAAGAGCTCTACGAAGTATTGGCTTCTTTGCGTGAATCGTAGTTTAGTCAAGTACTTTCTCAACTCTGCGAATGAAAAGGTTTTGGAGGTACCAAACACCAAGCGCCTTCTGCGACTTGATTGAGATTTCTCTCCGGAAACTTTGATCTTGATAAAATAAAGTCATATTCATGGAGTATCGGCGAATTTCACCTTGAAGACGGGGTGTTGACCTGACCAGGGGTACTTAGAGTTCTATTTCTGACAACATTTTCCGGTAGCCAACAGTCACGTCTCCCAAGAAAAAACATTCTTGCGGGTAGTGAATCCTTGAACTAAGAGCATGCGCGCAGGTCAGGCTTCGGATGAGAGGCATCCCCGTAGCAGACAGGTGTTTTGGCGCGGGATGCGGGGGGTCTACAAACCTGTGTGGGATGTGTGTTGAAGAATCCCCGTTACATCTCCCAACCCCGCGTTCTTAAAGCAGAAAGACCACTCGGGTAGAATCATGCCGTTTGGAAGACACATCAAGAGGCTATGCAAAGTAACCGGGGATGAGCTGACTCTGAGAGCTTCGGCCGTCACTAAACGTCTACCCCTGTCGCCGATTGGGGATATTGGCGTACCCCCTCTACGACGATGTCAGGAGATTTTCGGGTCTTGTGTACGCGAGAACTGGACCTACACAGCGGCGGTGTGGTATTACTTTGTCACAAGAAATCAACAATGTTACTTGAATTACTTCATGGTGACTTTACTTGGGTAGGGAATGTGCTCTTGACATGTATGAGAGCAATTCTAATGTTTTTCTTCACATGTTGAAACACAGAAGACAAATACATATATCAGTCAAGTGTTGAGCTGGTTCTGCACCAACAAAACGGTATCTTGGCTCAATGGGCTAAATCTTCGTTCTTATTGACATGTACCCCTAAGATGGCTACAGCGGACCTCTTGACTCGTCGCTCAAGGTAAGGCCCCATTACGACAGCTTCCGTATCACACAGAAAACGGAAAGTATCTGCTAACTGTCGCATTCTTCCCCTGACGAGTCTGGCAAGCTCGGACAACTAAGGTTGAAGGCAGGCCGCGAAACATCGCTATTCCTCGTGAGACCAAACTCTATGCCATTATTGACCTGATCAGCGTTGGAGTCGAGCAGAATGTACCAGAAGACATTGAGGCTCGTTTGGAAGAGGTCACAGCCGACGCTGGTCCAGTAGAGACGAGCGTTCTCAACTGAGGCGACGGCAGCTCCTTGAGATTTGCCGGCTTGGGGAGGCAGTTAGCGTCCGAGACCATGTAAATCTTGAGATGTGATGCTGAGCGGGAGTCTTACCATGCGGCCATCCAGTTTCGGTGACCCACACCTCCTTTCCATTGCCACAGGCACTTGTACTTCGGGCAGCGACTTCCCTTGTTTGATCCAGAGCAGATATGAATAGGTCAGGGGCGTTTTCAATAGTATTGTTTTTATCGGACTCCCAGTAGGGGAAGGAGTTGTGGCCGAGCCAGTCGACAGCTTCCACAACGGCGGCATTTTCGGGTAGAATCCATGCAGTGTAAGTGTCGACGTGTCCAATGGGTTTGTTTGCCAGGGGAGGTATGCTTTGCTTGATCAAACTTCGAAGATCCGCAATGTACCCTACGATTACACTCGCGTCGGCACCCACGCCAACATATTTACCGGTCAGACCGCTCAAATGCCGGTACAAATCTTCTGAGCCGACGGAAATGCCGATGACCAGGTTGGTGAAAGCCTCACCATACTGCATGTATGCGGCCGTAAGAGATCTGAGTTCATTGATGTACATTTGGCTGCCGGCGCTGGCCCAAAGTCCGACCAGAATCTTGGTGTTGGAATCGATGGCGGCCTTGTAAGCCGAAGTGGGTTCAGCCCATGATGAGGTCGGGTCGTATGTATTGTTACACTGGATGGAAGTATACAGACGAGCCGAGGTGAAGTTTTTATCATCTGCGCCGGCAAGTGTCTTCGCGTTCTGGAAGTAGCGTAAGAAATCATCGTAGCCCCTGCATGACCCATCTTCGTTCGTGGCGCCATAGTTGAATCCCAGGAGGCCCGGCTGGTTTCCTGCCAGGACGGTAGTGGCCAAGGACGCGGCAACTGCGGTCATCAAATACATCTTGAATAGTTGGGATGGAGATAGCTGAGGATCATTCGAGAGATGGGTGAAATTTGATTCTCTCCTATCCCCTCAGCAATAGAGTACCAGGCAAGCATCTTTAACATGGTGGCCATCCCGATTTTCTTTGTTTGCAACGAACAGAGCTGGGTCGAACAGTCCTCTTTGCTTGATGCCCCACAAACTGCCACACCTCTGGGTGGATCCCTTTTCTCTTGATTCTAGGAAACATCTCCTTTGCTATCATTCTCTCAGTCTTTTGTGCGATAAAACCATCAGGGCTAGTGACCCGAGCTGCCCAAGAATCCACGCATCGTCCAGACCATTCCCTGAATATCAGCCAAGTTTCCTTGATCATGTCTCGATTGTAACATGGTGTCCATAGGTAAGGTAGTCAGCTGGTCAGACCGCGCATGTGCTTCATCAAACCGTAGGAGTGGAAAAACCTTCTACACTGTACGGGTAGAGTGAGAGATCGGGCCGGGTGAACAGAAGGATCATCCGACGCGGGGCTAGCTCAGCGCATCTCGGGAATTGGCGACATCACAGGGCTTTGAAAGCAGCTATCGGAACGGCCAGTGATGCGTTAGCCGCACATATCATGCAAGGACGATGACCACACTTAGCGCGGCCCCATACCCGAAGTGAAATATGGGTGCTCCGAGAGGGTGTGAGAGGGCACATCTAGTCCCTCAGGGGCGCGGCCATCCGAACATACCTGAACTGATACATTTCCACGCCCGCCCCTGATTATACTTCGCCATGACCTTGGTCCCAGTCGATGCGGACGCGCGGAAACATGGGTATACTCAGAATTACTCCATCATATACCGGGCCCTTGTCGGGAATTCCTGACTATGAATCGTTTGACATGCTTCTCGGAGTCTAGGGTGAATTGGGAAGGTGAAAAGATATTGAAAGTCTAACGCAAATAAAATTTCATCCGGATGAAGCATCGAAAGAGAGGCGAGCGGGCAGGAATCTGACAATAGAATCGATGTGGGTGGGCTGCGCCGCTGCGGGCGCTCTACGCTGGCTCCGCGGTCATTACGCAAGAGTCGCATGTCTCCTCATCTCTGTCGGCACAGAGAGCGGAAGTGGATTCTGGTCGTCCCATCGACTACATTGGAAGTAGGTGAAAGAGTGAGAAGAGGCCGCCCTGAAGTACTGCCAGCCCAGTGATCACGTGGCGATAGGTAAGTAAGTAATTAATTAGATACTCAACACCATCACGATTATTGCTGCGGAGAAGCCACATAGAAGAGGAGGTGTGTTGGAAGGAAACGTAGTGCAAATGAGTATTTCCATGCTGTGTTATGGTGTTTGTTCATGCCACAGGAACATAGACAGTGAGGAGCGTCAGGTTTTATTTTCAGTCTTTCCTCTCCTATAAATTCGGGATTGTCTTGAATATCCAGTCATTATAACCAAGAAGTAAAAAGTGTTCACCCCCCCGGTGCTGAATTTGGGGCTACATCTCTTGGTGCTCATGCTGGGAAATATCTGGTGCTCATTCCGGGATTCGAACTCGGGTACTCGTATGCGCTTAGCCTGTCGTCGAGTAGGCTGGTTGGCGATTTTAATTGTTAACCATGAACCACTCCACCACCCAGCCAGTTTGACCTGACCCGTCGACCTAGACGGGCGCCTGCTGACTGGTGACGAGAATGGGCTCGAAGGGGGGTATATACCCTTCTGTCGTGGTAATATGCGGCAAGGAAGGCATACACAAGGTCGCCCTGGCCGTACCTTCCTCTCCAGGTCTTTGGCCTCCAAGGTGTATAGGAGGAGCATCACAAGACCGGGAAAAGATTAATGGAATCGGAAAAAGAAATATAAGGTCAGTCTTGTGTGATACTGATCCTGAGGAAAACTGCCATATCTGTCCGAAGATTTTGGACAACACACAGAGTCTCGGACGGAAGAACTTCGACCAAGGTAGCGAGGTACGGCGGTGCCATGGCAGGTCAGTCAATAAATTGTGGGAGCCCTGGGCATGAAATCCCGTTGCCGACCTGAATGACACAAAATACGAACACAACACAATATAATCCGAATGACTGTGTCAAAGGAAGATGGTGAAACTTAATATCAATGGCTAAAGAGTACTCGTCCTAGATGCGATAGCGAACCTGTAGAGTACCTATTTCAAGACATCTAGGAGCTTATTACATTGACTAACTCTTCTTTAGCTGGCCGCTCTGACAGCGGCCAAATTTATACGAGGTCAGATGGTGGCACCGCAACTCGCCGACTCCCCAAGCGTCAAACTCGGGTCAAAGACTAGTGGGTGACACTGCAGCGACTTAATTGATGCTCTTCCTACATTGACCAGCCTTCACTGTTGCACATGGTGCTGCTTCGATGTTGAATTCAGGTACTGGTACGCTGGCGACTGTTCAAACACAGCCTCTCTGTCCCGTCGGCAGCCTGTGCTGCATCACGGCGAGCCAGACCTCTTGGCGGCAACGAGGCCCCAGGCCCCGGTACACATTTCAAAGAGACGCTGGTTTCAGATAAATAAGGTTTGGGTGAAAGGACAACTGGTCATGAGATAATATCGAAGTGTGAAGGTTTGTATTGCTGTCGATGAACGATTAGCCGGAGGTCAGCGGTTCTTCTCCTCATTCTCCGCTTTCAGTCACCTGGAAAACATTCCAGTCCACAGGGCCTCAGCGCATCACGGGGAGACTTGACCTGTATTCGATCCATCTCCCAATTCATGCTATATGTTACAGTCCGTCTTGAGGATATATCGAGGGGACTCATAATGTATGACGTGAACGCCGGAAGATGTTACGAGAAGGGCACGAACTCTGACTCGTTTAGAGAGTATAGCATACAAGACACACGATGGCAAATGCAAATAGACACTTCTTTCTCAATTAATAATCATGGTTTTTTGATTTTAGGAGCCTGATTACCTAAATGTCAGGCAATTCACCAAGAGCGAACTTATGGATACCGTATTGGACTCCTTACATCGTTCTGCTCCAAGTCCTTACGCCAGTATCTCCATAGGACTTTTCGCGCAAAATGACAACATCCCCATAGCTAGCCCACAGCTCACATTTGGAAGCGATCAATGGCGAGCGCGAGCTCCTTAGCCTCACGCTTCTCCACGTTCTCCTCGCTGAAAGCAATCCAGCTATCGACAGCCCGGATCAAGCCAACCATCTTCTTCGTGTATGTGTCCTCCATGACGCTGAAACCGCTACCAGCGCCGGCATCGTCTCCATCAGCACCACCCTCGCCCTCCTTGGCCATCTCTCGCAAGTAAGCCTTCCGAGCTCGGACGAAGGCGCCAAGTATCTCCTGGCAGGTAGTCGTCTTGATGATATCGTCGGCCCAAGTTTCGGCTGGCCTTCCCTTGGCAATGGTCTGCTTGATGGAGACCTCGTGGGCAATGTTCACCCAGAAACCCGGCGTGAAGCCTCTCTGCTTGGGCACCTCCCTGAAGAGGGTCTTGTCGGTGAACTGGTACTTGAATCGCTCGCACTCGTTCAGAATCATGCGCATGAAGTCGGCGATGCGGCCACCTTCACCTTGGAAATTGGTGAGCTTGCCCTCGAGCTCGAGATAGCGGCAGACATCGGTGGCGGCCTCCTTGCTCATGAAGTCGAGGGGTGAGAAGGAGAAGCCGGTTTTGAAGACGATGTGAACGATGGTCGGAAGACGGTTGGTCGCGATGAGGAGCTTGTCCCCGGCGGTGAGCATCGAGGATGGGACGTCGTACCAGTCCGTTCCGCTGCCCGGTCTGGGGCCAGTGCTGGGTCCTGAGACTGTAAGGTTCCCAGGGTGATCAGTCCGATGCCTTTATTTTTTGTTGGCACCGAAGAGGGAAGGGGGCTGTTACTTACTTGCATTTCTGCGCAGGTGACGGAAGCTCTCCTTCTTCTCGCGGCGGCTGATGTAGACTGCGTTGTTTGGCTTCGCGCTCTTGCGATGATATTTGAAGCTGTTGAACTTTGCGAACTGTCGATCCATGGCGGGGCCAATTGGGATGGGAGTGTTTATCGAGCCAGCCGCGCTGGTGGCTTCGATCTTGTCGACTTCCATCTTTTCGGTAGAAGCCATGATGTATTGTAATGCCTGCAAGTCTGATGGAGGTAGACGCAGGAAGGTCGAGATCGATGATTGTTCGTTGTAATGGTTAGATTCGGCAGTCTTCGAGTTTCGAGTACCGACTGCTGTGTGGTGTGACGGGAGAAAGGAATTTCTTCAAGAAGGTTCTGCAGGTTATTTCAACAAAGAAGGAGCTCAAAGATCTTAACCCTTCCCATGGGACTGTTCAAGGACAAAGTCCATCATTCCTCGGGCCGTGGGTGAATGGACTGATTGTCGACGGGTCCGGCAAGGCAACATCAAAGTGACTGCTCTGGAGAGGGGGTCAGGGTAGGCGTGCTCGCTGCACGGTCCGAGAGTAACATTCGGCAGTAGGTTCAGACGACAGTTGTCCACGAAAGGTTGGTGATGATTTGGAAGACTTGCCGAGTGCGATGCTTTACAGTGTTGAGTTTTCACTTTGGCTTGGCGCAATGAAGGACAAAGATGGCTGAAGGTTCTCGAAAGTTGCGCCCACTTTCGGCAGGTTATCCCTCTGCGTCGAAGAACCCCTGGGGGAGGAGGTCCAGACTTCAGGGGCTGGGGGAAAACCTTCAAGGAGTTCATCGATCAAGGCTTAGCGTAGTGCGGGCCGCCGCCCTGAATCTTCTCCATCGATCCCCGAAGCCGCCGGCCTTCACTAAGGCAGTCTGCCGTTCGAGATCAGGCAACATTGAGTTACGCTAGAGTAAGAGAGCCCCATGGTCGGACCAGACGGATGGACAGAAGTGACCCAAGTGGAAGGAGACCTATCCGGGAAGGCTTTCGAGTTGTGATGAATGCCGACCATTCTTGAAGATGAAGACAGATTTAATGAAACCAATCCAATATGCCTTACAGGAGTCTTCTTGGCAGTCTTTTTGATTGAAGCTGAAACCCGCGGGCACGACAGACCTAAACCAGAGAGCACGGTACCGTTGTGCTAGCACTCTTAGGGCATTTAAATCGTACCCAGAAAATGTTTTCACCCGTGAGCCTTGCCAGGGAGGGTGTCTAATGGTAAAGATTCAGCTACGATTGCAATCCAGAGCAAAGAATTCTGGTGGAGAGGGAGAGTAAACCATTAGAAACATGAGATCCTTCCTTCTTCGCCGACTTGAAGAACCTCTAAGAGCGTTTTACTACAATTCGTTGTTTATTGCCTAGAGAAGTGATATTCTTTACTGCGGCGTCTGGGGCGCTGGGTGTAGAGACTCGACTCACGTGGGAGGTAAGCGTACGACCCAACAAGTCTATAAGGCTTCATTCCGAGTATCTTGATCCCGCCATAGGCTATATTGCATTCTTACGAGTCTCTGACTTGTTGCTTAAGATAGTGGGACTTGGGTTCCCTACTTAGGCATTGTTGGTGTTTTGCCAGAAGGTAGGTACGCAGAGGTCCGACAGACTATCAGGATCATCAAATACCAGTCTTCCACGGCGTTTAGTGACTATAGTGATTACGTGTGCTGGGTACTCAGGGACTGGCCTAAGTATGTGGGCAACAGTGGTGGGCAGAACACTAATCCATGGCGCAGTTCTCGGACGGCTGTCCAAACAAAGGTACATATACCGACGTACAGACTTGAAGCCTTGTTGTACCTAGGTAACTAATATCGGCTCGGGAGGTGGGAAAGCGACCCGTGACAGTCTTGCCCATTCACGAGAATTACCGCGAGCATCATCTCAATTTCCATTCCTCTAGCAATACGGATATTCGGTTTACCTTTTTCTGTCATCGGAGAGTTGATTGTCTGATAAATTTCGAGCTGTTTTTCGGTTCTTGGAAAATAACTTTCGCTTCTTCATTTCACCCCGCGTTATTTGCTGATCGCTACAAGCACGTCTACGGCCGTAAGTACATCAAACTCGACCTGGGCACAGATCTTCCGCAACGCCTAGGAGGGATCGTTGGTTCAACTATCTCTATTTGTCTACCCATGGAATAATAGTAAGTTTACGTATACATGAAGAGTTTCGGAACGCAACCCAAGCCCAACTACCCGGTCTCCGACGAGGGACAAGAAATAGAACGAGACCGAGTAGTGAGGAGCAAAGCAAGGTCAGCAAGCAGCATGGCGAGCCGTGCCGTAGTTTAGCAACAGTCCAGGATTCTAGGCTTAGCCACATCTGGTTCGTGCGGTTTGCCTAGCAGAATGAGCCGTGGTCATCTGCCACTCCTCGCAGCGATAAGAGTGCCTGTTTGTCATATATCAGATTTCGTACACGAAACATCCTAGGACTGGAGTCGAAACTCTCGCCATTTCCTTCCTAATTGTGCCATTTCTATCCGTAGACTCTAATGAACACGAAGCCGCCAGCAGTGTGGGTGGCTCTGCGCCCGTGAGCAACCTCACTTGGCATTTTCAAATCCCGATGCCCGTCTCTCAGCGTGCGCCATACCTTTGGGGAGATTATTTATTCACAAGAGTCAATGCTGTCAGGTCGGCCATTCGAATAGTGGCACACCCCGTCGAGTGCGCACTGATGATGGCATTTGCTTCTCCGACGGCAATTGGACTTCTTCCTAGGCCGGAATAAGAGTGGGGTACTAACTCCGGGCAGGGCAGTCAAGCAGATGTTAACAGTGTTTTCACTGCCGTCTGAGAGCGTGGATTCCGCGAGAAGAGTTTGACCAGCTTCGGCAAAACGGGCACGGCTCGAATTTGGGCTAGTGTAGTTTCCTTCTGCGGGCGACCGACACCGTCAGCAGATCAGCCTAGCTTTATTTACTCAGACTAAAATGCCCAGGTATTTCGTGGCCTTTAAAGAGATAGTCCATGACAACAAGCCTCCAGTTGGACTTGATTGCACGGAGGTAAGCATACGGCGAACTTCAGGGCGAAGCCCTTGTGCCAATAGAGACGCCTGCCCGTGGCATTCTGAAAAAACGTTGAGTGACTTACCGTCGACGATATTACGTTCATCATGAGAAATTGGGGCAATGTCCGATCAGCAAAGAAATAACCTCGGATCGTAGCGCGTGTGATACGTTGCGTAGCGTGTGACGGGACGTCGTTGGGGCGTCCAGGTACCGGCCCGCGGCGGCCCGCACTGTCAAGCCCCGACGGCGTCTTCACCTTACCTCGGTGAGTCCAGCACACCGAGGCATAGACACCTCACCGATCCGCCCCACCGATAGCTCTTTTCGAGCGTCATCTCCCACCGACGAACCCGGCCAAAGCTCGTCGCGTCAATAAGCCATACTCTTTCTGCTCTTGGCCACATGAAGTTCTGAATTATCCCGACGGTATTCACCCAAGATCTTTTCATTTCCACGGACTTGAGCCTGCAAAGGTTACCTCCCGTCTCAACAAGAAAAATGTTCGCAAGCCGCGCCATCGCGAGGTCACGGCCAGCTCTCCGCACAACCCGCCCGCCAACAACGAAACCATCCTTGCCTTATACCTCGACGAACTCTTCCTCTTCTTCATCTCGAGCGGCAGACCGCATCCTCGACCGCGTGCCCCTCCGATTCCAAAAATACACCACCGGCCTCCGCAAAGCGCCCGTCTCGCATGTAGTCGCATTCCTAATCCTCCACGAAATCACCGCCGTCGTGCCCCTCCTCGGCCTCTTCGGCTTCTTCCACTACACAAACTTTTTACCGCTCGAGTACGTGACGGGCCACTGGGCGGGATACGTCAGGGATGGTGTGGGGATGGCGGAGAGGTATTTTAGCAGGAAGGGGTGGTTTGGGTTCGAGGCCCAGGACCGCGGGACGATGACAGGGCAGTTGGACGAGGAAGGGGAGGTGGATAGCACGCAAGATATGTTAGAGAAGTGGCAGAAGGATGGCAAGTACAAGGTTGTGGTGGAGGTTGCTATGGCTTGGGCTATCACGAAGGCACTGCTGCCGGCGAGGATACTCGTCAGCGTGTGGGGGACGCCGTGGTTTGCGGGTGTCATGGGCAGGGCACGTGGATTATTCAAATCCAGCCGGTAGTCACGATTGAAGGTCTCAAACATCGCATCACGTTCCTGGGAGCATTTGGGCTCTTTGTTTGTGCTTTTTGATTGACCTATAACTTTTCTTTATCAACCTAACATGGCGACATGCATCCCACCCGTGCGGCAAGCGTACGGTGGACGTCTACGGCTCGTGTATAGTGGCGGAGTAGAGAAAAAGCATCTAAGGCTTCTCGTAGATCCAGTCGAACTGGGAGGCCTTGTAGGAGACGACATCGCCATCCTTGAACCAGAGGGCAATCTCCTTCTTGGCGTTCTCGACGGAGTCGGAGCCGTGGCAGACGTTGCGGCCGACGTCGATGGCGTAGTCGCCACGGATGGTGCCGGGGGCGGAGGCAAGGGGGTTGGTGGCACCGAGAAGGACTGTGAGATGTGTATTAGTATGAGGTTATTCGGCTGAAGGGGCGTGTGTAGAGGAATAGTGAGGGACTTACCACGGCCGGTCTTGACGGCGTCACGGCCCTCCCAGACCATGGCGCAGATGGGGCCAGAGTTCATGTCTGCGAGGATGTCAGCTTGAAATCACGATGGGCGAGGCATTGGGGATGGAACATACACTCAATGAGACCAGCGAAGAAGGGCTTGTCCTTGAGGTCGGCGTCTATTTGGGTGAGTTAGTTCTGCTTGGCGAGGGAAGCGAGAGGAAGTAACGAACAGTGGGCCTGGAGGTGCTCCTTGCCGGGGGTCATGAGCTTGATGGCGACGAGCTTGAAGCTGCAGGAGATGTGTTAGACATGACAAACTTGCCCAGAGTAGGTAGGGCATCATCTGGGAGAAAACTTACCCACGGGTCTCGAAGCGAGAGACGATGGGGCCGATCAGGCCGCGCTGTGGGAGAGTCAGCTTGCTGTGTCTGGCAATTGGCGAGTATCAGGTGAGATGGAGCGTACCTGAACGCCGTCAGGCTTGATGGCAATGAAGCTATCTCGGGGTCAGCTTATTTTGTTCTGTTTCGTGGTGGTGATGTGTGCCCCTCTTCTGCCCGAAACCTCCCACGATGGCGGGGTAAATTTCAGGGTAGCGGCGGGAGCTCAGAGAGAAGCATGTGGCAATGGGGTGCATTGCTAGCTTGATGGGCAGGAAGTTGGAAAGGGATTGAGATGTGTACTCACGTCTGCTCGGTAGACATTTTGGGAGAGGTATCAACGACGACTTTGGGAGTTGAAGATGGTTGATGTTCTTGGTAGATTGTGGTGGTGACAACGGAAGGGGCGACGGGAGGAGAAGAAAGGTCTGCTGCTGACCGCTGGTTTTGTTGGCTCGAGGAAAAAATTATGTACAAACCGAAGAGGAGAGCGAGAATTATGAAAGTTGGTGGGGGCAGCTTCTCTGCTGTCCTGCGGGCGTACTCGGGGAAGCTTGCATTTGCATTATTCTGCTGCGGCTTCTTGTGCTTCGAGGCGGGGTCGTTGTCCTGCGCGCCGCCGCTGTGGTGGTGGGGTCCCGAGTCTGCCATTGGATGAAAGCAAGTACTGCTGCGTACCTAAGGTGCTAAGGTAGAAACGTGGTGAAAAGGTGTGGAGATTGCTGTACAGTGTACCGAGCTTCTGATACGACAGTTTTGGAACTGTGAAGCCAGACCGCCTAGTTTTTATTTTTGACAGCTCAGCACTCATGGCAACCAAAAGGTGGAGGTTCACCGTGATTCGAAAGAGAGGGTAGGGTGAGGTGAGGTGTGGAATGGCATTAAACCGAGGGGAAGGTTCCTTACCTATAGCACTTGAAATACAAAACGCCAAGCTCAAGTTTCTTTTCTTTGGATCGTCACATGCAATTGACCTTGCATTTCGCTCAAGAGAAGCTCAAAAGTCATGCAGTTTTGGGTTGATACATAAGTAAATAATCGTGTTGCGCGTTGATTGAGATTCTGGTTGTCAGGTACGAATCAGGTACCTATCTTCCGGTTTACTGCATCTCGGATAATCTCTTGACTGGTACACCCCTGTGCTCTAATTGGGTATCCGGGATAAGGTACCTCTGTGTCTTCTGTGGGCCCTGCTAGGCCATCCTGTCCAGTCCCGCCATTTCAATCTGTCACTGCCACTTCACTTGACATCAAAAGAGACTTGACAGAAAGCCGATTTCCTGCTCACGCGTATCATCGTCCTCGACGTGACTAGTGACGTTACCAGTGAAGACGAAATTCTTCTTGGATTCGCTATACAAAGGCCAGCGTGTACCGTTGACTAGAAATCTCAGCGTCAGTAGGCATCCCGTCGAGGTCTATAGAAGACCGCACTCACCGGATCCATTACTATTCGGGTCACCTGTCGCAACAAAGCTAGCCCATGCCGTTGCCATGATGGAAGCCAGTTCAGAGAAAGACTGAGGCTTGTCTTGCAGAGGCCACACGTCGTAGTCGTCTCTGCTTTGGTCGTCGAAAACGAAGAAGATCTCTTTCGCATGCGTCGCGCCAATGTAGCGAGGCAGCCCGCTGACGATGACATCCCACCGATACTTGTAAAGACTGGAATACCAATTGGCTGATCAGTAAGCAAACTTCAGAACGTTAGTGCGGGTATCCTTACGGTACGTTGTATGCCGCCCACATCTGAGCCGTGTAACGAGTGGGCGCGATGATGTTAGAGTCACCAGCAAGCGTAACAGCTCTCTTGTATTGATAACCGAGTTCAGCACCGAGATCGTCCGGGTACGTGGCTAGAGCCTGTTCCGTTGCGTTCTTGCGGTATAAGTCGAACACTCTACTTGCAACCGTCTCATTGGCCTTGAGCGAAACAATGTATTCCCTGAACTGCTCATCCGTGTCAATCTTGGATGTCGGATAGAACGTGGCGTTGTCGAAGTTGTTGCCCGGGATGAAGGCTGATCCTTCGTCTGTGTTGTGGCCGATTATGTATGGAACCTTGACGAAGTTGCCCTTGGCCAGCTGCGCTCCTGGGGCATTGGCAACGAAATCGCCGTCAAACACTTGGACTTGTTAGCCCAGGCTCGATGATATCCTAACCAATGACGACTCACCTAATCCGTAGGAAGCTCCTGAAGTGGCTGTAGAATTGACTACAGCGTTCAAAACCTCGATTGGGATGTTCCGTAGACATTCAAGCGTATCAGTCGTAGTGCAGCCTGTGGCGAGTGTGATATTCTCATAGACTTCGTCCCACTTTGCGATATCGAGGACTGTATTGAAACACTTCATCAGTCAGAGAGTCGTAGCCTGGCAGATCGTGACTTACACGGAGAGAATGGCGAGAATCCAGCAGGAGCTCCAGACTGTGAAATGGCCCCTCTGAACAGTCCGTCGTCGCGTCCATTGTACGCCAGAAGCTGGGCACCGACAGAACCTGCACCCCTAGAAACAAAGATTCATCAGCTCGGTTCCATGGTTTCACTGTGGCTCTCGAAAAGCCTAGAGAACATACGCGCTGTTTCCGAATATGGTTACTTTGGTAGGATCTCCTCCAAAGGCGGCGATGTTTTCTACGAAGAGTTAGCTGAGAACGCCTCATCAAGGACTTAAACAAGTACGACTTCCCTTGTACCCAGTGTAGTGCCAATCTTTGATCCCTAAAGCCAAGGTTCGCAGCTCCAGCAGCCACAATTTCAGACCCTCCTAGAAAGCCAAAGGCGGAAAGACGATAGTTGAAACTAACGCCAATGATGGGCTTCCCAGCTGTAACAGAGTCCCGAATAATAGACGAGAAGTTCAACCGAGGATCGGCGCTGCCACCTTGGAAATAGCCTCCACCGTAGATGTACACAGCAACTGGTAGCGACTGATCTGTGTAGTTAGAAGGGCGAACGACGTTGATGCTCAGACAGTCCTCGGAGATCTTGAAACCAAGTGCCGCGAGCCTGTTGTTGTCATTCTATGGCAAGGTTAGCAGGCCCATCCTGCACATGAGGTTCATCTAACGATGAGTAGGGTGATTCGGCCGCGTGAACGTACACCGTAGCCGTAGCAAATGTTGCCGAATTGAGTAGCGTCTCTCGATCCAGTCCAGGAGGTGTTCAGTGAAACTGGAGGCGAGAATCGAAGGGGACCTTGAACAGGCGGCTGGGCGAACGGCATGCCGAGGAAGTAGTCTTGGTTGAGTAAAGGCAGATGAACGCCCGTGTAAGAGCCATTTCTAGTTTGGACTTGCGGTGCCTCTTGACAAAGACCACCAGACAGTCCGGCGAGTAACAGAAGGAGCACGCGCGCCATGTTTACGTCCGGATGAATGTTCCTAACTATAACCAAGTAAGGTTTCCATGGGATTTGGCGTCTCTTATATCGCTGTCATTTATGCATCGTGGGCAGAAGATCACATTTCATCGTGATCGTTGTCCTGAATATCGTCACGGTTCTTGACTCGCAACCCTGTCTTGATGACTGTTTCTTGGTTATTTCCGTATCGCTTAGAGCAAGAACTACTGGATCTCCTTCTCAATCAAGCAACTTGCAGGCTACTTTGATTCTTTCGAATGATAGCTCATGAAAATGATCAAACAAGCCTTTCCGAGATGTCCGCCTTGTGCCGCCATATCCGGCAATTTTGTCCGGCACTTGTTCTCGGAATCGCATCAGACGTTCTTGCGATGGTGATGCGGATCATGAGATGGTGAACGACCGAGCCAACCCGGCTCTGCTGGATCCACCCATTCCACAACCACCGCCCAGGCCAGCATGGAACAGATCCCGAAGAACGAGCATATGTAGCAGTCACGAAGTGAAGAAATAACGTGATATCAACCCTCAAGAAGCTTACGATCTCAGACAACATCAGGAAGGCCCTCATAGACCATTGACGTCTCGCCCTTAAGCGTGCCTGACCATATCATCCATCGCAGGGGTATGACATTGCCCAAAAGCATCGTGTAGGCGCATATATCGCACGTTCATAGATAGAAGGCACCATCAGCCTTTCCTCATAGAAGATGACCGAGAACCTACTAACATTGCCATCCGCATGTGGTCTGGAAGTTGTCTACTCCCATGGCGGGGTAAATATTCGGTCAGTAAGGTCTATTCACCTATCCGTTTTCGAATATCAGATTAAACATGTCTTCTTCGATAGGCCCCTGTCTCCCGCAGCAAGCGACCCGCGCTAAGCCTAAAGTGGAGCTAGTCAAGGGGACAGCTGTTGAACTCAGGCGGCGTCTCACCTTCACAAGTACCTTCCACCCAAACGTCACCAATTCCTCCCACCCAACCCGATTCAAAGTGTACCAAAAACCACCACAAACGCGCGACGCGAGAGCACCACAAAGAAGAATCGCCTTCTTTCTGCTCTCATTCCCATGTTCGCTTCTTGATTCCAAAATTCCTCCTCGCACTTCATTCAATCCTTTCGGACGAACACCCAATCGCCACACCCCTCCGCCATGGGGACCATCGGCAAGTCGTCCTACAAATGGACGACCTTCTTTGGTCTACTGGCGGCACTTAGCTGCATGATCCAGCCCGCAGGTAAGGACTCCCGTGACGCAATGACCTTCCTTTAACCTCACTTGTGTTGAATTCACGCTGCTTGCTTCCCAATACTTGACCTAGTGATACTGACAAGGCAATCGCAGTCATGGTTAAGGAACATGACTTCAAGAAGTGCGACCAATCTGGCTTCTGCAAGCGCAATCGCGAGTATGCCGATCACGCCGTCTCCCAGTCCTCGACCTGGGCCGCTCCCTACAATATCCTTCCCGACTCTGCCTCCCTCAAAGACGGCCAACTCCAGGCTGTAATCCTCAAGACCATCAACGCTGCCCAGGAAACCGTCCGCCTCCCAATCACCGTCTCCTTCCTCGAATCAGGTACTGCTCGCGTAACCGTCGACGAAGAGAAGCGCCAGAAGGGAGAAATCGAGCTGCGAAACAACAGCCCTGTCCGTAAGGAGCGCTACAACGAAGCCGAGAAGCACGTCATTGTTGGTGGCTTGAGCCTCGACAAGGAGGCCAAGGTCGCCTACCAGGATAAGGACCAGATCACCATTCAGTACGGCCCTTCCTCCAAGTTTGAGGCTGTCATCAAGTTCTCGCCCTTCAGTGTCGACTTCAAGCGTGATGGATCTTCCCACATCAAGCTCAACGATCGCGGTCTGCTCAATATGGAGCACTGGCGCCCCAAGGTCGACAAGCCCGCCGAGGAAAAGAAAGAAGGCGAAGAGAACGCTGAGAAGGCTGAAACCAACGAAGTCAAGCAGGAGGACGAGAGCACCTGGTGGGACGAGACTTTTGGCGGCAACACCGACTCCAAACCCCGTGGTCCCGAGAGTGTTGCCCTCGACATCTCATTCGTCGGATACGAGCACGTTTTCGGTATCCCTGAGCATGCTGGTCCTCTGTCTCTGAAGGAGACCCGTGGCGGCGATGGCAAGTACTCTGAGCCCTACAGACTTTACAACTCCGATGTCTTCGAGTACGTTCTCGACAGCCCCATGACTCTTTACGGAGCGATTCCTCTCATGCAGGCGCACCGTAAGGACTCCACTGTCGGTGTCTTCTGGCTCAACGGCGCTGAGACTTGGATCGATATCACCAAGGAGAAGGGCTCATCCAACCCCTTGGCTCTTGGCGTTGGCTCCAAGACTAACACGAAGACCCACTGGATCTCAGAGGCCGGCATTCTCGACGTCTTCATCTTCCTGGGCCCGACCCCCAAAGACATCTCCAAGACCTACGGCGAGCTCACCGGTACCACCGCCATGCCCCAGGAGTTCTCTCTCGGCTACCACCAGTGCCGCTGGAACTACATCTCCGATGATGATGTCAAGGACGTTGACCGCAAGTTTGATAAGTTCAAGATTCCCTACGACGTTATTTGGCTCGATATTGAGTACACCGATGGCAAGAAGTACTTCACCTGGGACGCCGACATGTTCAAGGACCCTATTGGCATGGGCAAGGCTCTTGATGAGCACGGCAGAAACCTTGTGGTTATCATTGATCCCCATATTAAGAACGAGGGGAAGTACGATATCACCGAGCAAATGAACGCCAAGGGCCTAGCCGTCTTGAACAAGGAGGGCAAGACTTTCGAAGGTTGGTGCTGGCCTGGTTCTTCTCACTGGGTTGATTGCTTCAACCCCAAGGCTGTCGAGTGGTGGAGTGGCCTCTTCGACTACTCCGCTTTCAAGGGCACCATGGAGAACACCTTCATCTGGAACGACATGAACGAGCCCTCTGTGTTTAATGGACCTGAGGTTACCATGCCCAAGGACAACATTCACTACGGAAACTGGGAGCACCGTGATGTGCACAACATCAACGGCATGACCTTCCACAACGCTACCTTTGAGGCTCTTCTCACTCGCAAGAAGGGCGAGCTCCGTAGACCTTTCGTCCTTACCCGCTCCTTCTACGCTGGCTCTCAGCGTCTTGGTGCCATGTGGACAGGAGACAACCAGGCGTCGTGGGAGCACCTGGGCGCTGCCGTTCCCATGATTCTGAACCAGGGCATTTCCGGATTCCCCTTTGCTGGCGCCGATGTTGGAGGCTTTTTCGGTAACCCCGAGCCTGAGCTGATGGCACGCTGGTACCAGGGCGGAGCTTTCTACCCCTTCTTCCGTGGCCACGCTCACATTGATGCCCGTCGCCGCGAGCCTTACATGCTTGCGGAACCGTTCAGAGGCATCCTCACTGCCGCCATCCGCCTTCGCTACAGCTTGATGCCTTCGTGGTACACAGCCTTCTTCCACGCCCATCGCGACGGAAGCCCGATTGTTCGCCCCATGTTCTGGACGAACCCCACGGAGGAGTCTGGCTTCGCCATTGACGATCAGCTTTTCGTCGGATCGACTGGTCTTCTCCACAAGCCCGTTGTTGAGAAGGACAAGGAGTCTGTCGACATCTATATCCCTGATGACGAAGTGTACTACGACTACTTTACCTACGAGAAGCTCTCCACCAAGAAGGGCCAGTATCTCACCAGGGACGTCGCCCTTGACCAGATCGCGCTTCTGATGCGTGGTGGCCATATCTTCCCTCGCCGTGACCGCCCCCGCCGTTCGGCTAAGCTCATGCGCTTCGACGACTACACCCTCGTCATCAGCGTTGGCAAAGACGGTCAGGCCGAGGGTGAGCTGTATGTCGATGACGGAGACTCTTTCGACTTCGAGAAGGGTCAGTACATCTACCGCAAGTTCAAGCTTGACGGCAAGACCATTGCATCCTCTGATGCCGAGGGCCGTGACTCCAAGTCCGTCAAGGAGGGTTCCTGGCTCAAGGCCATGAAGGAGGTCTACGTCGACAAGATCATTGTTGTCGGCGCTACCAACCAGCTCAACAAGAAGGAGGTTACTGTCACATCAGAGGGCAAGAGCTGGACTGTCCCTGTTCAGTACCACGCTGCCGAGAAGGGCTGCGCCGCCTACGCAGTTGTAGGCAGAGTTGCTGCCCGTGTTGGAGAGGACTTCAGCATCGCGTTGGCTTAGGACTGTCCAAGGATACGAATTCACCGTCCGAGGATGAGGAGACATGCTTGAGTTGGTGCAACACCTGTCACGTGCTTCGTCGTTGGATCTTTCGCCTGAGATGTCCTGAACGGCAGAACTCGACGGTCAGGAGACGGGAAGACGACGGAGACGCCTGAGCGGCGAAGCACACTAAGAATAGAGACAGTGAGCTCCACAGATCGCCACAAGGGCTGATGATTGAGAGGCTTAACAAGTCATTAGAGCGCTCCATTAGAGAGAATTGACGAACACGTTCATAAAGATTGCTTCACTTGAGCATATCCTCCTTGCCCCTTCGTGACTCCATGCGATCTCGGTTAGTTAATCTAGAACTGGGGCGGTGGCTTGGGGGTGGAACGGTGCAACATCCGTCGGGGCTCCTCCGCTGCAGTGGATAGACTTCGTGGAGCCTCATTCCCAAGATTTTCCGCTCCCCTCCGCCCCCAACTTCCGCCTGGAAACAATCCACGATGGCGTGAGTTCTGGCTCTGGAACCCACCTTGTCCGGGGGGCCTGTTAAGCTTCAACCGAGAACACAGCCTCGCTCGCTTGCGATGGACTTGATTTCCCTGGTGGATCTCTGCATGGCGAGATGTTCAGGGGTAGTGGCTACAGCCTACAACCATCTTGTCCTGGACGACGACTTTGTTTCTGCGCTGGGAAGGGCTCGCTCAATGCGCCGAAGATTGAGGTCAACCCTCTAGAATGAGAGCGTGTTGCTCGCCTAGCTGACTCTTACTCCATAGGTAATCCGACCATCGACTCATTGTCTGGGGCTATCTGCGTTCGGATTCCGACTAACTTACACGCTCTGCTCACCGAAAGCAGAAGAGATATCAAAGCATAGCTTCTCTGCGGATATTTTCCCTTCACGATTCAATTGCATTGCTTCATTGACTGACTGAGGGCTCAATCTTCCGAGCAACTTCACCGAAGGCGGTTTGAGGGCGTTGCTCTCAAGTAGACCTGGGAGGCGCTCGTACAGCTCATCACTAAGCAGATGATTCGGCATAGAGACCTATGTACACGATGTGTAAGCGACTCACACGGGTTGGTGAGATCTTATGGAAGCCGAGCAGGAAAGAGGGAGAACGGGAAAGACGTACAGGCCAGTGTACCAGTCCTCGGTAGGTATGCGCCGTCGGAAACGCAGTGAAGACAAAGACATCAGTCACTTTGGTGTTGCTTGGTACCTCCTCGGTGTTTGCCTTGCCCGGACGGACTGTACAGAGAACTCCAGGTCTGCCGCTTAGAGCAGCGGCTGCCGTCGCCGAGGAGCTTGCGTTACCGATGGTGTCGAAGACGTGTGATAGCGTCGGTACTGCAGTCTGGAGTTTATCTACTACATCAGCGTCATTGTAGTCAAAGACATAGGTAGCCCCGGCATTCTTGACGTAGTCGAAGTTGCGGGGGCTGCAGGTGGTGGCTACCGGGTAGCCGTGAAGTTTTGCTAGTTGGATGGCAAAGTATCCGACGACGGCTATGTTTGGAACGTTATCAGTAGCCTCAATCTTGTTTATTGAGGAATGCTGTGTCCGGTCATCTCAAAACTTACAACTTCCGCCCCAGATCAGCACAGGAGGCTTAGTGGTAGATACATCTCGCGAGAGGCCGAGGCAATCTTCGGAAAATAGTGCCAGGTACGCAGTGTTTGCGGCAAGTGGAACGGCGCTGGCCTCGGGGCCCTCGACGGTGTTCGGAACCTTGAACGAGATGCGCTCGTCGGCGATGCAATAGGATCTGTGCAGTTCGGAGATTGTGAGCAAACCTACTTAAACGAACATGAACGAACACCTACGAGTAGGCCCCAAGACCCTTCATCTCCCCTATAAGTGCAAGTCCAAGGTCAGTGACGCACAGTCTGTGAGAGCCCTGGCGAAACTTACCACCCCAAACTAACGCGGCGATTCTATCACCAACTTGCAACCTGCTCACATTTGGGTGAGTTTGCGTGACAGTGCCGACAAAGTCACAGCCTAGGACAGCGCCATCTCCGAATGCATCAACGTCAAACGCAAGCCCTGGTGTGGAATGAGTAAGCTAGGAGCCAAACACAAAGCTGGAGTCCGGGATGAATGAGTTGCGGGGTGCGAGCCGCGGAGTTTGAGTGGCATAGCTTGCATGACATACTATCTGTGGGATTGAATGCTGCCCACTCGACGCTGACGTAGACTTGGTGAGGTTGGAGCCTCGGTAGGCCGACGTTTTCCACAACGAGTTGTCGGTTCTTTTGAACGACGGCAACGACCCTGTCCATGATACTGATGTTGCGAGAGGAAGGCTTGTCGCAAAAGGTTCAAAGTAACTCACAAGCACAACGGTGATGGAAGACGGATGAAGTTGAAACTGACTATGTACTTACTTAAGCGTACCTTACTCTGGGTAAATAATAAGCACACTGACACCAGCAGCTCTGTCCCTCATTTACCCCTCTCAAACCCTGTTCCCCACTAGATGAACGACGGCTGCCTGCTCTTCCATCTCTCTCGAGAGCCAAGTAGAAACTTATGAGTAAGGATGCAATGAAGCTTAGATAGGACAATCGTCTAAGAAGTGCCGATGATTACCTTTCAGTGGAAGAGATCCAGAAGGCGCGCGTTCGGATCCCGCCGTCCCCGGGACTGCGAACCCGCGTCTTCGCATTCGTATGCCCCGCATCACCGCTGCATCGCCGGCCCTTGCAGGGATAGTCTCGGTCTACATCATGACGACGGGTATCATCTTTCTGGGGAAGTGGTCACTTCAAGCATGCAGTATGGAGAAAGTACGCACATTTAAACGATTCCGGCATAGATAGTGACGATGCGCTGCAACTCTACTCGCAGTGCTGGCAGATTGGTTGCATGATTGGGCAATTTTCACCGCCGCCTAAGGTCCTCACCCGCGGAATCCAAGCCTTGAGACTCACACGAAGTCTTCTCTTCCTGGTATTGCCCAAGCTACCTCGACAAAGTCCCTATGTTATACGCGTATAGACCGCCATGACTTCGATCTCGTTTACACCCAATCTTGATGATGCCGCGGTACAAGGTCTTGGAAAGAAGTCTGGGGTAATTTTCTTGCGAGACTTCACGCACAACTGTAGATCCATCTCGTGAAGAACGTCCCACAGACACTGAATATGTTCTATAATGACTAGTCTAGCCCTATTGGAGGAGTCCTTCCGATGAGGGCAACGACACGATCCAAGACCCGCGTATTCAGTCAACGACGCCCATCTTAAAAGGGAGCTGGAGCTCCTTCGACCTTGCAGCAGAACAAGTATCTCGACGCTCTCACGGACTCAGTTCCACCAAAGAGATATCATGCGTGGTCTACGATCCCTCGCCACGCTCACAGCGTCATTAGCTACAATTTCTGAAGCTCACAGCCTCGACAACTTCGTCTCTCCTCCAAACACCTATCGCCCAAAGTTCAGATACTGGTGAGATTTACTCTACCCAACCCAGCCCCCCTTGTAGTCCTCGGCACTAACATCTCATCATACATAAGGCTCCCCGATGCCGAAGTTGACATCGAAGCTGTCACCCGCGATGTGGCCGAGATAGCCTCTGTCGGCGCCGGTGGCCTCGAGTTCTTACCATACTACCAGTTCCGTGCGCCATCAGCAAACTGGTCCACTTACGGCTACGGCACGAACGCTTCTCGAAACATCTTCCGTGCGGCTATGCAGGCCGCCGCAGAAAATGACCTCCTGTTTGACTTTGCGATTGGCGCGAATCAGGGGCAGGGCGTGCCTTCTGAGCCGGAGAGTGTTGGGCTGGCCTTGGAGTTGGTGAGTGTTGACTTTTCAGCTTCGTATCTCGAATCTCGTGACTTGCATCTTTGCCTCTCTCGGGTGATTTTCATGATATACGGGAATCGGAAATGACTGACACCAATTTGTTAGGCATACGTCAACATCACAGTCGCCCCTGGACACGTCTTCAACGGGACCCTTCCCCTTTCAACTCAACCCGCGAGCCCCTCCCTCCACTTCTTCATGCACCCCTGCGAAGAATTCGGCCAGCAGAACCTCTCTTTTGTCTTAGCTGTCGAAGAAACATCAGTATCAAATGCCTCATCCACTGCCATCAACCTCGGCCGCGTCATCGACATCACCACCTTAGTCGACCCAGCCACGAGATCCATCTCATGGATGAGCCCCAAAGACTCACAAAGCACATGGCGCTTAATGGCTTGGTACACACGCTACACTAATCAGCGGTCCATCGACGGCGCACCTGACGCAGCAACGTGGGTGCAGAATGGGTCCTGGGTCACCGACCACTTCAGCGCCGCGGGGGCGAAGAAGCTGACGGGCTTCTTTGACGAGTATATGATCCCTGAAGAGCAGGACAGAGAGCTCCTCGTCCGCGTTGGGAAGTATGGTATGTATAACATTTGACTGACAAGACACAACCTCCACGCCATCTTTACAATCTGTGACTAACTTCTCAACCTTCACTAGCATGGGAAGACAGCATGGAAACGGTTACAGCCCTCTGGTGGACGCACAACTTCGCCGACGCCTTCCGCGCACAAAGGGGCTACGACATCACACCCTGCCTCCCCTTCCTCATCCAACTTGACAATTACTGGGCGGCACAGAACCTCCCCTACGGCGAATCCTTCCTCTCGCAGGACAACAGCACCCTAGTCTCCCGCTGCAACGACGACTACCGCCTCACCCTCCAAGCCGGATACGAAGACTACATCCTTACAACCTCAGAATGGGCTCACAAACGGGGACTAAAATACTCCAACCAGCCAGCCTACAACCTGCCCCTAAACATGCTCGACTCAATCCCTCTCGTCGACGCTCCCGAAGGCGAGTCCCTAGGCTTCGACGAATCCCCTTCCCTGTACCGCCACCTCTCCGGCCCAGCACACATGGCCCGCAACCCCGTCGTCTCCTCTGAAGCCGGCGCCGTCAACGGCGCAGGCTACACCCAGACCATCGCGGACCTGCTCCGTATTGTCCGCCGCGGTCTCGCGGGCGGGATAAGCATGAACGTCCTGCATGGGTACGCGTACTCTGGCACTTACGCGCAGACGACATGGCCTGGGTATACCGTCTTCGCGTACACGTTCACCGACATGTGGGGGCCGCGGATGCCGGCGTGGAGGGGGAGCAGTCAACACGTCGGCGGTAAAGGTGACAACGATACCAGTGATGGGTTCATGGCTGATGCGATGGCATATGTTGCGAGGAACCAGTTTATCAGTCAAGTTGGTACCGCGAGGGTTGATCTCGCGTTCTATCAGTATGCGGCACCGTTCGACAAGGTGGTCTATGAGAGCGACAACCTTGAGAAGATGGGCTTCACGTACGACTACCTCGGTCCTGCAAGCTTCTCCTCCCAGCACGCCGCCGTCAACGAGAAGGGTATCCTCGCGCCGGATGGACCTGCGTATAAAGCTCTCATCTTTGCCAACCAGACAAAGTTGACGCTGGAGATGGCGATGCAGACGAGAACATTCGCCGAAGCAGGGCTGCCCATTTTCGTTATTGGGAGCGCGGATTTCCAGAGCGTTGGTGTCGATGGAGCCGCTTCAGTTCCTGAGATTATGAAGGGGTTCTTGAGATGGAGAGCGTGATGGTGCTCAAGTCCGCGGAGGAGGTACCAGCTGCGCTTGCTGCTCTCAACATCCAACCTCGGGTCTTGTTTCTGGAAGGAGGTGAGGTCGAGAAGTGGTACTCCTTCTCGCGAAGCACAGATGATGCAGAGGTCGTGTTCTTATATAACGACGGGGAAACCTCCACGACCACGAACGTCAGCATTCTCGATATGGAGGGCAGGTCACCGCACGTCCTCGACGCCTGGACGGGCTCGGCATCACCACTTTTACAATACACTGTCGAGGAGAACAACGTCGTTGTCCCGATGACGCTCGCCGCGAACCAGACTGCCATCCTCGTCTTCTCGAATCAGACCTCATTCTCGGACGATGAACACAACACGTCTTTCCTGCCTCGTCCGCCAAGCACTCACATAACGTCAACCTCTGGCCCCCTCGAAGCCCTTCTTTACACCACATTCCAAGATCCCAACACAAATGCCACGGCCAGCAATAACCGCGTCACAGCACACCTCGGCCTCGGGACCACAACACTAACCCTCGCCACCGGCCAAATCTTAACTTTCACCACCTCTCAGCTCCCAGAAGCAACAACTCTCGACGTATGGAACATCACAGTAAACGACTGGCGCGGCAGCAACAACTCCCTCTGCATGGAAACCGCCGTCACACCTTACCGGTTCCCCAACAGCCCGCTAGCGCCCTGGAAAGATCTAGACCCCGTGAACCTGAGCAACACAAGCGGTACAGCAACCTACGAAACCACCTTCCGAACCCCATCCTCATCTACCGCGGCACAGCGCTTAGGAGCTCATCTTCACCTGGGTGCCATCATAGACGCAATGACGCTCTGGGTCAACGACGAGAGAATCATTCTCGACGTGAACAGCTCGCCTGACGTTGTGGTGGATATCACATCCTACCTGAACCCCTCCGAGGGCGCCGATAACGTGGTCCTAGTAGAAGTTGCTTCGACGCTGTATAATCGCGTGAGACCGGAGCAGGACAGCATCATGACGTCTGGTGGCGCTGCTTCACGTGCGGGTGCGAGTTACTTCGAGGCTCATCCGGCTGAAGAGTATGTACTCAAGGGGCCGGTGTCGGTTCAATGGGTGAAGGTTGTTGACATCCTTTGACACAGCATCGTCCAAAATTTGCAGCCAATCTGTCGTGACGCATGCCACACGTCAAAAGGCGACGAGAACTTCTAGTTTCTTATGAAATATGACTTCCCTGTACATTGAAACTATTCTTGACAGTATTTGAAAGTATGAACATAAGCTGTACGTAATTATCGCCGAATCTGAACTATGTTCTATAAGATCCAACTTGAGGATAATAAAAGTACGGTGTATCGACTTCTCTGTAAGCTACTTTCATCTCGTAGCCCACTCCAGCCACAACAAACTTTGAGCTTGCAAGTGGGTGGTCGCGTTGCAGGAGTTGCGACGCCCCATTCGCTATGAATTATGCAGCAACTCAGGGGTAGGGTTTGATATACGAGAAAGTATGGCAAAGTGTCGTCTCCTCTAACCAAATTGCATGGCAGAAGAAAAGCAAAAGCCAAAGCATGGACGGCATGGACCCGAGACAAGCCAATATGATTCGCATTAGCGGTCTTGTCGAGAGATAAAGCAAACTCTCTTCATTGGATCCTCTCTTTTTCATTCCCGTAATCGCCGCACGGGGCACAGGCATGGTGGTCGCACGTCGTTGAGAATTAGGGGGGTTCAGGGTGTTTCGCGCCAGGAGCCTTGCATGTGAAGAAACGTCGCTGTCGCGTCGCGGACTCGCGGCGGCTGTCCTCCGCTCCGGTACTCCATAGACCGGTGGGCTGGCGTGCGTTTGCTCCCATATGCGCTAGGCGGGCGGCTGCTGGTCCCCGGAAGGGAGCCCTGAAGCGCAAGGTCAGGGCACGTCGTCGGCAAGGGATGTTGGATTAATTCTGGCTTGATATGGGCGGTCGCGAGCGATAGCACGGGCAGCGGATGGCGTGTTGATTCGTCTAGAACGTTGAGCAATTAGCAGGGCCAAGGAGCGGTCTGGCACTTCTCAATATTATTGCGCCTGGTTCAAGCGGCTTCGCAATCAAGGGTACGGGGTCGTGGAGGTCAAGGGCTCGCTGAGATCGCTACGAGAAAAAGCGGACACGAATTGTGGCGGTTGGCGATGCTTGTCACTCTTTTTCCCAGTCGGAGAATCGTGGGTCAAGGGATCTGCTTGCTCTGAGTTGTCCTCCCGGACTGATGCCGATCACCACTTCGATGGGAAGGGAATTTGCGGGCGTAGGATTGCTATTCGGGAGATGCGTGCAGACGAGCTCGGGGACCGAAAGCTTGAATGTCGAATCTGAGCGTGAGCAACGCGCCAGCCATCGCAGCCTCTGTATGGTTCGCTGGTGTGCGGCAGAGCATGACGACATGCTGGCAAGTTTCTAGACGCGTGGTTTGACGGTGGACCAACTGGAGTGCTAGACAACTTCGATCATTCGACGCCGATCGAGTTTTCCGACCGGCCTAGAATTTCTGGAATGGTTCTTGAGGTCCTATTGATTCGGGTTGCTACTGACACAGCCACTGGAGAGTCGCGATGAACTGCGGCATCCTGACGAAGAGCCTGATTTTCTTTGCGACTGTCACTGCCAAGTGCTAACTGACAACGAAAGAGTCGTGTAGCTATTTTGGGAGCCCAACACCATCGATTTGGAGAAAACTTTTTCGGTGGCTGCAGCCATTATGGGGTGAGTAGGGTGCGTGGTACCTGCATCCAGCACTCTTTCAGCGGCGAGCGATGTACCGTCCGCTACCACTGGAATGGGCAATGGCGGTGGTGGCAAACGGGCTTCAGGGCAAGCATGAGAGAAAACGGACAGGCGGAAGTCTCAAGAGGGCAAGCCGGAGAGTGACTTGGTGATCATTTCGGGCTGGTGTGTTGTGTGCTGTGTGTCGCACTGCGTCGGAACCCTTTTGGCACTAAGGCAGCTAGAGACGTGGGAAAAGAGAGATTTTCAGGAGGGTCGGAATTCCAAGGACGCTAGAAGGCGTTATCGCCGTGATGGTGTTGAGGCGAGATAAGGCATGTCTCAAAGCGTCAAATCGTGGTGGTGAGACTGTGAGACTATGAGATATTCGTAGCCTGTGGTGTCGGTACGGCTACATGAGTCTGGTCAGTGGTGAAACGCCTCAAGTTCCGACGGCAGCCTGTGAATTGCGGCCAGCGACATTGGCGTCCTGGAGTCTGAGTGGTTGGTGAGCTACCCTTGCAATTGTCTGATGTTCTGCTGTGGCTGCAGTCATCTCTCTCTTGCTCCATTTGCGAGTGATCCATGACTCTGTGGTATCGTCAATGAACCCGACCGACTGACTTTCACCTGCTGATTAGAGTGTACGAAGTACTCCATAGCCTGTAGGAAGCTTGACAAGATGACCCTGCGGAGATTTGGGAGCTCAGTTTGGAGTCGAGAGTCCAGACCGACTTAACGATTCGGGGAGAGAGCAGAAATTCTGAAAACTCTTCTGGACGTTCTGGATTCCAGGACATTGCAGATGAGGGGGGGATCATGGATGCAGCGATACCATGGACAATTGGCAATTGGAGGTGAACGAGGTTGGGCTCCGTGTCTGAAGATTCGGCAGACTGTCGGTCGTGGGCCAAATCCAGCGACGTCGGACAGTGACGGCATCGGGCGTTGGAAACAGTGAGCCTCGAAAGATTCGGGGGACGGTGGGCCGAGCTGAGGGTTAGGGGCTCAGCGGCCGGGTCCTGGAGTCTTGGCAGGGGGAAAAACGGGCGAGGAGGACCCGTTTTGCCGTCGTCGAAGGCGGAACATGGAAGGTCCAGGAAAGACGCCGTGTGACGTCAGCCGTGGCGGGTGGATCCATGTTGAGAGACCAAGAGAGTGGGGGTCCACCGCAGCAAGAGGAAAGAGCACCCACGCAGGTCGCACCTGCACCCGACCTTCGGTCCATAGGCACAAACCGCAATTTGAATGAGAAGGAAGGTGCGTGTTTTGTTGGAGGTGACCCGACACGAGGAAGGATCCGACACTGGAAGCTCAAAATTGGGAGGAAGGGGCCCTTCACGGCCCACCCAGCTGAAGGAACTGAGGCATAGAGAACCCCTTTCATTGGCAGACGAATTATGCAGTCCGGAATCCGAGATGGGTTGGTTGGTTGATTTGCATGCGTCGCGATGTGACAAGGGCGGGTGACGGCCACTTTTTGCATCAAAAGATCGAGTGAGCCATCCGCTGATTAGCCGCTGCAGACACACGGCAAAATCAGATCAGGGCAAACTTCAGAGCATTCAGAGGGTGTTCTTACTGCCGCCAAGACACGCCGGTTCTGCCATGGCTTCCGCTCGTGGAATGGATTTGCGGTAGTCCCTCGTATCAATACCAGTCTGGCCCAGCCTTGGTCTCTTGTCTACCACTGGCAGTTGTTCTCCCGCGCTTCGGGCTTCTGTAAGTCACCGTCGTCCCAGTTAGTGCCAAGTATCTTGCACAACCTCGAGGGAGGGCAGGTGTGCTAAGGGCCTAAGAGAAGGTGCTGAGAGCATCTGTCGTCACTGGCTGGTGCTGGCACTGGTGACACAATGGCCTTTGGCCTCTTCGGCCCTTTCCACAGTAGATTGGGCATTGGCGACAGGCACGCATTACAGCCATCGGACGCTATTTCTGTTGAGGGTGGCTTGCAAACTTGATGCTGCTAAACACCTTACTTAAGGCAGTTGGTGGTATTCGGACGGCAGTAAAGTGCACCAAGTGATGCCGTGCGCGAAAAGTGGCGGCCATGTGCGTATGTGCTGGTGTTTTACCCGCGCGCCCGTCTTCATGCCCCTCCCCTGGCGTGAAGGTATGCCGGCATAACATGGCGATTCGGGCGGCAGCGTGTGTGATCTGCGACCGTCTGTTCGCGGGATCGGGCGAGACGGTTCAGTCGGTTGGTGGCGTCGGTTCGTTGCGACGCAGCGGAGAGCCTCACTATGCGACTGCGTCTCGGTGTCTCAGACGAAGGCCACCACCCGGGCCAGGGATGAGGCGTGCGGATGGACAGGCAATACCGCAGTGGAAAGGCACCAAAAGGATCGCGATGACGGGCGATCGTGGGTTTGACCCAGTGGGGGTCTCCCAGATCATTGTGCTCCAGTATACCTACCAAATGGATGCGCAGCTGTAGTCTCCAGATTCTCCCCAGTACCAGTCATCTGCCATTCGAACGGAGAGTCGGAGACAATGTGAAGCTCGAAAGTGATCCATTGTTGGTTCCGATGATGTGTGGTAGGCACTTCTCAATAGGGAATCCGATTCGCATCATCTTCTCCATGCGCGCATGTGCGGTGATGGATGTCTATGGGGCATATGACGATGAGGACAATGTGTAAACGACGACGATGTAGACGCTAGCCGCCATTCAGTTTAGAGCTGCCGCGGACCGGCGACGAATATTCGGCGCAAGGGGCGTGATGTGAACAGAGGAAAGCCAAGACCTTGGTAGTGCGACAAATCGATCAATGAGTGATGCTGACTACTTTATCCACAGCTTGCAGTGCACAACAGTGACCATCTTACAATGCAGTGCAGTGCAGTAGTTGCCGTGCTGCAAAACACAAAGTTTCGGTCGAGAGAGAAGTGGAAAGGCAACGGGGCTCTGCAATTCAAAGTTAATTGCAATGTTGCAGCGAGAAAACCAGCCATGGCCTTATCGCCCACTGCGGTGCTTCCGAGTAATCAACTTGACGGAGAGGATATTCAGGGTCCCTCCCTCCCCCCTATGTGCCTTCCGTCTGCAATGCTTACCACGATACGGCAGGAAGCGAGTGGGTGTGGTCGTTGAGAAGGCAGGAAGGTAATTCAAAGCTCCGGGTAGACGACTTCAATCTCTGGACTGAACCTTTCCCCAGCCATTGGAAACCACCTGTATCCGTCCTCACCACCACGGAGAGAAGAAGAACAAAAGCGAGGTGTGCATAGGGGGACGAAAGCTTCCTATCCGTGGAAAACAGCTACATCCCAGTGAAGTAGGCGCTCGAGATTCCAAGGTTTCCAGGTTCACGAGTTGAATGTTCCCTGCAGCGGCTCTCCTGTCAGATAGCACGGACCCGGTTTTGAGCCCAGTGCCAGCCGGCATATCGCTGTCGCATTCGCTGCCACTGCCACCCTCCACTGGTGCAGCTTGCCCAAGCTCCCACTCCGAGAAAATGTCACTCAAAAACATGAACAGCTCCTTCTTCAGCTATCGTAAAGTACGTAACCAAGGTACTTTTTCACTTACCTAACTTGGTTCACAATTCGAGGATTTCTACAAGTTAACTACAGTTCCAGTATATGCTTTGAGCAGCAAACACCAAGGGAAGAGATTCAACCACCAAGAAATGCCATTGCCAAAGCCAGATGGGCCAGATTGATGGCCCCAACATCCAGGTCCAAGGCCCACGTCCAGCTAAAAATGGAGACCCAATTTTTAAATGTTAATGACGAGCAAGCCCCCCAAGCAAGATCATCGCGCGTCGACCCCATTCTTTTTCTCTGGGCACCGACGTGGCGCCGCGGGTCGAAGCAGCGATTCACAAGCGCCACCACTGGTCAACGTGAACAGAGCTCGGACGTGCAGATAGAATTCTGGAGACAATTCTTAGAACCGTCGCTGTCGTCAAATTCTTGGTTCCCACCCCGTCCCTCTATACTTCATTGAGCTCAAACACCACCCCCGGGGGCCCCTCTCGCCCTCCAATGCCAGAGGGGAAACAGAGATCCAGTTTTACTCTACAAGTCCCTGTTTCTCTAAAAATGACCGAGAGAGACTGGGGAGTCGGAGTGTCGGGGACTGAAGCAGTACCCATTTCTTTGCTGCCATTGCCTACCAAAGCTCCCATCCAATGTCACCAGGAGTGTGAGGAAAAAGAGTCCAGACTGCGCGACCGCTTGCTGATTAACAAATGCAAGCACATGGAAGTGCTCGTGCCTGCCATTTCTGCTGATTGCCTATTCGGTCTTGGCCCCCTTGCTCTTTCCCTGTTCACTTATTCCCAAGGTCTCCATCTGAATCTGAACAAGTACGGGGATACTTGGTGACTTCCATCGAACCTAAGCTTTCCCATCGACAAAAGACGGGAAGGTGCACCTCCCAAGAAATATTTCATCCTGCCCACCTCCCCTCGACCTTTCAACAAGAGCTCCATCCCCAGCTCTTTCCCTCCCATTTTTTTCCCCAGCTTTACCTCCGCTCCAGGTACATCTCAACCACGGGGAAACAGGAAGGTACCAATTTCCGACTGGAGTCTTCTTGACTGAAGAGTCTTCTGTCATCCTCACTCGTGTCCATCCTCGTCGCAGTTCCTGCCGGTGGTCATAGCTACTCACCCCGGAACACACACCGCGGAGTACCTGCGCCTTTGTCACCACCAACCGGAGGCAATTCTCCCTCACCGAGAAAAAGAGCGAAACGACCCGACCGCGAACGCCAATCGCGAATTTACATCACCTTGCTGGCACCCTTTTGCCTCTGACGGCATTTATCGGGCCTATTCGCCTTCACCTACACAAAGCAATAGGGAGGACACCTTGATCCCTCTTAAATCATAACGACCACAACATTTTATTTTGGACACACATATCCCACCACCCACTTACACCACATAGTCTTGCCCATCTCAACCGACGGCCCCTCGCGGCCTCTTCATCCCGCCCACCATGACGACGCCAACAAATCATCGCGATCGCGCCAATTCAGACGAAAATGAGAAACATTCTCAGCATACAGACGATAGTCTCCAAACCGCAACTGATCCCAATTCTCAACCAACCCATCCCGAAAAGTTGACGAGATTAAACACCGACAACCACCTTCATATTCCCCAAGAGACGCACGGCGGACCAATGTCGCCGCAAGACTCACGCGAACAAGCCTCACGCCTGAACGACGATTTGGAGTTGTTGCGCGCCGAACGCCTCATCTCCAACCAAGAACATGAGATGTCCCAGCAGCGTTCTCGCCAGGGTAGGACCCGCGAGATGGAGCCCGAGGATGTCTTCGCAACCAACGGTCCAAACCCTGCCGATGCCGCCAAGCCACCGCCCGAGAAGAAGGCCGGTGCCTTCGCCTTCGCATTGTGGAAGTGGCTGAGGAAGTTCCCGCGTGTTTTCCGATACTTTGTCTATTTGATTCCCGGTGCCGCGCTTCTTCTCATTCCGGTTCTTATCGGTCACTTTGCCGTGGATGCCGAAAGCGCCACTGTTGGTGGTGCCTACGGCGTTTACCTCACTTGGTTCGGAATTTGGCTCGAGGTTGTCTGGTGCTCACTGTGGGCTACGCGTATGGTTACCAGCTTTATGCCCCTCACCTTTGGCGGTATTGCCATTGTCATGGGCTCTTCGAACCATAAGAAGTGGAGGGATATTGGCCAGGGTCTCGAGCTGCACACTGCCCTCTTCATGTGGATGCTCGCCATTCTTTGCTCCTACTCGCCCATCCTCGAAGATCACCGCGTTCTTCCCGATGGATTCAACCCGGACACCGACACAAAGCCAGACCTCAAATGGGTCGATATCGTTCAGAAGGTCATTATCGCTTTCTTGGTCCTCGCTGCTCTCAATTGGGTTGAGAAGATCTGCATCCAATGGATTGCCACATCTTTCCATCAGCGCACCTACGTTCAACGAATCGAGACGAATAAGAGCGATATCGACCATTTGGTCCACCTTTACGAGCACTCCAAGATGCGAATCAACCGTGAGGACTCTATCTGGCTCACAACCGAGAACGGCAACAGATCTGGCGCCCGTACCCCAATGGGTGTCGTCGGAAAGAATGTTCGCACTGCCTTCAACAAGGCCGGTGGTGTTGCGGCTCGCGTTGGAAACGACTTCATAGGACGAAAGGTCGCTTTCAACCACGCCCGCAAGATCACTTATGAGATGTTGCGTAACACGGGTTCTGCTCATTCTCTTGCCCGCCTCATCTTCCGGAGTCTCGCCAAGGATGGTCAAGAGACCATCTACCTCGAAGACATGCAGTCTGCCTTCAAGACTAGCGAAGAGGCCGAACACGCCTTTAGCATTTTCGACAAGGATCTCAACGGTGATATTTCCATGGAAGAGATGGAGCTCACTTGCAACGAGATTCATCTCGAGCGCAAGGCCATTGCTGCCTCGTTGAAGGATCTCGATTCCGTCATCAAGAAGCTCGACAAGGTCTTCCTCGTCATCATTGTTATTATCGCCATCATCGTCTTCATCTCCATTCTCTCAGGCTCTGCCGCTGCCGGTCTCGCTTCTGCCGGATCCAGTTTCCTCGGTCTCGCGTGGCTGCTCCAGGCCAGTGCTCAAGAGTTCCTGCAGTCCATCATCTTCGTATTCGTCAAGCACCCGTTCGATGTCGGTGACCGTGTCACTGTCTACGGCAACACTGGTACCACGGGAACTGGCGACGATTACTACGTCACGGAAATCTCCCTGCTATACACCGAGTTCAAGAAGATGGAAGGTCACATCGTACAGGCACCCAACAGCGTGCTCAACACCCTGTTCATCCTCAACCAGCGCCGTTCTGCCGGCCTGGCCGACCCTATCGAGCTGAAGCTGGGTTTCGGCACCGATCCCGAACTCATCGAGGAGCTCAAATCTCGCATGCTCAACTTCTGCCTCGAACACAAGCGCGACTACCAGCCTCGGATTATTACTGAAGTCCGCACTCTCAACGAGGTTCAATCTTTCACCATGAACTTGATCTTCTTCCACAAGTCCAACTTCCAGAACGAACTGCTCCGTCTGCAAAGACACAACAAATTTGCCGCCCAGCTTATGGCCGAGGTTCGCGCTGTTGGTCTCCAGGGCCCTTGGCAGGTGCAACCTGGTGGTTCCCGCAACACACCTTTTTACTGGGCAGGCGGTGCTCCTCCTTCGTACGACTCTTCCAAGAACGGCGGTCCCAGTGGCATCGAGCCTGCGACGCCTGGAGGCGATTCTCACTCCATTCACTCTACTACTCAGCCCACTACAGCGGGCACTGCGGTGGCCACTCGCGCTCGCGCCGATTCCCGCACCGGCATGACGCCTTTCATTGACAACAACTGGAGCGATTTCCAGGACGTGTTTGAGGCTCGCAGAGAGGTCCACCAACCGCACGTCGCTCGCCTCCAGAGCATCCGCGAGCGAACCGACCTCGAACGCCCAGAAAGCGCGACATCAGGCGCCGCGGCCTCACGAGCTAGTCACGACTCTGGATCTCAGCGCCGACGCTTCTTTGGCCGACCGCGGAGTTCCAGCCGAGCCAAGACCGGCGACATTGTTTAGATCATACGACAGACGATGAGATCTCTTTTTTCCAGCAGAACAAAAGTCCTTTTCCCTTGCACCCAGGCTCGGGACACCTACACTCTTTTCATAATGCGATATTTGTAATCAGCGAAGCGAGAGAAGCGACCTGGAGAAGGAGAAGATAGAGAAGAGTTTGCATGATCACCTGTGCGTACGAAAGGATATGGGTAGAATGCCCGAGTATCTGTCGCAAGGTGTCGACGGAGTTTTATTTCAGAGAAATTGGCATTAGGAGCGAAAAGACGCTTTCCTTTGGACAGACAGCAATCGGGGTAAAATACCCAAATAGAAGCCTCGATTCGTATTTCATCTTGTGTCTACCCATTCTGCTCCCTTGCTGTAATTGGCAGCTTTCGATTCATCTTCAGTTGCTGATTGTGCCTTCGTATCGATAGTTATTCTATCGTGTTTTTTCCTTTCTCCAGGCAATTCGCACCAACCCAACGCGGGTTTATTTCCTGATATCGGGCTGCTTCTGCGAGGGCCAAGTGACATATTTCAAGAGGCGTGCCAGGCGTCGCCTCTGCCATGCTTCCCGATACTGCACTTTTCCCCCTCCTTTGTCTCTCCAGCCAAAAAGCATGACCAGCGAGCATGTACTCTTCTCCTGAGGAGACTAATTACCATGAGAGGTTCGTTCCGATGTGGACCGGTAAGTGGAGGTTGGAGAAGGGACTTTCAACGGCGCAACCCCTCCACCAAAGTAATTCCTCTAGATAAATTCATACTGGAAAATTGAACCAGAGAAATAACGTCTTTCTCAGAACAATTCAGCCAATGTCCCTTGGTTTTGTTAAAATCAAGAATATTGCGCCAGGAATCCGTCACATCCCGCTCCCTTCGGGACCCTCCTCCCCCGGACTGCGATGCCGGGTTATCCGGAACAAGGTGCGGCGGCTTCTCCGGCAAAAGATGCGCCCTCTGATAGTGCCAAGGATATATCAACATACCTTAATTTTAAAGGACCGGCTTTACTTGCCATTTCGAACAAGCCAAACCCGAGCTTGCGGATAAGGTTTTGAGTCTTTCCGGTCCCAAGTCCCAAACTTGCTTTTTCGGTTAACCGGGAAAGTCGGCATGCTGGATGGATGTCGTATCCCAAGTACGTGAGCTTTTCGTGAGGCAGCTCCTGAGAAGACGTACCTGGGATTAGATATCTTCATCTAACTGTCCTTTCGCTTGGCACGGTATGCTTCTTGAATTGGAAAAAGACGTCACAAGGCTTCTTTTGGAAGTTTTGGTGCACTATCGAATCGTGGTTTCCTTAATCAACATGAATCCCCGGGTCATAAACTCAATTCTCAAGACGTCCAGTTGAAGCGGGGCCGCAATGGTACAAGTCCGGGATGGGAGGCCCGGAGAAGTCTAAAAGGGCAACTTTACATGGGCGTCTCCAGGGAATGGGCTGGTTCTATGCATACTCGCCAAGGATCGCACACTTTATTTTCCAGAGGCATTATTAGCAGTCCACGGGAGAATCGTGGACCAAGACGGTCAACATGGAGAAATCGGATCATCTGATCTCTATCTTAAATCGCCAAGACACGGAGCTCTGCACCGATATGGACGATTCAGGCACGAAGAAGAAGATCCTTCAGGGCTGGATCTTCCTAGTCTTGCTTACAAACAGTCTCTCTTGTTTAAAAGACAGGTCTAACGCAAGTTGACGATGGCCTCAAGTGGTTGTAGGGCAGTACTAGCTGTCCCTACCAGTCCCACCGGCCGTTCGTCCATTACACAAGGGCGACATTCCATTCGTTTCTTGCAATCCCGCAAAGCCCACCCCCGATTCTCATCCTCACGAGAACATCACACGACACCTTTCGTTCTTCACACGCTCCCAATTCCGCAGGATTCACCCTCGTGTGACACCGAAACCATGGCGAGGATACTCCTCTCTCTAGCCGCCCTCGTCGCAGCAACGACAACCACGTCCGCAACCTGCACCAACCCCTCGATCCGCAAACCATGGACCGCCCTGACGGAAGACGAAAAGGCAAGCTACGTGAACTCGACGCTTTGTCTGATGGACCCGTCGCAAGCGCCAGCCAAAGTCGGAAGCTGGGGCGCGACGAGTCGTTGGGAGGAGTTGGTTGTTGCGCATATTGCGCAGGTTCGGTATATTCACACAGTGGTACGTGAAAACAACACGTCGAATGCCTGGACCAATGCCGTTGGGCTGTGTGACTTCCGCCTTGAGAATTGTGTGTCGAAGTATTGTTGTTCAGAGAGACTAATACCAGGTGATGGAATAGGGCGCCTTGTTCCCCTGGCATAGATGGTACACCAAAATCCACGAAGACCTCCTCCGTAACGAATGCGGCTACACCGGTCCATACCCGTACGTCTACCCTTCCCCCCCTCCAAACAACTTCACGTTCAACCAACTCACCCATAGCCAGCTACTGGGACCAACAAACAGACCAATCCCTCTACCCCATCCAAAACGCCTCCGTCTGGGACACCGCATCCACCGTCACAGCCTTCGGCACAGGCCGAACCGACGCCGCAACAAATTGCATCCTGGACGGCGCCTTCACGGACCACCGCGTTCGCTTCAACACGCAGCTCGAACGAGACGGGACCGAAGGAGGCGGCGTCTGCCTCACCCGCGCCCTGAACCAGACGGCGTTTGATACCGTTTCCCAAGCTAATGTCGTAGAGCCTTGCATGGCACTTGACAAGGGTGATGATTACGGCGAGATGTTGGGGTGTCTTGGGAATACGCCGCATAGTGGTGGGCACTTGGGCGTCGGTGGCATCGTGAGTCTCGTCTTTTCCTTCGAACCGTCTCCCGTTGCCTCAGCATCGATCAGAGTGAAAGGATTCCTCTCGGCAAAACGTCATCCAATCCAACGCTGACTATAATCACAGATGCGAGACCACGCCCGCTCACCCGCCGACCCAATCTTCTACCTCCACCACACGAACTTCGACCGCCTCTGGTGGGAGTGGCAGACGTCCTCCCCCAGCAGGCTCTACGCGATGGGCGGCCGCAACGTCGCGGCGAACCAGATCTTTCTCGACGCACAGCCAAAGATCCTGCCCGAGGATATGTTCCTCCCGTACTTCGGGGACGGAGGCGGCAACGTCACGACGCTAGACCATGTTTTGTGGATGCCTGGATTGGCTGAAAATATTACCATAAGGGACACGATGGATGTCCATGGGGATAAGATGTGTTTTGACTATGTTTGAATGGGGCTAATATCGCTGGGATGATCGTCTTGGGATTGATATAATGAGATATCAAAAAGGTCGAGGCCTGGGACTTGTTGAAAGGTGTGCAGCCCTTGTCTTTTGGCAACTCCGCGAGAGTAGAGCGGGGGGACCGCCGGAACACCGCCATGAAAGGAAGCTAACGAACGCTTTCGTTAACAGTTCAATGCGGAAATTCTGATATGATGCTTGATTTGAGGTCTATGAGATACATGAGACCATTGAAACAATACTACAAAGTCGCCACCACAAGATATATAAAGTTTGCTTGTCCGAAAGGCCGTTTGATAAGCTGCTCTTCCCAGTATCTCGCATTGTTCCCTTCTACCTTATGATAAGCAGACTTCAAGCTCAACCTTAAGCCATACACGTCAGCAAATCGACCCCATCCATATCAATACGACAGCAAAACGTCATATCATAGACACAAGCTCAAAGCAACAATGCTACCAACACAGTGTAGCAAAAGTACAATTGCTCTCGATGACGACCTCGGAGTACGCTGGGTAGAGTACATCGAAAGCGGAGGCAATGGCGGTGTTGTATTCGTCGTTGAATTTGGTTGCGTTGCACTCGCTGCAGTGGATTCCCATACCGGGCTCCGGCCACTGTATCTCGTACCCAATGAAGCCCTTGATCTCTCTGGTAGCCATGTCATATGCTGTGAGGTTGAAAGTTGCCGGTAGGGTGAGGGTGTCGTCAGAGGTGTCATTGGCAAAGGGGGCTGGCCCGTGATTGTAGACGAAGTAGCCATCAGAGCCTTGGACGGTACCAAGGTTTTTGAGTGCGTTGAAGAAGACGGGCAGGAAGTTGAGGGGAGTAGCGTTGGTGCCTTGACAATGGGCCGTGACGGTCGAGTTGAGACGGTTCGAAAAAGGGTATGGACTGCAAAAGCCGTCTGTGGTGAAGAGGATACTGCTCAGGAAATGGGCAATGGTGCCGTACCAGATGGCAGGGCGAGGGCTGACCTCGACCTTGACGCTAAGAGTTCTTCCTTCAGCCGAGGGGTTGTTGGTACCACCTGTCGAGGCGGTTCCGTTGTCCGTAGGAACCCATACGCCAGGCAGTCTGGCCCAAGGAGTTGGGCCGTTCTCAAGGTGGTTGCAGATGAAAGCCGAGACGCAGGTAGAGTTGCCGGAAGCGCTCATACTGATAGGGCGTCCGCGATAGGTGTAACACCAGAGAGTGGTACCGCCGTCTTTGGTGCTCATGGCTTTGCTGGCACGCAAGAGCTCTGAGGTGCCGTCTTCGATCCAGGCAGACCAGGTATCGCCGTTTGAAAAGGTTGCAGAGGCACCCTCGTAGTTCCAGGGATATTTGCCGTCATTGTAGGGCATCTCGACAATCATGTCAGGAGGAGCAGGGTCGGTCTCGGCTGGAGTGGACCAGATGGCACCTCTGTACCAATTCATCTGGCGGGACGTTGACCAGGTTAGGTTCTCTGGATTAGAGCCAATGCCGCAGTCAGCCAGAACCAGGTTCTGGTCAGCGTTGGTTTGGGCAAGGCGGTGCAGATTGAAGGGGTTCAGGGAAGACATGACCGTAAAGGCCTTGAGAGTGCGTGAGAAAGTCATCTTGCTGAGGGGGAGAACCAAGGTAAAGACGGACAATAGGACGGAACCAAGAAAAAAAGCGAGGGTTTAAGTTTCGAGGTGATGAGGTTTCGGTCCAAGATTTGTGGTGGTGCTGAGGTGTTGAGGAAGAGACGGAGGAGAATGGATGGAGGTGAGTGATGGGAGATGTACGGCGAGTGACAGAGGCGTTCCAGAAGACCAGCTTGAAGATGGAAGGAGGGTCCAATAAGTTGAAACTTGTTCTTTCCATCTATCAATGTTTGAGCCTTGAAGGTTCTTGCTATGGGAAAGAAGTAGACACGAGTACCTGAGACTCGGCGTGTAAGTGACCACGTTGTGACCGGGTGGTAACTTCCCTCAGAAACCAAGACCTCAGAGCAAGATTAAGAAGGACGGAGAAGGGGAGGTCATACTTCCATTAGAGAAGAAACGGTAACAGTAACTTCGGTACCTTCCTGCCACGATGGGCACAGTCTGTACATGGTGATGCTTCACTTGGGACTGGCAAACTTGAAGCTACAATGGCGCTGACAGAAGCTCGGCCGACTGCAGCAGGAAGGGCAGAGCAGAAGTGACAGCAAGCATTCCTCTCATGGTATTCTCGGAAGACTGAGACTATTGCCTTGGACCTTCTCATCTCAAGGCTTCCATTGTGACTCAGCCTTGTATCTGATCGGGTACAAGGTGGCATTCGGGATGACCCTTTGGCGTCTGACATGGAAACGGCGTGGGCGCCCCATGCACTCCCAAATGATTCCTCGAAGCTTCGTAA